TATATGAAACTCATTGTGTCAATAGCTGTATTTAAGTACATGAACTGAAGCTGGTTTTAATTTCTTGTGTGCGTTTCAGCGTGACCCAAGGGAATGTTAATAGTTCCTTTTGTTGCTTCTTTCCAGCACTGTCTGGCAAACTGGTACGAGACGCTTCAATGCTGAAGTGCTGAACGTAGGAGAAACAACATGAAAAGTAGATGTTTGGTCAAAGCAGGAGATGGTTCAACTTCATAAGGCAGAACAAGACTCGTGCTCTTCGTTGTGGAGCCTCATGAGCATCCTAGGACAGGTCAAACTAGTAAAGTGGAGGTGGACATATACAGATTGAAGTAAAGCATGTTAAGATTGATGGGGATTTTCCTGATTTCGGTGGCAGTTGGCTTGGTTCTCCAAGCACTCCTGTTAATTAGTGACTATCTGTGTCCTGTACAGATACATTACTCATGTCAGGCTTTATCATTGCGTGTTATAGCAGGTATCCTAGAGGAGGCTTGAACATGAGTACATTTCCCTCTTCACCATGAAAACTTCCTGGAAAGTGTAGAAGTGCAAATGCTTTAAAATGTCCTCTGAGAAGGACTGGATTTTAAACAAAGCTGTGTGCCTGTTAGTTTGTATGGAGTGATGGATACAAATCAGATGAGTGGCTTTGCATGTGCTGTTTCTAGACAGTTGGAGCAATGTGTCAGCAGAAGGGTGTCAGTGCATAAGGAAAGGAGGACCTGGGGCTTCCAGCCAGCTCATGCTGTCAGCAGCAGCCTAACATAGAAGCACCCACTAAATCCCTCTTTCTGCCCAGTGCCTTTGGCCCAGAAGCAATCAGGAAAGAAGCCATGCCCTTATGCAAGAATTTCTTTGCCACAAAGTCTTTGACAAATCTCCTCTGAATGGTACAAAGCACAAACCCTATACTCCCTCTATTTTTTTTCCCCTTTCCACTAAAGAGGCTTTATCAACTTGTTTTCTTTCAAAATAAATACAGATTCAGACTATTAATCCAGCAGTTACTGATGCCCTCCTGGATAGAACTCCTGCACTTTTGGAATGCTGTTTTTACTGGGCACTTGCTTGTTAGGTACTGGCTCAAACTCTTCCCATCAGGCTCCAGGACAATGAGCCATGCCTACATTCTTAGGGCAACTGCCAGATCAGTCCCTTACCAGCTTAATTTGGCCTTGAGACTTCCTCAGCAGCTCAGGCTTGAGGTCACTGCTTTATAGAATCTTAGAATCATAGAATGGTTTGAATTGGAAGGGATTTTTAAGATCATGTAGTTGCAACCCCCTGCTGTAGGCAGGGACACCTCCCTCTAGACCTCTGGCCTTCAGTGCTTTCAGGGAGGGGGCAGCCACATCTTTCTGGGCAACCTGTTCCAGTGTCTCATCACACTCACAGTGAATAATTTTTTCCTAATATCTAGTCTAAATCTGCCCTGTTCCAGTTTAAAGCCATTTCTCCTTGTCCTATTACTACCTGCCCATACAAAAAGTCCCTCCCCAGCTTGTCTGTAGGCCCCCTTCAAGTACTGGAAGGCCACTATAAAGACCCCCAGAGCATTCTCTTCTCCAGGCTGAAGAGCCCCAGCTGTCTCAGCCTGTCCTTGCAGGGGAGGTGCTCCAGCCGTCTGATCATCTTCGTGGCCCTCCTCTGTACCTGCTGCAACAACTCCATGTCCTTCTTGTGTTGGGGCCCCAGAACTGGATGCCGCACTCCAGATGGGGTCTCATGAGAGCAGAGTAGAAGGGCAGAATCACCTCCCTCAACTTGCTGGTCGTGTTTCTCTTGATGCAAGCCCTTGTTGAGCTCATACCTGGTTAAGCCTTGTGGTTCCAGAGCTGAACTAAATGGGATTTGTCTGCCAGATGCTGTAGTTTGCAGCCCTTTGGATGGCTGCTGGTGGCTGGCAGTGTGGTTGCTGCTGAGCATCCTGCAGTAGAGCCTCATGCAGATCCTGCTTGCCCACTGATGAATAAATAATGAGATGGTGCTGGGGCAGCAAGTTACCCAGTGGCAATTTGCTCTGACGAGTTAGCAACTGAATGAAACAGAACCATGTTTATAGCTACTCTTGTGTTTTTTCCCATGTGTTTTCTTTTCTGGACTAAACAAACTCTCTACTTGGAAGGTTGCAGTCCTATGGGTCTTGTTTTTACCACTGTAAACTGAAATCTCTTCAGTTTGTTTACATCTATATTTAAGTGAAGGGCTCAGCAGCCGATAACTGCTGTCTACTATAGCAGCACTGACAGCTGCATGTATGTTTTCTGTATTTTACCATAAATGCTTCTACTGATACAATGCAAAGTGACATTTTTTTATATACTGTATGCTGTTGATTCTCTTCCCTTGGTTTTGCTGTCAAGCCAGGTATTTACTCGGTGTGCAGGTACCTCATTTCCTCTTTGACATCATATTGTCCTTCATTGTATTTGGTTTGTTTTTTCATTTCAAACCGTTTCTCTAAATTGTTCTGTTCATGCAAAGCCTGATTCAGTCCTTCAAAAAACTTGTGCATCACTCTTTTCTTAAGGCTGAAGTAATGTCACCAGCTTTGAATGAAGCAAGCTCAAGAGAAGACTATTTAGAGGCAAAATTATGATAACTTTGGTTTTCCATTGTTCCAGGAACACCAGCAGGCAAGAAAGTCATTCTTCTATATTTTTATTTCATCTCTCTTACATTTTCCTTATTCTCCTGGAATACAGGATCATGTGCTGTTGGGGAAATAGGAAAGACCATAAGGCATCCTGAAGGTGTCAGTGTTCATAGTTACACATGGCAAAGTTTTATATCAGTAGATAAGCTTGTCAGTACATTTTATAGCACTGTCACTGGTTTATTGCCATTGATTATGTGATGTGTCACCCTTGCTATTTCGCAAGCTATTTAACATCAGATGATTCATTACTTTCAGTCACATGGGAGGAAAAATAAAATAGTGCATATACTGAATACACCGCATAGCATCATAGAATCATAGAATCATAGAATCACTAAGGTTGGAAAAGACCTAAAAGATCACCCAGTCCAACCGTTCACCTATTCCCAATAGCTCCTACTAAACCATGTCCCTCAACACAACATCCAGTCTTTCCTTGAACACCCCCAGGGTCGGTGATTCCACCACCTCCCTGGGCAGTCCATTCCAGTGCCTGACCACCCTTTCTGAAAAGTAATACTTCCTCATGTCCAGCCTGAATCTCCCCTGCCGTAGCTTGAAACCATTCCCCCTGGTCCTATCACTAATGACACGAGAGAAGAGGCCGACCCCCAGCTCACTACAACCTCCCTTCAGGAAGTTATAGAGAACAATAAGGTCTCCCCTGAGCCTCCTCTTCTCCAGGCTGAACATTCCCAGCTCCTTCAGCCTCTCCTCATATGGCCTGTGTTCCAGACCCCTCACCAGCTTTGTTGCCCTCCTTTGAACACGTTCCAGGGCCTCAATATCTTTCTTGCAGTGAGGGGCATGCGCATGCTGCTCTGTGTGCTGAAGGAATGGAAGGAAATTAAGGACGAACTTCATGGAATTTGGAAAGGACAAACAACAAAATCACTTGGAAATCTGCCAGTGGGGATGATTTTCTTGAGATAAGCATGTCTATAGTTTATAGTCAGCTCTAGTGAGATGCGCTGAGGGATCCCTCTGTGGTCATGGTTGCAAAGACTATTCAAGAGAAATAAATACAATTGTGAAAAGCAGCTTCTCTGGCTATGCTGGCCTCTTGTCTGGAAAGTGAACTCAGGCTGTTTGCCTCATTGTATCAATCTTGCTGCCTGTAAAATAAATGAATTCCTTACCCTAGCAACATAGTATCAGCACATGAATTTAGTTTGACATATTACTCATGGCATATTAGGACAAATAAGATTATCTTAAAAAATATGAGTGTTTATTAATATCTCGCCTTTTTGTTTGTTTAATGGGTGAAACTTTCTATTACAATATTTTAAAATCTCTTGCACAAACATTAAGATACTATGTCCTTTAATAAAATCACCTATTTCTTCCTGTTCTTTTTCTGAATAGATCCTTGTTTCAAGTCCTGAAAGCACACATGAGCTGGGCTCTTGCAGCAAGTTTCCTGTTTTGACAAAGGCTGGTTGCATAAATTTGACCAAGCCAAAGTTTTGACTTGTTGGTCACTAAATGACCTGCTTTTTTTTCCTGTACTTCTCAGGTTCTAATGACCAAAAAAACTTGAAAGTTAAACACATTTTATGTATCTGGCATAGATTTATAACAAATGCTGTACTCGTTCAAACCAGTATAGTGCCAAAACCAGTGGCCAGAAGCAGATATGCAAGAAGATTTAAGGGCATAACATGTGTATGATATTTTGCTTTGATATTTGCCCATTCCATACCTGCCCCTGCCATCATTAGGTCAGATTTCTTGAATGTGTTGTGGTTTGCTTACTTAGTAACGTGCATGGATTTCTCTTCCAAGTACTGGTTAGTCTCCTCTTGTATCTCAGAAAACATTTCATAACTGCAACACAATTTATCAAGGCCTGCCATGTATGTAATCTCTAATACTGTGTGAAGAAATAGTGGCTTCTATCTCTTTTGAACCAGGCCCTTTTTGTGCTGTGTGGTACTCAGAGCTTGGAAACACCAATTTGCACCAGTATCTGTCCTCAGACTTGTGCCGTATTTTCATCCTGAATGGTATTATGCTTGGACAAAGCTGTGAGGTGTAAACTGATGCTGTTGGTGCACGACCCCTCTGTGTTGGGTTTGAAGATAAAGAAAAGTCAGTGCATATATTGGTCCATGGTCCCATTTCATTCCTTGCACTGGGACAAGCTCCAGCAAACCTGGGAAGATCTCTCTGTTTGCCTCTGCAGACACTGCTGTTTTCAAAGTGATGTCATGTACTAAGTATATATTTTTAAAAATACCATCAATATTTGTATTGCAGTCTAGATAGCTAGTAAAAGAATTTGGTTTATGATTTCTTGGAAAGCCTACACGGCTCGACAAGTCTAACATCAGAGTTGTTTGTTGACATTATTTTTATTGAAGCATGGATCTTTAGCTTGGTTCACCATAAAGTGAAGCATTTTATTTATGATAATAGACAGTTTAGGGCTATAGGGGCATTATAACGTTGCTGGTGTAAATACAACCTTATCAGAAGATACAAACATGACCCGCAAGAGAAACAAACACCTAAGAGAACACAATGAAACGTTCACTGTTTACAAATCACTTCATTACTACAGACACCAAATGGCAGTTACTGTAAGTAAATCAGTTGCAGAGAACTGACTACATTTAGAGAAGGAAAGGGAACTTCTGTTTGGGGCTTCATCCACAACTGCTTAGTAGAAAAAGGTTTCATGTCAAGCATTCTTTTTTTTATCCACAAAACAATGCTAACCAACAGACATATAAAAGAATAGGACTGAAAGATATCAACGTCTTTACAACTACTTTTGCAATTATCTTCTTGATTAGGTACTTTGATTTTTTAATACACTTTGTCAGAAGGTAAATAGCCCAAAAGTCAGCAGCAAAAATATTACAACAACAAAACAAGTAAATACAGTGCCAATGTGTCATTTTGTAGAATACAAAGAGGACAAACAATGATAACTTAATCATATAAAATGACACAGAGCTGAAATACAGTGCACTTAAATACCTATGTGACAAAAAATGTTAAATTCTGTACTTAGTATGTACGTTCTTAAACATAAAATCTGAAAAGTCTTTGTGCTTAAACTTTTTTTCCTGTTAAACAGAATTAGTTGCTTACTTCCAATACTGCCACTGTAACTGATATTACAACAGATCACAATTTTCACAGACACGTCAACATTAAAACATTTACCTATGAGAAAATAAGTCACTTCTCATTAGTTCACAGTGCGAAAAAGTGGTGTACACTCCGTCTTGAGAAAGGCTTTCAGTTATTCATCAAGCCAGTTGCAGAAAAGTCCTGAAACCAGATGCAGTGCTAGGTTCAAAGAATGGAAAGCAACACATCACATGTTGGGAGGAAAAAATAAATTTCTCATTTCTTCATGGATATCGTCTAAGTGACCTTCGTCTTCTGTTGTAGAAATGCCTGAGCCCATGTTGCCGTGAAAAATTCATCATGTAATTTTGTTTGCGAGTGCTGTTAAAATCAAAGGGCGAGGGGAGGAAGAGAAGAATGTCAGTTTGTTATTGGTACTTAAATTGCTTCTGGAGCAATGAGCTAGTGGGACAGATTCTTCTTGTTTCTTGCATAATTTTTGAAGCGTGTAAAGTAGTGTAAAGCACACGCTTGGTACAACAAGGTACAAGGCAATCGAGAATCTGTCCCACTTTGCTTTTTATTTACTGTTCATTATCTTGGGGAAAGGTTAAGAGCTTTCAGCTAATTAAAGCTTGAGCTGTCTGGGGCCATATTCACTAAAGCTACATGCACTTCGTACCCTCTCAATACAGTGCATTTCTCTATTGCAGTCTTATACTCCAGTCACCTTCTGTCTCAGAACATCAGTTGCTGCATCTTGAGAACAGAGGAGAAGCTTTACTTTGTTATCTTCCACCTTTGCCACAGAGAAAATGAAGTATAATGCTTTTATGCAGATTTTATATTTCCCTCCCCTGTACTCCTCGTCTCAAATTGGAAAAAGATCTGGGAAGTCTGCATCATTACATGGGAAGAAACCAGGCAGGAGACTGCATCCTGACTGAAGGAGAGACACGTGCTCACACCTGTGTGGAGAAGAATCATCTCATCTTGTTTAGGTTTCTGCTTCTACTGAGGGAAGAAAGAGCCATGAGAGGGCAGCAGCGCACAAGACTGCTCAGCCTGGGGTTCGGCGCCTGAAACCTAACTAATGCCAAAGGGCTGGATCCTACCTTCAGGTAGGTTGGCATCTGTGAGTTTTCCCAGTCCATAAAGAGTAAATACACATGCTGTAACTGGTTACACATTCAAGTGCATGAGCTTATTTTTAGTGAATATGGCCCTTAGGAAAAAGAAATAATTGCATGCTATGCAAAATAAGTATGGTCCTCCAAAGGCAAAGATACCTTATGCTTTGTACCATGACAATGTCATCTACAAAAACATGTGTAACAAAATTATACCCTTTTCAACAGCTAATCTAGAATCTCAATGATAAAATTAAATAAAAGCAGTTGTGTCAAAATGTAGAATGTAAGCCGCCCATAAATTGCAAGCTGTCTCCCAGCTAGTTTGAAAATTTCTTCATCCAATTTTATGGAAAAATGAAACTTTTTATGGAAAAATGAAATGACAGTGGATGCATCCAACACAACTTTTTGCACTCTTGTTTAAGTTAGTGCTCTAGAGCATTTGAGTTTGACTTGTCCTTGAATTTCACATGAATTTTTCAATTGAAAAGTTCTGTGCTAATTTGTAAGTTATGAGTGAGAGAGTGACAGTGGTCAGTTTGTATGCTTTTAACGCTACTTGGTAGCTTAAGTGCAAAGAAGCACCAAAGGCCAGCGTTCATTCTAATCATACTCTGTGCAGCATCACCCTCAGTGCGCTCAGTGGCCCGCACCAACCCCAGCTGGCCTTGCTGCAGACACGTGGCACAGAACGGAGCCTGGCGACGTGTCTGGCTGAAACATTTTCCCCTTTTGGAACTAGTTAAATTCAGGGCTGAGCGCGGCTGTGAGATCCTCAGCGTGGTCGCAAAACCCCTCGCGCAGCCCGGCACAAGGAGTTGCTGTCCTTGGTCCTGGCCCCACGTGATACCCTGCTGCCTTTCACTGCTCTCATTCAGCTGCAGCTCAACAGAGGTTTTCACCATTTTGGACGCTTCTAGGTATGCCTGGCCTATATTTCACTTGCAGCGCCTAACCATTTTGTAACTGACACGCATGTTGTGATGAGGACATTTAAAACTATGAACAAACACAAAAATGACAAAAAAGAAAAGGAAAAGAAATACATGAGAAAAGGAATAAAGGGTTATCTACAATTTAAAAGTGATTGTTTTCTAATGTATATTCAGTCTGCTTTAGTTATTGTATGAGATGATCAAGATGTTACAAACAAAGAAAATATACATTCCTCTTCTTGCATGGAACACCACAGCATTGCAATGTGTGAGAAACAAGAAAAATCTAAACTCCCAAGAACTAAATGCTTTGGGTTTTTTGCTTGTACTGGCATGGTTCAAACTTGTTCTTTCCAAAGGCTGAGGTAGGCTTCTCAACTGCTGGACTGGATGCTACATACATAAAAACTTCATGTCTGCTATAGAAAGCAGCATGGTTTTCACTCTTGTTAGAGATAAATTGGTGTATCCTATACAATACAGTACAGTATCGTATTGTAGGTGTAGGCTGATATTCACAAAATAAGTCTATATTAATTTCTCTCTATATTAATTTCTATATATATTCTCTGAATTAATTTTACTGGTAGAAGAAAAAGCACTGGATTACAGAGACTTGTAGCACAGTTTATGAGGAGGAGCCATTGGCTCTTTAGCAGATCATTCTGTCTACTGGATATTTTCTAGAGCATTGTCTGAACTAAAGCCTGCAATTTAAAATTTGTGAAAATAGGACATAGCCAAATTCAGTTAAAAAATACAAAAATACAGTTAAAAATTAATTTATCTAACGTCACTTATTTTTTCACGTTTTTCTCATTTTTCATGTTTTTGTTTTTGATTGACAGGGCATGGTAGGAACCAAACAGAAGCAAAAATATTTGGATAACAAAGCCAAATCTGAAAGGAAAACTGTAAAGGCATGGTCTCAGGGCTACAGTTCTGTTGAAATTTGTGGCAGAATTACAAATTATTCATTAGGAGAGTCAAAAGAAAAGCGATGTGATTATTGGCTCTAGTGAGATCAAGACTTGAACCCACAGCTCAGTCATGGTGTTGGCTACTATTATCTAACTGTGGCAGCACGCAGCAGCATAGCTACAAGTAACAAGAACTACCAGGCGCCATCTTACTGTGTGTCCGAGAGACATGGGTGCCCAGGCACCAGACTGATTCACTGACGTATGACACCTGGCCAACGCTTCTGCTCTGTAGTCATTAATTAGAGAAAAAAGTGGGAATTCCCCCTTGGAGCTGAGAGGTTGCCCATGCGATAGGATGGGGGCCCTCCATTTGTACAGCTTATCGTGCTGCAGCTCCAGTAAAACTGCCATTGTCCAGTGGTGAGATGCTGAAAACCTTTGGCTAATGTTAGCTACCCCTGATACTCCCTGGGGCAGAGCTGCAGGAACAGGGCCCTAGAGAGCTGTGGCACATCTCAGAGAACACAAAGGATTTTCCATGGACCCATCACCCACAAAACTTTGTCAAAGTACTGTAGCTGTAGCAGCAAGTTATATTTCATATCGATTCAGGGAAAGTACTTACCTTATTCTAGTGTAAAACCAATGACAGCAAACAATGAAATACAACACAAGTTAGAAAATGCCTTTCAATGCATGCAGCACTGTGATTAGTCATAAAACCCTGATGAGGTTTAGAGGCAATATAGGATTTTTCATCTCTTTTGAAAATAAAAATTGAACAAATTATTTCCTGATATTTCAAATCAATGCTTACATTTTTATTTTCTATAAAATTCAGCATGCACTTTTTAGAAACATAATAAAAATGTCATAAAAGCACAGACTGCATCAGATTAAATTTGGCATAAATGTTGTGAATATTCAGATAATTACCTAATGTTTTAGTATTTCTGTTCTCTGTTATGACTATGTTTGTACTTTAATTTCAATGCAATTTTCAAACAATTGCTTTTTATTAAAAAATAAAGTAGATGAAAATGCTTTTCCACATGAACACTCTTTGCTAGAGCTGGGATATATAATTTGTATTTTAATGTTGCAAAATAAGGATAAGCATCCTTTGCACCAAATACAACAGAGTTCCTCACTAAATCATTTGTGCCAAAAGTGTGAGAATATCTTGACAATGAAGAGCATGGAGTGATGGCCATGGAGGGATTCGTTCTGTTTCCCAACAATTAACCATAATACAGTAGGGTGTGTAATATTACTTGCATTCATTGCACAGCTCCAATTCCCATGGATTACATCATGAGTTTTGGGGTACAAAGAAAGCAACACCAGACCATTAGTATTCAGTTTATCATTGTTCTTTTATTCTCAGTATCTTTTATCCGAATTCAGATTTGAAGAAGTCAATAAAGGCCTTCCCTATATACAAAGAAATGGCAGTTCAAGTGCACATGCAAAGAAGGGAGTGGTATCTGTGCAGCAGACAGGCTGTGAGCTCTCCTTCGAGAGAGGAACAAGGTGCAGATGAAATGCAGAGTTGGAAATGGGCTGTTCTTAGGGCAGAAATGCAGGGACACAAAAAAACACTCTGAAGTCTGGAGTAAACTACATTTCTTTTATCCTAAGAAAAGCCACAGTCATGGAGTCACGTGAAGGTTGTGCCCAAAGCTTTCTTTACAGCTGCAGAGAAAAAATGTGGCACTAAAAAGGAATTATCAGCACTAGCTCTAAAGGGACCTCTTGCTAACTAATATCTTCTTCCATCACATGATACATATCAACCGTTATTAAAATAAGTTGGCCAATGGTTAGTTGGCAAGATCAATTTCATGTACCCCATATTCAAAGCAGGTACTGTGTTGGAAAGAGGTGCTCAACGTGAGCACTATTTGCAGCTGCAGTACAGCATTAAAAATACTGCTTTTCAATGAGCGATTCAAACAATTAGTTAAAAAGTGGGGTGATTCTAAGGAACGTACAAAAGCACTCATCCATTTTCTTATCATCGCTATCTATTTTGCATGGACAAATCACCTGCAGGCTATTTTTCCCCCCAGCAAAAAAAGGAAGCAAATAGATTGCTTTCTGAAAATGTGTTTGCTGGTAAAAGGAGGATGTTCCTTGATTCAGAAATCAATTAGACTGAACAGTGCTGTGACACCGGCTGTGTATCACCTGTGGGCTGCATCTGTGCTACAGCGGGGCAGCGGGGCTCATGACAGAATTAATTTCAAATCTCTGCATAGCTAAGAAGAGGTGAGGCATGTAAAAAGGTATCACATAGTTGTCCCTGGGTGGACAGTCTCTGGGGAGGACTGTAAGGAGGAGCACAGATATTCCTCACATCAACTGGGGAATAAAATCATGAAAAGCCTGGGTAGTACTACAAGCCTACTGACCCGCTCTACCTGCAGCAGGTGCTTTCCTTACTTGCCTTCCTACTCCAGCCCATAGTCTGCCCAAGGTGAGCACAGCTAACTTGCCCTTGGGCTGAGGGAAAGCTGGCAGAGCTCTGCACACTGCTGGGTCTGCAGACAGCCAAGCCAAAGAGGTACAGGGAATACGGGAGAATGTTTGTGATTCTTCCACTACTCTCTGGGCTGACAAGATGAGTTGTATGGAAAACAAGAGATTTCCCTGTGGCCAAAACCACACCTCCAGTTACAGGTCAGCTTCTTGCTGTAATGCCACACAGGTGTCTGCTGTGGTGACATGGGTTCATAGAGCACAAACAAGCATGAAACCCACACCATCTGTGAGCACGGGGCCAAAGAGGATAATCTAGATGGTGGCCAGAGGGGTGCATGTGCGTGTACATCAGCTGGAGTCCCTCAGGTGGGTGGAGGTGTGGCAAGGTTATGAGGGGACAGAGAGCAGGCTGTGTAGGAAATAGAGCACCAACACCTCCCAGAGCCAGGGGTGTTCCTGCCCTTCTGAGTCAAGGTCACATGGCCAGCAGAGGTAATTTCCAGTTTGAGAACTACAGAAGTTTCTTAAAGTATCTGTTTTTAGAAAGATAAGCCAGGCAGAAACTTACTGACTCCCTATAAAATCAATGGAAAATTACATTATGACATCACCCTGTTAAATGATTTTAGTCCAGGCCATGCCTCTCTGCTGTAGGTGAAGAGGAGAACGCACTGCTTCCTCTCTAGATGGAGAGCTGACTCAGTGAGTCAGCATGTTTGCCCCAGGGCTGGTGGAGTTTCTGTGCCTGGGGTGACATTTCCAGCACCTTCATTTCTAAACCTTTGTTGTTGTTTTTTGGTGGTTTTTTTTTGGTGTTATGTTTTTGGTTTTTTTTTTTTTTTTTTCCTCCCCAATTCCTTTCCAGTTTAAATTGAATGGGGAAAAGCACAAGAGAGCAGGCAAGGAAGACTGATGTGTCCAGAAAACAGAAAACTGCTGACATGTTGGTTCTACTCACAGCACTCACAGCATCTTATTTTGTATTTTAGGTACCTTCAGGCCCTCATACTACCAATGGGGAGAGGCAGAGAGACTGGCAGTGGCAAAGCATCTGATGCTTGGAAGCTCAAGCTGCCTCTGATGAGTTTTTCTAAGATGATTCTTCTTCCTTGTCCACTTTTTTCTATTTCTTACAACCATTGAAAATCCAGAGATTAAGGGCCACACTGATCATTGGAAAGTGAAGCAATATTAAGAATTAAAGCTAAGCCCTATCATTGTGATTCAGGACATGTCTTAACACAGCTGGTAGCCCTGGTGTGTACAAGATCAGCTAGAGCTAGAGCTAACAGACAGAATTCCATTCTATCATAAAACAAATCTTATGATTGAATTGTCACAACTCAGTTTGTCTGTTTTGTTTATAACCTGGCAATTTCATCATCAAAGTTCTTCAGAATTTAGCCCAAAATTCCTTATTATAAATCTATCACACTCCTACTTGTGCTTCCCAGGTTAATGGATAATATTAGTCTCTATTTTTTCCCCACGATTATTCTCTTTTTATTTTATTTTAATTGCAAGGCAGGAAGAAATTGAAATATTTCATAACCAGCAGTGCTCTTATCTACGGTCTCTTGAACACTGTGAACCTCCTGCAGATTTATGATTTTTCCTGTCTTAAATGGTGCAGCATCCTACAGCCACTGATTAACTAAGGCAGGAATCACATCCATCCCTTTGTTCCTTCAAGCTTTAAGCTTAATGTTATGGAAGCAGCGCCCAGCAGGGTGTAAAAGCAGCAGAGCGTGTGCAGTTACTCAGTGTTCGGACCAGTTTGGCTTGGGGTTGATATGAGTGCCATGCAAGCTGGTGCTGCTTGGTGGAAAGAAGTACAGGGTAAACTAGCAATCAGATAATCCACTTTTCTACTATTACAAAATGTTACTTGCAGTTTCTCTGCTAATTCAGATTTAAAGACAAAAACCTTATAATTACACATTCTGGATGCTATTCAAGCCTGATGTCTCATTGTTGGTTTGTAAATTATTCAATAAAAGGAACGTTTGAACCTATCTATGGAGCAGGCACGCCTCTCTCTGCCAACCACTGTCAGCGATGAGTTCCCGCCAGTGAAGCCACTAGCATTTCACTTCTACTGGAACTAAATTGTTAGAGAAAAAGCAGGTCATCTCTTCGTGACGTAACACAGGAAAATGGGTTAGCTGCGAGCGGAACCCATCTTAATAGTGGGAGAACCAGGAGGGTGAAGACACTTGGTAAAATCTTGACAAGGGGATGAATATAGCTCGGACCATAGGAACCTGATATAGTGAACCCTGTTTCTGAACAGTATCCTTCTTACTAAAAAAGGAAATGAATAAGGCATTAGTTGCTAATGCAAATTTTTCAGAGGCACAACAACATTACTCTGTGCAAAGAGCAATACAGCAGACTCTTGTATCTTTGAAAGGATATAAATCAGCCTTGCATGGCAGCACACTATTGAACAGAAATATCCTTTTTTTTATGCTCCAGCACAATAAATCTCACAGTCATTGCTACACTACAGGAACACACAAACACTTGGTGGTGATAAAGCCCCGCTTTCCCTCCTGTGTTTTTCCATGAGGCACAACACCTACCCCTGCTGTGCCACATATTTCATTGCCATCTTAGCTGCTGCTGGTTGCAGTCAGGGCAAAACATTAGCAAAGACTGATTCTCAAAGGTCTCCCTGGACCAAAGTGATTCTTACTGAGCTTAACACTTGTGCCATGCTGGAGGTATTTCTGAGATGGGGTGGGATGGGGTGAAGCTGATACTCACAGGACGACTTCTACGTGGTCCAAAGCCCACTGATCATGACCTGTTCCGTTGTGACGGGGCTGCCACCAGCGCAGTAAGACTCCTTTCATTCGTGCCTCCCTGTTGTCACAAACACAAGAGCCTGTGAGAGCTCCAGACTACAAAGGCTTACACTTCTGTCTCCCCCCAAGAGGTGCTGAGAGCAAAGACAAAGCGTTATTTGTACATCCCTAAACACCAACAGCCTGTAGGCACAAAATATTCAATGGTGAACAATTACACGCTCAAAAGGAAGAATTAAGCATACTTTCTTCTTATCCTTTAAAAGCATATTATGCTTTTTCCCAAGTATTTAATAAGCACTCTCCTTTCTTTCTTAATCAGCCTTCTGCTTAAACTTCCTTCTTCGCTTACCCTCTCATCAACCTTATTTTTCTTGCAGTGATGCAAAAATAGAGTCTTTCCTACCATAAATGTATCTTGTGCATTTAGACGTAATGAAATGTGACTGGGTACTCACAGGGGAACATTATAAGACACTCTTTGGGCTTGTATAAAGTCCTTTGGCTGATGCTGTGCAATTACTTGCCATGTAATTCCATTATTTACACTGTATTGGAGAAGCACTGCCTTGTCTACAGTGTTAGGATCACTTAGATTGGTATTGCAGCTGTCTGTTTGCGAAATGCTTCCAATTTGCAAAACGAACATGATTTTGCTGTAAAACAGAGAGAAAAGGGATTGTCAATATGCAAAAAAGTATCCAGACAAGAACAATTGTACTTCCAGGTATATTGCAGTTATTAAAAATTTCAGGATTCTCAAGAATCATTTCTTTTAATATGTAAAATAAGTTTTCTCACATCTAAAGCACAGCTCCTCTTTCAAAGTAATAATTTGCTGTGTACAGCATATTTCCATATATTTGAAGACAATAGATCCAATTTTACAATGTACCTGCAGTCAAATGAGGTATACAAATAGAACATGCAAGTGAATGTATAAAATGCTAAAAAGGGCAAATAAAAGTTGAACAAAGTACTGAAAGGATTTCAAATGTTCTACCTAGGCATTCAAATAAGAAACAAGGAGTCTGATTTATATCTGGCCCATTTGCTGATTCACTCTGCTTCTAATAATTCTTTAGACAGTTAAAGACAAAACCAGTCCAGAAAGCTGTCACTCTGTTAAGGGTCAGCACAGGCTGGTTACATTTGTTTTTCTGTGGCTAAAGAGATTTAACAGAAGAAAAAGATACTCATTTTCATTTCCAGGTGAATGTAATTTTATTTGACAACTGAAACAGGAAAATGAGTCCGTAATTACTGATAGCATCTTCACTCATGACTGCCATTGGAGGCACATGCAAACGTGGCATTTGTTTTATCAGATCAGGCACTGGTCCAGGCAGTCTGGTATCCAGTCTTTGCCAATGGCTTCATCGTCAGTTCTGGCTTACAAGGCAGCTCTCTGTTGGACATGATGAAAACAGCTGACCTTTTCATTTGACATCGCTTCCTCCTCATTCTATCTCCCAAATCAAAGTCACAAAGCATTCTGTTTATTTGCCAACCACATCTAACTGCATGGTTAAGCCAAGTTAGTTTATCCTCTTCAATACTGCCTCACATGGCTCCACACGCATAGAAAGAATTTCCTTTCTCATGAGCTGCTGAAGGAACATTTTCTGCTCAAAGTATTACCTTGCTCGGGTGAGATCCAGAGGCTTAGTCACAGCTTGTCGTACTTGACATCCATTAAAATAGAGTGAATCTCCATGGGCATAGGGTGCCAGCTGTCCACATCCATTCCCTATCACTCCCCCCTGAATGGTTTCCCAGTTTATTTCAGTGACTCTTTCAGATTCAAAATTATCTTTAATATAACTGGGTAGATCATGGCTAAAAACAGAGCAGTCATCACCTAAAAATGAAACAGCAAAGTTATAAAACACAAAGAAATGAAAATAATTGAGAAAATTCAGTCACAATCCATTGTAGTTACATTCAAGTTAGTGGCTCAATACACAGGGTGACTACAGGTTGAATATGTTTCAGCAAATCCATTAATAGTGTACACATTGCTGCACAGCATTCATTTTTATGAAACTGAAGCTGCCAATCTGTTATTTCTTACAGCAGTACAACTTCAAGGATTGCAATAGAGCTTCCCCCACTTTTCATTGGTGCCAACGTAAGAAACCCCAAATTGATGCTTGAGGGGAAATGTCTTTAAAACTGGGAAGGAATCTGACCTCGTAAAGTTATGAGTCTGGCCTGGAAGGCTCTAAACACTTTGGCTCCACTCCCGTAAAGCAGTTACAATGTAATGAGGACACTCAGGTGCCATTAGACACGTGCTTATCTGATTGAGGCTTTAGAGCAGAACACCCTTTTGTGATTGTGTGCAGAGCTGAATCTCCCACAGGTGCCATCAATTTCTGGATCCCATGTACACTTCCCCTGGGAGTGACTTCACCCTTGGAAGGAGTAGAAGGCTGAAAGTCATATCTGGGTAAGCAGGCAGCCACCTCCTGGCTTCAATGAAGATTGAATGGGCTTTAAATACAGTGCCAGACAGCAGAGACTACTGATTCAATCCAGGAAGAATAAATGGAGGCAAGAGCTGTTACCTGCAGCCCTGTCAAATTATGAATTTAAAGTCTGTTACTTGCACTCCCATGATGAATTAAGACAGGATATATCACTCTATCTTTTTGTTTAACTTTGGACTACATTAGACTGCAGCAGTTGTATAAGAAAGAAAATGAAGAAAAGAAACCTTGATATCCTTCATCACAAATGCAAATAGCTCCAGTTGTGCAATATCCTCGACCACTGCAGAGCTTAGGGCATGCTTCCCCAATGTACACGTGGTCAATCGCCCAGCTTTGTTTCTCCAGTTCTTCTCCTTTCTGAATCCACCTGAACTGAGTTGCACTGCAAATATCAAAACCCAAATATGATATTATGATATCTAAAAGTTAAACACAGTTAAGTTAAATACAGAGAACTTCAAATTTGCCAGCAGAAGATGAAATGAAAAAAAAAATTGCATGAAAGAGCCAGCCTGAATGGGTTGCAACCGTATCATTGGCAGTAGCCACTTCTATTTAAATAAGCTTTCTTAAAAACATTAGTTTTACATCAGACCTAAATCCAGCAATAAAGAGCACTTTAAATCCAGCAGTTGTTCCAGAGCTAACAGTGCCAGCGAGACAGCTGACATTTTATAGGCCCACAGTGAGCCGACCTTTTGGTAGCCTACCTGGAAGAGACATGATCAGGCAGCTGGATAGTTATTCTTTTCCACATGGAGCTGTTGACGGAGTTATAGATGGTAGCTTCATGGAATTGAAATGGGGAGCAGCCAATGCTATTAGATGAGGAAGGAAGACAGTGTGTCTGTACGAGCTGCCATGAATCTGTTCTATAAGAAACAAAAAAATTATGTTATTAGAACTACGGACAGAATAATGAAAGGATAACAGGGAATCTCTAAAGGTCACAACACAACCAATCTCACTAAACAAATCCAAAGGACTGTCAGCAATGTAGCCACAGACAAGAGCTGAGAGCATGAAAGCCTGGTGCACCCATGGAAGACTTTCCATGCTCTGTATTTACTTACAAGCATTTAAGTACAGAATGTGCCATCAATTTTACAAATTATAATGCACGATTATGCTACAGCACAGTGTTATTACAGAAATAATGTTACTGTTTGTCAGTTAAAGACCAAATCAGAATTAAATAACCTCCACCTGTTTACAGTTTGGTCCTAAATATAAACTCCTGTACAAGACTAAAACAACAGTATCCCATGAATGTGGTTTTCTGTGAACACATTTTTAACAGTAACATGAACATGACTGTAACTGCAAGCTCAGTCAGCATCTGGGATAAATTATAAAGAGAATTTATGGGAGTTATGTACAGAAATCCCAGTGCTTGCAAACAGAATTTGTTCAGATCCTGTTACAAGATGAACATCAAAACAAACACTTTAATAAATAAAAGCCCTTGAAGTTTTTAATTGCACACTATTTTTTAAGTCCATATATTCTGCTCTCATTTACCTTGCATCCTTAGTATACTCCAGCATCACAGAGTGGAGGTCCCCACAAGATGATGCCTCACAGCCAACCACGATCTATAGCACAAATAAAATTGGCAGCTGTAATAAGTCAGGCAGACACTTAATGTGGCACATGATGAAGTGTTGCTCTATTTTTTATTTTTTACAGGTTGCATAAAAGAGATTGCAAACTTAGACCTTGGAAAAAAACCATTGAAAGACGATGGATAACAAAAGACACAGTACTTCAGGTACTGCTCAACTGTACCACACTGTTATTTTCAAACAGAATCCTAACACTGATATCCCAAATTTCAAATTAGCTATCTAAACAAACATTGTTTCTGACACACAGAGAGGTGGGCGCGCCTCAGCTTTTGAGAAAGTGAAATACCTAACTTTGTATTAATCATCCATGAAATTTTTAAATCATCAAATCATTGACGAGTAATCAAGTCAGTCCAATTCAGAACAGAATTATCCTGCATGTACAAACAAGTAACCATATTTGTGCCACGTTAGAATAGAAAGATTACAGCATCCCTTATGTAGTACTGAAGAGGTAACACAAAGCTAAATTTTAAGTATTTCAAAGCCAAAGGGCAGCCATGCATTAGAGCTGCATTCTTAGTTTAGAAATAAAATCCTTGCTCTGTCTGGGGAAGAGAAAGGAGGAGAGAATCTGGAGAAAAAAACACTTTACTTGGTAATGCGAAAAATTCAATGCTGATGGGTTATCTTAATTTTGCCCTCAAAATAGTGGAAAAAGATGATATGCTGGCTAAAATAAGCAGCAGCTCAGAGGGGTCTTGGCATGCAGTAGAATCTAGCATGTCAGACTCCACTTTTATATAATTTCTTTAAAGACAGCATACTGTGTATAAGTGGTCACAGCAATGCTTTCACGGAGTACATTAGTCAGTATAAAATAGGCAACAGTGTTGAGAAAATATTGATTGAAAATAGGAAATCCTGGAGCTGTCTTGTAAAAAAAAAAAAAAAGAAAAAGCAAGAAAAAAACATAACAAGAAAATAGAGAACTATTTTTATGACTTGGCATTCATGTTATTTCTCAGCTCATTTAAGAGATGGTGACTGGGGAAGGACCTAGAACATTTCCGGGCAACAACTACGTAAGTATTTTCTTATTGCCACTGTCTGTATTCAGAATTCTACCTTAACAAAGTAAAATATCCAGAAATGTTACTCTGATTATTTAGAACACTGTCCATCACACAAATAAGCAGAGGTGTTCTTCTACTCTGAGCACTTCTGCATTTTTAGTAAACCACCTTGTTTCCAGTCCAATTCTGTGTTGCCTTTTTTCTTTATTCACCAGCTGGAGGGAATGGTATATTCTGCATGTCTTATATTCTCATCTTAGAAAATAACTCTCACTGTATTGATGATCCAGTGATGTGGGAAGAAAGGGATTAGACTGCCAGTCCCTCCCAGTAACCCCCAAAGGACACAGGCAATCAGAATTATCTGTCATTTAGCATTCATGCAACTTTTCATGTACTCTACCTACACTTCAACATTTCTCTTAAAGTCTAATAATTAAAGTCATACTTTATGCATCCAATTGTGCTTCATAGCTGAAAGAAGGAGAATTTCTGGAGAGAAATTAAATGGTTTTTCATTGCATACTTTACACTGTAGAGAGAGAACATTTCTTACTTTAAACTGCATCATGTATCCTGGTTGTATAATGAGCTCCCGGGAGGACAGGATGTTGTGTGTTTTGTCCTTTTTCTTATTTGGCCAGTAGAGATGGAATGAAGGATTTCCACAGAACCCTGCAGTCCTAACTGCATTAGGGTAAAAACTCCAGTTTTCTTCATGAGAGGTGCCTTCTGTTAACATGAGTTAAATGCAATTACTGAGTTGTTTTGGTAAATATCAAGGCTTAGTAATGAATCCACAGAATCACTAGATATAAACACTAAATCTCTGCTCACTGTTGTGACATGCAGTAAGTAAGCTACTAGGAGAAACAGTAAAAACATCAGCTCCAGACAGCTAATTTGATTTTTAAAATAATAGCATTTCAAAAAATATGATCAAATAAAATTTCCCTGTTCAAAAATTTACATGAATTGAGGTGGACTGAAAAAAACACCTTTCTTACAGGTGTATCCATACATTTACACAAACACCCCTGAATTCATGTGCATATGTGTATTTACACATCAGGATATAAACAGTAGTTGTCTACAACGTGAAAAATTCACTTAGCTCAAAAAGGAGAAAAAGGATGTTTGCAAGTTCACAGGGCTTTTCTCAAATAAAATCACAGCAGACAACGGAATAGCCGTCACAGCCTTTCTTACCATCATCAAACGTATCCACCAGCTGACTGGGGTTGATCTCTGCTCCACCAATCAGAATGTTATCCAGAGCCCACTGCGCCCGATCAGGGCCTGAAACCACAATCCCGTTGCTGATGGTGAAAGGCTGCCACCACCGCAAGCGGGTTGTGTTGGTCAGAGCATGTTCAGGGAGAAGGATGTAGTCATGCCTGACTGAGATGTATTTTTGGTAATCCATCTCGTGAAGCAAAGTCCAAGTTATTCCTAGAACGAAAAGATGCAGATTTAGTAATAAAAACAAGTGTAAGATAGAATCTTCTAAAAGACTGGAGGGCTATAATAGGAAATCAGGAATAACAGTTACGGTCTTCTAATAAACAAATGTTAACTTTTAAGGGTAGCTGGTGACTGTTATTCATTACAAGAATAATCTTGTAATTGTATAAAAGGATCAATTGGCTGGAAGCCATTAATTAATAAAATCAAGCAGGAGGATTATGGAAAACTTCTCCCAAGCAATAGATGGAAATTTTAGACAAGAAAATTACCTTTTCAATGAATAACACTCTTACTGATTTGTATCCTTCTGATAACTTCTCAGATATTTATGGTGTTTGAACACCGAACAAGGCTGTAGTTTAGATGAAACTTAGATGTACTTGCCTCCATCAATGGAATAGTCCAGCAGCACTCCCTCCTTTCTGCAAGTTGGTCTGTGGCATGTTGTCATGTTGTTTTCACTCCCAATTCTTCCCCAGTACTGTAGAAATCTAAGAGTAAATGTAAAGACTTACATCTAGTAGCATACTTCACAGATCTAGAAATTTGCTTTCTGTTAACAGATATGCTGAAAAAGTTTGAAATACAAAAACTTTTATGCATGTAACATCAATGTAGAAGTAGAAAAAGGGTTTCAAAAAACATTGTTTTATAATTCCCACTGGAACTCATGGAATTCAACAGACAAACACAAAGTCCTCCTTATGGGAAGGACTAACCTCCTGCAATGGTACATGCTGAGGACTGATTAGCCAAGAGCAGCTTGTAGCTGCTGAAGAATTCCCTTAGCTACAAATGGTATTGCCTGCTGCTCTGTGAGTCTTTAAGAGAGTTTAAGAGAGTTCCCCATGACATAATATGACATACTTTGCACCCCTCAGGTCCAGATCTTGTGTGACAGCCTGCCTCACAGTTTGACCTCCAAAATACAGAGTTGTGTCTTCTGCTAGAATCCCACACTCAGTACAAGTATTTCCTCCTTCCAAGGACATCCATAAATCTGGCTTAATTTCTTCATTGTCAAAGCGTTCTTTTAGGAAAGTCTGTAACAAAGATATTTAACATAAAGGAAAAGTAGTTATGATCTTAAGCCTTTCTGATGAACAGAGCTGGAACTGAGATTCAAAACATATTTGAAAGGCTCATGAAGATTGTGAAGATTTTTTTTCTCCCAAGTGAATGAGCAGAAGTGAACTGAATTGACTAAACATGCAAATATTTTAGGGCTAGATTTTAACATACTGGGGAGCCAATCCAGCACACCGGAATTTGCATGTAGAAAGGAATAGGTCTATTTCATAACTGTGGTCATTTAAAACTATACAGCACCACTCCAGTCTGTAGCCAGTATATGTGTAGATATTGCTGTTCTACATTTTCTCCCCAGCAAAAGTTGTACTGCAACGAAACATCAAGACTCTTGTATTTTTTGCTTCAGTAAGCTCTTTCGTGATAAAGACGATCCTTCTACAGGACTTGATCAATAATAATCATGGGCAATTGTGATTTTTATCTAATGATAATCTAAGGATTAACAACGAATGAGCTTTATTAAGCAGTGTTATGTAAAAACGAACAAAACAGTTCTTGGATACTGCAGTAACAGTTTCATTAAAAAAAGTGATAAAAGAGATGGAAATGGACTTGATTATCTTCATGCTGATAGGAACCAGAGTTCAATTTCCACTGTGATCAACCTCCTTCTCTCAGTCAAACACTTACCTAAATTCACTCTTTAAAATATGCAGTAAAATTACCTTCAGTGTTTGGGTCAGATAGCAGTTCGGACCCGAATATCCAGGATCACAGATGCATTGCTCTTTCAGGCAGTCTCCATGTCCTCTGCAATTTTCCAGACAACCGGGGCCCAGATAGAAATTATCAATGGCCCACTGCATATCTGAGTATTTCTGGTAGAACCGAAACCTCACAGGACTGTATGTACAGAAACAAAGAAAAGCAGACATTTGTGAAAGAACTTTGCTCAAACAAACACAGGTAGTTGAAGTGCTTATGACTTATGACTGTACTATTCTCCAAGCTTCCAAAAGTAATATCTGGCAGTCTCTGTTGAAATGACATACCCGTGTTTTCTCCTTCTCAAGTGTACTATGATATCTAGACATGATGGAAGCAGGAAAAGTATTTCGGCTCCCCAAATTTCATTTTTGGTTATACTTTCTTTGCAGATTACTCAAAGATACAAGAGATTGTAATTTTTGCAGAAAAATCAACCCAAATAGTTTGCATATGTGTGGACTACTGCAGACAATAGGAGAACGCTTCCACTCAGTAAGGCCATAAATTTACTCTCTAATTGAATGCAGCTGATTGAACACAGCAGAACATGCTACACTGAAGTAGGTTTCAGAAAAGCAAGGATGACTGTTCCATTTGTTCAGAACAAGAGTCATGATCAATCTTGACAGGAAACAAAACTAGGCAGTAAGTGTTTCTATTCTGTACTTTCCTTGGAAGAAAATGAATAGGTACATGTGTCCCCAGTTGTGTTTTTCAGGAGGTGAAAATCCAAGAATCTCAGATAAAATGAGTTGCTAACTCATACTTACTTGCCCATGAGGTTTTCAGGTAGTGAGTAAGTTACTCTTTTCCACCCTTTTGTAGGAAAGAAGACAGATGGCTGTGAAACACTCCCAGAACATTTTGGATCAGCAGGTAAACACTGAGGTACCAAATAACTCCAGCTAACACCAAAGTCAGTGGAGTACTGCACATGGACCTGATTTTGTGCAAGTTTTTCTGAGGTTTTACATCCAACAGAAATCTAATAAAGAAGAGAGCATAAGTAAATTAGAATTAACTGTGGTAGTGAGTAGAGTTTATAAAATATTTGAACCTGAAAAAAGGCCGCAGAATTTTGCTTGAAATTATGGCAGTAACAGTTCTTGTATGCTATTGTCACCTGCAGATCTCATCCCAATATTCACAAGATTGAGAACAGTCATCAAATTCAGAGTTTCTGTTGTTTTTTTTTTCTAGCTAGTTCATCTTTATGGATATCCAGGTTTTGTCACTTCTGCCCCATAGCCCCGTACCTCATAATTGATATTCTCCTCTCCCATAAAGTCTAAGATTTGAGTATTTCAGAGAAGGCCACCCAGGTCAGTTATGTCCAGTAGACCTTCTTTTTAAGACAGATGTGCAAAAGGATCTTACAATTTTCATGGATTGCTGGATTATTTTCTCTCTGTAGGTAAAGGGATGTATGAAGGGTGGTTTAGTTGCAGTTTTGATGTGAATGCATGCCCACATAGGAGAGGTGTGGCCATTTTTGAACTGTTTTCACTTTACCAGGCAGCTAAAATAAAACAGGCACCTTACACATGTTTAATAATCTTATTACATGATGTCCATACAACTTCTGTGCTGGAAGAGAACAGTGTGCTACCTATGAGAAAGGTTTGCAGTATTAAAGCTGGCCAACAAGTAGCAGGTGAGACAAATGAAAACAGCTAATTAACACTTTCCCCTGCAGAGAATGGCTCATGAATAGGTATAGACATCCTCTCAGTTCTTGAAAAATCTACTTAGATTTGGAGGAAAATGATTTTTAGAATATTTATGTAGAAAACTGTGATTTTACCTTGAACTGCATAATCCAGCCTTCTGTTGGAGTCAGGTCATGGGTAACTGCATAAACCTCTCTGCCATCATGGCTCCCACAGATCATAACACCATCAGGAGAATCACAAAACCTCTCAATTGAGCAATCATCATGGAATAACCAGTGTTCATTCACTTGAAAATAACCGAGAACATCAGTAAGTGACAACATGGGTTAAGAAACCAATCAGGAAGTAGAATTAAATAGTAATGATATGTTATTTTTTAGCCTACATGCAAATTCTTTAGTACTTCTGAGAATGTCAATGTCTCTCCCAGTTGTATACATTTATTACATTCGTTGCTCTTACAACTCTCTTACATAAGCATCATGGCATTATTTTTTAATGCTCATGATGTACAGGTCTGAGATTACTGAAAACATGAACTTCTGTTGCACTGCATGTTACTGAAGAACTTTCTGATGTTTGTTGACTACAAAACGCCTGCATAAAGACCACTCAGCATTGTTAGTTGCTAAGCTTTCTGAAGTACTTCCTCTTCCACAAAATGTATCTGGAAAATGTAACCTAACCTTCCTAAAGGTTATTTAAGCCAGTTAGCAAATAGGAAACAAATAGGTTAAAAAAGCTACCTAGAATAACCTGGTTTCTTTCCATCCTTTTTTTCTTTTTCTCTCTTTGAAGAAAAATTCATCATCTAAGTAAATTCACTCGTTAGAAAAAGGAAAAGTTACATTACATATTTTTGTTTTGCATTTTGTGAACAATAATAACAACAAAGCTAAAAGAAAAAAAAAAGAAGCAAAGATGCTCATAGCGATAGGATTGTCTATGACATCTGTCATAGGGGACAAAGATTCAGAGGTGCAGCAAGAACTAGAAATCTCTGTACTGACTGCTTGCTCTTTAATTCAGATCCGTGTAAAACTTTTACCTGTGGTTTTATCTTCCATGAACATATCGAAGGCGATCCTGCCGGTGGGCCCTGCATCGGCAGGGGAGCGCTCGTGCTGCGGCAGAGGAGCGCTGCTGAAGGTGTCCAGCATCACAGTTCTCTGGTCAGCTGAGCCAGAGATCAACACGTTGTCGATAGCCCAGTCGTTCTGGTCCAGACCATCATGTTTAGGCTGCCACCAGCGGAAGCGCGTCCCAATAGTTTTAGCATCGTAGGGGAGGAGGATGTTCACAAAACTGAAATACAGTGTGGAAATTAGTTGTAGGAAACCCGCAGGGGAAGGCCACTTCTCGATGCTCTGTATTGGGTACTTTGACTGGGTCTACCCCTGTTGTCTCTTAGAGCATGTGGAAACTGGGAAAATTGAGAAGGTTAGGTAATCTAGCATATCTTCTCCCATGAGAGACTGCCAAAATAAAGAACCCTCATAAAACCCAATGTTATCCCTTGCACAGAGGCTCACAGTAAGGTGCAGAGGGTCAGCAGCTAGTCTATGGCATGAGTTGTTCAAATTTGCTTTAAGGAACAAAATGCAATGGTCTATGAACATAAGATCCCAGGGAAATGCTAAGAAGGGAAGCGCTGAATAATAATTACTATTTTCAGCCTGAAGCCATTCAGTGAAATTTTCTTATTTCCATTACAATAGTAGTCAATGGCACACTTAAATCACTTGTCCAATTAAAATGCTAATGATTTGTTTGTGTATTCAAATTAAGCGTCAAGCCATATGTCCTTCCCAGCCCCGTCTTTTAAACTAATAAACGAGGAAAGGGTTCACCTATATCTGTGCATGCTTTGAAACTCACAAATGTCTGAAAAGACTGTTTGAGTGCAGTGTAGACATCTTAATGGGTATCTGTAGAAATTCAGTTTCTCCTCCATACACCATTTTCTAACAAGTTCAAATAGCCAGTCAGCAAGGATCATGATTGTAAGTGAAAGTAACTTGCAGAACAGGATCATTGCAGCTATCTTCCTACACTTATAGCTTTGCACCTGAACTAATGCTGATGCTCAAGCACATGCTTTAAAGCCGTTCACAAATTTCTGCAGCATTGGACAGACTCTGTGTCTTGAAGATTTGATATCCAAACCAAAGCAGTAATAAAAGAAATAAGTTGTTACAAAACATTCAAGACCATCTGACCTAGTGTAGGATATTATATACGCAGAAGAAAGCATTTACAAACCCAGGCTTGCTGAATTGGTCATAGAAAATTTCCATCAAGATGCTCCAGGTAATTCCACCATTCACAGAATACTCCAGCAGCACTCCTTGGTTACGATTGTTAGGAGTTATCAGACATCCATACATGAAATAAAACTGGATGAATTCTGCACTGGTGAGATTCAGATCCACTGTAACTAACATACGGCTACAGCCCTTGAAAACAATGGAAAGTTATGTTGGCTGGTGCTACCTGGTAAAACTTAGAAAAAGTGTTAGATTATGCAGTTGCTGTTAGTAAAATTACATATTGTAACATCTTCCAGAATGGTACAACTTCTACAAATTATAACAACAGTAAAGCTACAACAGAACAGTAAACAACTTTCTCCGAGAACAGTTTCAGGTACGTTCCATCTTAAAAATACCCACCCGTGTTGCTCCCTGCATTTACAGCTTTATAATATTAAACCCCATAAATGGTATTCACCTCCGTGCTGAATACAAGAGTTACAAAAATCCACATCTCCAATGTAGAACATGAGGTTCTCCACAGAGTTGATGAGCTGCTGATTGTGTCTAATGGTTCAGTTGATGCAAATCATCAAACAGCACAGCAATTTTAATATATGTGCTTTCCAATAATGCCTTGTATATTTCACACACTTCGCTTACTGTTAATTAGTGGTGCCTACTTAGTCCTACTGGAAGGAATTGGAAATGCAATAATTCCATTAGTTTACTCCAAAAAACTTAGTTTTTTGGAGCATTAGTTTGTACCTAGTTATAAATGGACATGAAAGAGCACAAGTTTTATGTTTCTGAAGTTTCATCTAGCCATTTTTATAGCCCTATAGCCTATAGGCTATCTAAAGCAAACTGCAATTCAGCAGCAGTCCAGGTTATGCAGCTATGTATGCAGCTAAAGCACAAGTAATTATACTCCAAGTTCACACTGAAAATAAATTAAAAAAAAATGAAATATCTGAAGGATGAGTCGACACATAGATGTATTTTCATGGAATAAGTGCATGGTAGATGCACATAAATATCTTGCTATTCATTTACCTCTGTGGGCTGATTAGAAGCAGCACCTAACTGCAGTCTCTGTGGAAAATGTAAGTGCTACAGGGAGGCCATTATCAGTGGGTGGGTCTGAAAGTCAACAAACTTTGTGCTTTGTTGTATCAGGCCCTATCACAGCTACTTTCAGGAGGCCTCCACGCCATTACTCATATTCCTGGCTGCAGAAAAACTGGAAAATGCCCAGATCATGCTATCTGATTTGTTGGAGTTGGGCTGGCACTGGTCTGTAGAATCTATCTGACTTTGCACTTCCGCTGGCAAGAGGGAATAATTTTTTTAATATGTTTTATGTTTACCGTGTTAATATTTTATAACACACTGCTCTTTATTTAACTTTTTAGATCTAAAGCAGCAAGTCTGTGCTGAATACCAACCCCGCTAAAGTGAAGAGCCATCCCGGAGGCCACTGCTCCGCAGACTGTGCTCAGCTTGCCTCCATTCACTGTCAGCCAGTTCTGGTTGGATGGTGAGCGATTGAAGTTATCTTTCAGTTGTGTTGGAAGGGGAGTCTCTGGCTCATCGCAGTACAGCCCTCCCCAGTGCTCATCACAGCTGTGGAGGAAAACAAACGCAAAATTCAGCTGGCAAAGGTGATGCACAGAGGTCTGATCCGCGTCGTGTTATCCCACATCAAGGTGCAATGTTATTCCACACAGACTGTCTGCGTCATTCACTAGCTCACAACTTGCATATAGGGGTTTCAGACATCTGCCACTTTTTGAAGTCGTTAGTATGAACAAAAATGATTTTAGGAAGGATAGAATTATGTAGATGTTTTTCCCACTCTATTTTATAATGGAAAGTACTCCAACACAATGTTACCAGTGAAATAGATTTTACTTTGATAGACAAAACTAAAAGGATGTGCCAAGCATAGGAATGTCCAACTAATGTTAAATTTACATGAATTTCTGTAAAATCCTAATGGATAGATAATTTCCTGTTGCTCCCTTATACAGTCCTCATTTTTTTTTCCTCTTCAAAAAACCTTGTAATGTCTTGAAATCTGGATAAAAGCACAGAAATGTGCTTTGCTACTATGTGTAGATCATGCCTTGGTACTTCAGTACTGCTGGGATAGAGGCCAAACAATAATATACCTATTCTGCAGTGGAATATATTTCTAGTACACATAGTCACAGTAAAATTCTCCCATTCTCCCATTTCTGTTACCATTTGTGACTGGAAAAGCAATACATCCATCTGGAAGATATTTCTCTGTTGCCAAACAAAAAAATCTGGGGAGGTCTGGTTGTTGTTTGGTACTTTTGCAAGGCTTTATGTATCAGCCTTTAGGCTGATAGTTTGAGGATCAAACCAGTCTGCTGCCATGGGCAAACTCACTTATGAAGCCAATTCATCAGGCCACCAAGCCAACACTAGTTCTAAGGCAAAAATCGGCCTTGTGAAGAGCTGGCATATATTCTTCCACTTAGCACATGTTCCATTACCAGCCCTGGAGCTCCAGCAAGGATGAGCATCCAGCAGCAGGATGAGGGCAAAGGGACAACCCCCTTGGGAATCAGGGATTACTTCTGGGGAGCTTTGGAACTGTATCTCCCCAGCAGGGTGTGTGGCCTCAAGCAGGCCCTCCTCCCTTCTTTGTGAGCGGGGAGTCAAGCTTCAGTGTACAGTGCAGCCAATAGCAGAGGCAGTGTGTGAGGAAAGGACCAGCAGCATTGCTCGTGGTGTGCTTACAGGCAGAGATCTGCCAGAACTAACCACAGCACTTACCCAGACTCCTGAAATTTCTGTTCCCAAGTGGTTGCAATGCCCTGCTCAGTTTTAACTAAGACCACTTAAAAATTGTTTGACACAATTTTTAACCTTTTCTGTGATTTTGTTATAATTACAGAGAAGTGAAATGCTGCAGTGCTGTGTAGGACAGGGAAAAAAGTACACTTACACACAGTTGTCTTGTGTGCACTTCCCATGGCCACTGCACATGTCTATACAACCATCTCCAATGTAGACATTGTCAATTGCCCATGTCTGCTGCTTATCAAAAGGAGCAGGCTGGTGCCAGCGGAATCGAGTCGCTTGAGACCTTTGGGAAAGAACGGAAAACAGAAGGGTAATATTTCTAGGCAAGCCAGCCCTTATTGTGACTGAAGAGAACTGTCAGTCTTGTGGCTAGACTGCTCCTGGAAGATTCATTTGATATCAATATAACCGAGGGATGATTCCTGACAGCAGAAAGGTCCCCCAAAGGCAAAGATGAGAGCTCCCACTGAGCTGCACCAAAGCTAAATGGATTTGACTGGCATACTAATAGACAGAGAAGTGGCTTCCTGAAATGTGTAATAGATAAGGAGGTCCTCCTAGCTGGGTTCTGGCACAAATCTGAGGCTGAGAACTGGATCAAGCCAAAATCACCCAAATCTTCCAGGTTTTACACCAAGCCTGAGTTTCACTGTTTTGGCAATGAACTAACCTGACTTCTTCCTCTGTGAATGCTCCTGACTACAGCCACATAGTGCATAGAGCTCTAGACAGAGGGTTGGGTCCTACACTAGATGCTGTATTTATAAACCTACAAGGGTAGGTAAGCCCTCTGTGGGGCGGGTGAGACCAGCAGTGGTGTGATCCTGCCTTGTAGTTTCTTCCCTGTCCTCCATCCTGGCTTTGGCTGGAAATAGTAAAAAATTATCTGAGGTGTGATCCTGTCTTTCAATAAACCATTTTCATTTTATTGATTAAAGATAGAATGTAGGTCTTTTTTCAAACACCTTATTTTGATATAGTTATATTAAATATTTCATCTCCTAGGGTAGATGGTGGCAACCCAGCCAAAACAGTCTGGGAACACCAAATAGCTACTCATCTCACACAGCTGCATACACCTACATGTGAATAGTTCTGAGGACATGAGCTTCTGTCCTTTTCAAGAATAGTTTCAAATTCAAATTAGTAGACGATTTGCAGTACAGCACTAGATGGCAGCATTGAACTTTGTACAGTCTGCTTTCTTTCACAACTCAGCTGCAAACCTCAAAAGAAAGAAACAGCAAAACCCCCCAAATCTATGCAGCCTAAAAGTAGATCCTTTATGATAAGGTCAGTGTTACACTATGAATTATTTCTTAATAAACTTACTAGATGAAGTGAATGGAGAACAAGTTTATGCAAAAAGAAATCTACTGCTGTGCTTACCAAATAGTGTTTTTAAAAGAAATATTTAAATCATGAGGAATTCCTTGAGGACTGAGAAACCTATATCTCACTCCACCTGCATTAGGTTTTGCACTTCACTAACAGTTTACAGAACTGATGCTGCTGGGAGAAGTTTTATGTTTGCATTTTAAAATCAGCTCTAAGATATAACTAAAAGTTCATTGTGTTCTGCAGGCCACAGGCTATAGGGCCCTCTGGGGAGCATGGGCCTTAAAAAGCTCTGCCATTATGGGTGCTGTGTGCCAGTCCAAGCTGTTCACCACATAGCCTTCAGGTCCCTAGAATATATGGATACAAGTAGTCAGAAATACACATGCTATTTCACAGCCTGAAGTAATAAAAGGCACAAGAATTATATTGCCCCTTTACTAAAGATGCACTTGACTTTACTACTAGCTGTACTATTCCTTATACTTAAGCTTAATTTCTTTCTTGCTTGTGAGCTAAGGTTGTAATATCCTGTCTCACACAATCCCTATCTTACAGTCTTTGTGAAATGGTATTACTTGAGCTCAGATGTGTAGTTATTGGGCTGAACAGCTTTTTTTTTTTTTTTTTTTTTTTTTTTCCTCAGAAAGGCATCAGACTTCTTTGGCATATGGCAGCCAAAAAATCTCAGCCTTAAAAGCACAGCTATGCATAAACCCGAGTAAATCTCAGGTGGCATATTCCTTTCAGGTCCAAATTCAATTAGTTTGGAGTACTACTCCAAGTTTTTATTTATCCTGTGAAGCCCTAGAAAGCCCTCGCTGCATGGAAATTTGCAGTTTTCTTACAAAGACTGCCATGTTAATGGATTTTACAGGCAGTATAGTGAAGCAGTGCAAATGAGTTAGCAGAGGAGATCATTGCTCGGAACAAGCTCTGCATGTACTATTAGATGACATAAAGCACTGCAATAAAGATAGAGAAGAGTAGATGTCAAAACAGTTAGTAGCAGAACATGGACTGCCAGTTTCAAAACTTGTGGCAACCAGACAGATGCTCTCAGTACAATTTCTGAAAAATATAGGTCTCTGTTTCCAAACTTGTATATGCAGTAGTTGGCATCCTTTGTAACTTCTCAAATAAGAATAATCTACGCCTGCATTGTGACTGCAGTTAGGTTAGCCTAGCCTCATGTTAGGAAACGGGGCTCAGCTCTACGAGAGAAGCTGGAAAATGAAGCTGTGCTGAAGGCCTGATGTTCACACTGCCTTTGTTTGCAGAGCTCTACTTTGGGCAAGCTTTGCCCTGGTTTTATCAGGTATTATCAGGTATGACCGCATGGGGGACAGTCACAGCTAGCACTGCAAAACAGTGTATCAAGAAGGACATGAACTGGAAGTCTGAACTACACAGTTAGCTCTGTCTAGATCTTTCTGGCAGAGACAAAACCACCACCAAAAAAGTATCAAGCTGTTTTCAGGGCGTAACTGTGAAGTGTATGGCTGCACTCCAAGTAGCAGCAGTCAGTGCTCCTTTCACTGCACAAAATGAAGCCTCCCAGCAAACCCCTTAAGTTTTCTTACCCCAAAGACAAAAGAATGTACAACAAGGAAGAAGAGGTAAAAATGAGGCATGTGTAAAAACATGAGCATAGAAGTTGAGAGAGATGCAAAGGCTACAAGGAATGCACAGAAAAACAAGAAGCCTGCAAAGTATTACTGTTAAAACACCAGCTCATAGCCAACAACAGCAAGCACAGGATGCAGGTGGGTATTCAGACAATTCATATTAGCCATCAAAACAACCAAACATAGTGAGGATGCCAATACCATGAGATTCTTTTAAGAGCTTCCCCTGCTCCACCCCTTCACAGGACAAGGCATATGAGAATTTCCTATTTCTAAGTTACTAGAAAAAGTAGCTTTGCAAAAAATGGCAAGGTACAATTATTTTAACACTAGAATGTTTCATACTATGATACATAGTCATATATTTCGATTTATTCTGCAGAAAACCAGAAGGACATACCTAGTATAGGGAGGCAGAGGCAAAGTAATCCGGGTCCACTTGTTGAAAGTGTCTGATATGAGAATCCTCTGTAGATGGTATTTGTTGCATTCCACATTAGTGGGAAGACAGTCTCTCAAAATTGGGTGCCAGGTAATTCCAAGGTCCACGGAATACTCCAGTTCAATGGCTAAAGGTGGAAAGTTGGTAGGTTAGCTAATATAGAGGCCCGCACCAACAAGTTAGCTGGTAAGCCCAAAGATCTTTAGTCACAATACTATGCTGACAAAAGAACCACTCAGAGCTTTTCAAAACTTCGTTTCAGGAGCATGAAGATAACCCCTTCAGTGGCAATGCCAACGGATGTGCTGCATGGTGCTGAGCAAGCACAACTCAGAAGGCTGCAGTACACAACAACCACCCAACACAAAGCACTGCAGGTGCAAAGATAATCTGTCAAGTCACCAGCATTAATTCAAGCCAATTTCTTGTAGCTGCTGTGTACAAGAAAGTGATGTGACAGCATCATGACCAGAAACTTTTTTGTTTTTCAGACTGAATGATGAGACTCAGCTGGCTGTAATCTTTGTGTAAAGCATAGCAACACTCAAATTCAAACTTTTGGCTCTTCAACAAGACGGTTTAGTCACATTTTCAATCCACTCCACACCAGATCATTTCAGTATCCAGAATAAACAATTTTAAAATGAGTTTGTTAGTCAGTGAGCTTGCTTTCAATCAAACACAATCTAGCCATATTAAACTAATGTGTTCATTTCTCTGCAAGAATCGGCAATTTCTTTGTTTTGCAGTTTAGGGCTTATAAACTTTTATTATGAAGAACAAAGATTAGTCAAGCTCACTACAAACTCCAAGATCAACTTTTATGCAGTCATTAAAAAGTAAATAATAATAGGCATGGAACTGTAACTTGAAGTGAATGCTCCAGCTGCCACACATTCTAGCTGAGTAAAAAATGGAGTGTGGTTTCAGTGACAGGGGTGGTAAATTTGCTATCTTTCTTGATTACCACTGGCCCATTTCTCCTACTCTCATACACATAGAATGACCCTTAATCACCCCATCAATTCTACTTCAGGTTTAAGCACAGAACATTGCTATAAAAACACAAGGACAAGCAGATACAAATGAGGGTGAGTGAATTTTTACTGTTAGCTCTTCATCACGACCGGAAGCATGACTAAGGAGTCAGTCCAGTAGTAGGGAGTTAGCCCAACCTAGTTTTCTACCAAGGTCAGATAACAGTAAGTGTAGTAGGTAAAGAAATAACACGAAAAAAGAATGAACTTTTTGGTCAGTACATAATTAAGGAGCCAAAGCACTTTTAAACATAGCAGAGATGTTCTTAGGGATGCTGTTGTAATACCAAAAGAAAAAAAATCTTGAACATGTGAGGAAACCCATGATTAATTTCATGGGCTTCAGAATAGCAAAAATGGATACAACACTTTTGAGACTATACGTAAAACGGTTTTCCATTTTTATACAGAATTCCAGAGAATTCCAGCAACTCAGTCAATCTACACATGCTTCATGCACCATCATACTACATTTGCCTTCTCTTAAAGAAATACACCCAAAAAAACTATGCTTAAAGAATGTAATTTTACATGTACAAGCAAACACACAAAAGCTAGGAATACCCATTTCTGTGTATTTTAAATTCCACACAATAACCCAATTTTTAATTTCCCTGTGATGTCTATTCAATCCAGAGCAGATTTTAATTTATATTGGTAAATGTATGTACATAACTCTTTGTGTATGCATACATACATATGTATAAAGACATGCACTGCACTGAATATGCATCGTATGGACAAAACAGGAATCTAAGCTATTAAAAACTGCATTATTACGTGCACATGTATGTATATATATGCATACGTGTTTATATGTGCACGCTGCACATAGATATACACACGCATTCATACATGCATATATACATACATATATATTCATTGCTATTATTCTTTGCTATGGCTTATACACATTTTCACAATTGATGCTGACTTAGCTTGTGTCAGATGTAGGCTGATATAAATGATCTCTTAGTTACTCAGGTGAGAGTGAAACGTGGACTGAGACTTCACAAGAAATGCAAACCCACAGAACCCAACACACATGTGGGAAGCTCACAGCTGCTTACTATTATCCCAAGCAGTGGATACAACACTGTGGAAAAGGGATTGGAGTAAGACAGCTCATTTTCACAAATGAGTTGAACTGCAACTTAACTGTCTAGTGGGAAAAACACACTTTAATTTTGTCTTAGGTTTCAGACACCAGCCATAAATGCCGATGTTACAATTCCTGATAGAAACATGTAGTTTTCCTTTGCTCCTCAGTTCTTGTTATGATGGATAATGGAAGAAGAAAACAAGTGAATTTTCCTGTGCAAGAGACGAAGAGAAAGTGCAGGATATACTAAGAGTTCATTACCATAGCAGGAGTCTGTGACAGAGCAGGATGCTGCAAAATCTATTTGCAAGAAGGAGTCTTCATTGACGACGATGTCTGTAGTTACAACATAGCGGGTGCTAGCTTTCTCAATGAACACTAAAGCATCCCCAGTAGACCCACAGACTGGCATTTTTGTTCCACCAGGATGGAGCAGCCACTTTCTACTATCCAGTGTAGTGAAGTCATCTTCTAATACTGTATTGCCAGAGATGTTTCCTCCAATAAGAATCTGAAACGTCATATAATGAATCGTTATTGAAATGAAACTTTCATTTCATTTCTAAATGAAAGTTTAGAAGTCTTCACAAATGCACGTGACAGAAAATCCTGTAGGAGGAGAAGGCTTAGTGATCCATGTATTCTACTGGTCCAAAATGGACAGATTTACTTTGTGTTTTAGGTTGTAAAAGAGGGGAATAGATCTTTCCTATAGAGGGATCCTAAAGAGATTGTCTAAGCTTAGGGAAATGAACTTCATCCTGGATGAGGCAAAACTACTCACAGAAATGAATGTTGGTAGAAGCAAAATGACTACATTGGCATTTTTCCTACTGACTGTTCAGCTCTACCATAATCTGGAGCACTATTGTCTGATTGCATCTGATGATTGAAATGGGGAAACATTCTGTTTTACCAGTGGATTTCAGAGATGAGGATTTTACTATTGAATAAGTAAGGCAGAACTGATTTGTTATTCTGCATTTGATTACTGATTGTCCTGAACTAATATAACTAACTAAACTCAGTGAAGATACAGGAATGAAAGAATAAGACTTTTGTTTCATTTTTAAATGGATGAATGGAAAGTAAAATCAAACACCATTAAATATGGCTAGAAGGTCAGCATCTGTTTTCTTCCTAACTAAAGGCTGTGAAAGATATTCATAAATATTTAAACAAATTCAACTGAGACAACCCAATAACACTATTTTTAGTGCAAAGACTTCAGTGGAATTTCTTGAGATTTACACCAAATCATACAAAGTGATGTAATACTGTGTACTGGACTCAAATGTGAAAGAAAACTTTTACTGCATTGATGTGAAGTTTTTCTATAGCTTTTTCTATTACATTCTATTAAGGAAATTCCATATTTCTATAGATTTGAAATAGTTTTTTTCTTACCAGACCTGGATTTTGCATGATGAGGACTAATGTAATGTAATCATGTGGTTCTACCTATGTATAAAAGACCTTCCTAGCTCCAAAATAGACATTTGGTACCCAACTTGGAAACAATGAATTAAAAACATAAAATTAGCAAACAGTAATTCTGCTTATACTACAGATGCGTATAATCTTGGAATATATTTCTAAAACACATTTTTGGATTACCCAGAGAAATGACATAAGCCAACACAGAGAAACATTAAGACAACACAGTATGTGTTGTCTTATAACTGTTATATACATAAATATATTCACAATCTGTGTATATATTTATATAAATAAACTTATATTAAAAACAGAACAAAACAAAGAATACTTACCTGATCTATGACCCAGGGACTGTAGAAATGCCCATTCTCAGATGGTTGCCACCAGCGAAGTCGTGTGGAGCTGGAACGGGCCTTCATGGGGATTTCCAGGGCAATGTATCGTCCCACATTGCTCGAGTTACTGAAGAGGAACTCCTGGAGAAGGCTCCACGTGAGACCTCCATTGAGAGAATACTGCAGAAGTACAGGCTGGCTTCTGGGGTCTGGCACCCCCTTACCACATCCCAATCTCATGAAGAACTGCACAAACCTAACAATGGGAGGAATTACTGTAAAGGTTTCTTTTCCCCAACATCCTACACAGCAAACTGAAGAAATAAGCCTCATAATTCCTTGGAATAAGAATTAACCTTAGGAGACCTTATGGTTTTAGACAGGCAGGTGGGATGACAAAAATTCATTTTGCCTGTGTGGTAGTTTGTCAGGTGCTAAACAAAGCTGGTCGTTTACGTTGTGAGCTTTTGTGTGTGTAGCAGATGGTGCTGCAAATAACAGAAATGTAATCCTGGGTGAAGTTTTTATTCTGTAACCTTTGAGTACAGATTTAGTGGCAGAAAAGCGACAGTGCCCTAAGTACATAGGTTGTTTTGAAAGTAATACCTCCTATTTATTTGCATGGAAACTACAGCAGATACAAAGATCACAATAACCCTATTTGATAGAGAAAATTCTCAGCTACAAAGCACTATTTTTTAACATATTCACCATCATTAGCTATGTGTTTTTGCCAGCCATGACAAAAACATGCGTGCTGTGCTTGTAAAATTCTGCTCCAGCAGAGATGAACTACTGTCACTTTTACCACTGCTGAAATGCACCACCCAGCACCTTACTGTGCTCACATCCACTGCACAGTCTCCATAAACGTTCAGCAAGTGTCAAGGAATGTCAATAGATGCCACTATTTCCACGTAGCGGCATTCAGTGACACACCTTTGCTTCATCCACATTTCCATGTCAGACTCCATTCTGTCAGACTGCCCCTCTGCTGCCATCCATCACATGTCAACACTGTGAAATGGGATACTGGTAGGAGGGCTCAGCCTCTACTGCCCTACCACCTCTGAAGTTGTGGGCCAATAGAATAAAGCAGGAGGCATTACTTTCAGAGCAGTCCTCATAGATCTTATTTTGCTGTGAATTTGCTGAAATGCTTTAATGCAAAATAAAAACCTCAATTTTCCAGTGGCGTAAACTAGTGAAAAACAGGATAGCAGAACAAAGCCTGTTTCACTCAGGGATCATTTTGTCCATTTATTCAGCATGGGAAATTTGTCTAAATCACACCACTTAAACGTGCTGCCTTCCCTGAAGCCAGCTGTAGACACCCAGGGACAGGAATGCTTTCATCCTCTTTTTAATTGGCTGCTCCAAAGAGGTACAATAGATAGACCTGTATCAAACTGTGAAATTCTTCCTGTTAGCTGGTGCTTATAAATAGCACTCCAATGCACTTGGAGTGGAGGAACCACTGTCGTAATGATATTTATCCATCTGACTTGCAGGGATATGACAAGTATTAATTCATGTTTGCACAGCTCTTGCACAGCTTTAAAGCACTCTATCTGTTCTAATTATGATTGCATTATAGCTACCTGGCTCATGGTTAAATGAAACCCAGCAGAACAAGTTTTGTATCAAAAGTGCTGTTCGGTTTTGATCTGCAGGTATATCCCCTGGGAGTGAGGGCTGCAGAGGTGCTAAAGAGACAAAGCCTCAGTAAAATACCAGATCCACAAGTCAATTAATTCTAGTGCTCACTGTGACTCACCATTCTCTTGGAGTTATATATAACTTCTTTGGCTATAGATTATATCTACCTCCATATCCCAGACATAACATATTGCTTCTGCTGCAAAGCAGTGCTGGGGACTCTCATGGATCAACATAGCATCTATAATGGATTGGACTCACTGCTGGCGAGCCTTTGTTCCTCTACAAACTCTCTTTGACATTCAACACATTATTTAAAGGAAATAAACCCAAGTGGCCTTTTCTCTGTTGAATCTGCTCTCCATGGGTTAATATTTTTTCATCTGAATTTTTACTAGTGTAGTAATAACTCTCTCCATCATAGGTAACATACTGTTTAACTATCTTTATTAAAAAGCTAGTAGTTTTAAATATCTCTTTTCTCACCCCAAAGATATTTTGCAAAGGTTCTGCCTATTTTGGAAAGGATAAGCAAAGTTTTCTTATTGATCTAATAATGCTGAAATTCATCGATATTCCAGCAGTTCAAAACTGAAAGGGATTTGATCAGACGTAATACCTAAAATAACCACTCCTACTGATACTTCATGCTGTGTAGTTTCAGCTGCCTGAACACTGTAATGGCAAGATATTTCCTCCATTTTAAATTCTTTAAAATATAGAGATGATGATGGTGGATACTGGATTGGAGAGTCCATTTGATTTAAATTCCCCCATGCAGAGAGGCACACAGGACTGACAGCACTGCTCAGCTGTGTGTTTCAGGGGATCTCTAAGAAGAAAAGCGAAGGGCTTTTAATGTGATTACTGAGTCCGGCACTCTTTAAAAGATCTATTAGAAATGCTGGTTCTCCCTGGTTCCTGTCATTCCTGGCATAAATAGAAACCTCTCCCCACGTCCCAAGCAGAACTTGACATGTCTGTTAAAGCCAAATCTGCTGTGTTGTTTTGCAGGTGGCCGATAAAGTCAGCCTGAAAATTAAGTAAATCCTACTGCATTTCCTTTATGTTTCTAAAGAGCAGTCCCAAGCAATGCCTTTACAGTCTACCTTGCTGGTCAGAGGAGGACATACAGTTATTTGTTGATAACTGTTATTTTTCATGGCATACACAAAAAACGGAACATAACACTCTATTTTCCTTTTATTAGGACAGGAGCCATTTATCTCCATGTAACACCTTGAGGTCAATATATGCAAATCCAGCTACTGGCTTTCATGGAAAAGAGATAAATTACGTCCCTTTGAACATGAGCAATAACAAAAACATGTCATTTAATCTAATGGAGCAACTTACAGGATCCTTTGCATCTTTTGTTAAACAATCTTTTAATTTCAGAACCATCTAGGAAATCAAATTACTGCAGCATATTGACGTCTGTGTTCGCTAAGTTCTGAAAGAAGTTTGCTTTGAGTAATCTCCTAAACTCAGTACAGGGATCTCGACTATTGCACTTCACTGAAGGTCAGCTAATTGCTTATCTAAAAATGTAATGGCTTCCTTATCGATCATGAGGCTCTTCAATGAAACTATTCTTTAGAGGCTCAATGCTAATTAAGACAAGAAGGCAAAAACAGATAAACTGCCTGTTAAAGTGTTTCCCACACAACATTAGAAAGAAGGGAGTTTGCAAGGTAGCCATGGTAAAAAGTAATAAAATTAGGACAGATGCTAAGATACCAAATAAATCAGAAAACAATGCCTACTTGTCAGCAAACACGCAAGTAGGATGTGGTTGAATTTGTATGAGTGTAACAGTTTTTTTAATGTGGCTTGCTTAGCATGTCTCTCTCATTAAATATCTCCTCTCTGGTAATGATACCACATGGTCTCTAAATACAGTAAAAGTGTTTGTTTTTCAGTTGCTGTCTACAGTACAGTTGGTGACAGCTTGATGGGAATTTCTCAGTGAATTATTGGAAACAAATGTGCACAATAGGAAGAAATTAAGCTTCAGAAATGAAAGAATTACAAGCTGATGAATGTAACAGCTACACTGGCAGCAGATCCTCCTGTTTCCACAATGGCTCATAATACAACAAACATAAGACAAGCAGAGTGTACAATGTACAAACAATTACTCATGTTATCCATTTAAGAAATAAAAGCATGAACTACTGAAGATGTGGTGCCAGATCCTGGAGTTCCTATACAAGGAAAAAAGTAGCATTTAAATGGTTAATCCCATTCAAGTTCAAGTCAAATTTAAAATGGTAACAGTGTTTAAAAAGGAGAATGTGCAAGAGTAAAGAAAGCAGACTATATCAGCTTGCCCTTACCACGGAAGTATCACATATGTCTTATTCTTCAGTATAGTATTTCTGCAATGACATTCTGAAAGGACTTAAAAATTGTGTTACCTTGCTTGTGACAAATCCAGGTCTCGAGTCATCAGCATACGTAAACCTTCTTCGTTAAAGAAAAGGTTGTTTCCTCCAGACATGATGCCACATTTCCTTGATGGCTTTCCACCACTCACGAGCAGGAATCTATCAGACTCCAGCTGACCTGAATACACAGCAAATACATATTTATGATTTACTCTGAAGTGCTCCTACTGCAGGAGTACTATTTCCAGAGGAAGAGAGCTAAATTAAACATTACATGCAGTTTAAACATTACAAACATTCATGCCAGTGTTTCTGAGTCAGTGCTTTCTAGAAAACTGCCACAATTCAAAACCAAAAATAAACTGTAAACAGAAGTATTAAGTTTGGGACCTTAGTCTCCAGTTTTTCACAGGATTTCCTATTTCTCTTTATTTTTTTTTTGCACGACAACAGCAATGGATCCACCTCTATAAGGAAACTTTGCATGCCATATGCTAGCATGCGATCCAAGGCTGGCGAAACTTGAAATGAACAGTAGCACCTATGAATGGAGGAGTTTGCTTCCCAGGTGCTACTTCATTCAAAGTTCCTGCAATGCTTGTTTGTAAGGGAAACCTCGAGGTGTTTTTAGAGGTATTTGCATGGATGCTGCTTACACCCATGTAATGGTGGGGCTTTGAGTTTCTTCCTGGCACTTTCCACTTGGGGTCCTCGTCTGCTATTCATGCTCAGGAATGAGGTCTGCTCTGAAATAATGTTTACCATGTGAGGGCCACTCAAATTTCCCTTGCAGCGAGAAACTGCATAGCCCTGAAGCCTCTCTTTTTCCTTCTCTTGCACATGTGCTGTCTGTGCTAAAGTCAAACTACCTAACCATATTTACTTGAACAATAAATGTACATTTTGGTAGAATTAGAGTGACATAGCTCTTTCAAAAAATTTTGTGTATCAACATTTCCTTCTACAATCCTTTTTTCACATGTAGAATTTTAAGAAAATTTGTTTCAGCAAAGATTTTATATTCCAGCATGAAAATCTAAGCACGGGGTCAGATTCTCCAAAAAAGGCAAGTGACAGATATCAGACACTCACAAGCCATGCTTGAGAAGTATATTTAAAGAAGTTCATAGTCCCACAGAATAGATCAGATTGAGAAACATGCAGAAAGTGAGGAAGATGGTGCTATTTCACCCCTTCAGACCTTAATTCCACTAAGATATACAGGCAAAATTCAGTCTAAAAATGAAAAGAGATACCTTCAAAATCATCCTTAAGGAAGTCAGAATTCTTGGTACTTATTTTGCAGGTTGGCCCAGAGTACCCTGGGTCACAGATGCACTTTGTGCCATTGATACAGCTGCCATGCCCATTGCACATCTCCTCACACTGTGGACCAATGTACACGTTGTCAATGGCCCACGTCACTGGCTGGGATCCAGCAGGATAAAATCCTTGGTACCATCTGAACCTTGCCAACCTGAAAAGGCGTAGAGTGTACTTAATTCAAGTGATAGATTTTTTTTTCTTTGCGTACTATATGTACATACTGTACTATATATATGCATGCAGTCTTTTTGGTGGAACTGACTTAATAAATTAATTCTGGAAACGGACTGCTATGTCTAATTCCTTCATCTTGTCATCTTCATGCTGACATTCAATGCAAATACTGACAGAAACAGAAATAACATTATTCATTTGCCATAATTCCAAAATCGAATGACAGACTTGAAAATGCGATTTGAAATCTAACCACTCTTCTCCCTGTCATTCTTGGGGAGGATAACTGGCCATGGTCAAATGGATTTCTTTCTGCCTTGGTTTACAGCATCTGGGTCAGACTAGGCAACTTCCATTCTCCATTGGAGAATGAAATCCTGTTTTACACTGCTACCTTGCCTCCAGGATGGACCACCTGTGGAACTGGGCTGGTGAAATCTCACCCTCAATTACGTGGACAGAAAACATGATCTGCCATGTCATGGGGTATTCAGCTTGCTTTCAGACAGCTTCATCTTAAAACAGACTGATAGTGCAAGTTGTTAATTTAAACTATGTTCTCCTTTGGGCGCTGGCCTGTCATTTTTAATTTGCTGCCTAAGTACTACTTGCATCAATGCTGCATGTAAAGAGACTGGGGAAGGAGGGAAAACAAACTGAGCAGGGAAAAGCACATGAGAGACTAATTTTATTCCCACACGAGAAAATGCTTCAAAGAAGGAAGGATACTAAAAGAGTTAGAAGGGAAAAGAGCTTAATTGCATTACGTGTTTTATACAGCTTGTTAGAAACATCTAAATGCTGCAGATGAATCAATAGCACAGGTAGCTGACAAGTGTTTGTCTTTTCATTTGCTAAAAAGGAATCTTGATGATGTCTTTCAGGTGGTAAGAGGTAACTGATCAGTGAGGATACCGCTAGCAGTTTCAGGAAAGAAACCCATAAGCCAACATCCTGCTGGGATTAAAAAAACATTGTTTTTATTGTGCCCTGTGGTTAAGGATGTAAGTGTGAAGTTGAAAATGTTTTAAACTCTTCTCTAGAGGAAATCTCTGTCCCTTGGGTTGGATTCATTCCACCCCATGTGTGTTCCCTGTCTTAGGCTCCCTGCTGGTCTGAATGAAGTGTGTGTTGTAACTGAAGCAGAGGGTTAAATGCTGGTCTTGATGAAGTTGGCAGGAGTTTCTTCACTGACCCAACAGGTCAGTTTTCCTTCTGGACCTTGCTGGAGTACCGATTCTTAGTTACAGCTATCTGCTGGGTACACACATTGATTTCCAAAACAACACATATAGTGGAAATAACTGAAAAAGAGTCATGTTTGGTACTTTTTCTTGTCACTTTTGTGGATTCTGGTGGAGAAGACTCCTCTTCAGCCCTCTGCCCCAGAATTTAATGGCACTAAATGCACCATGGATGCTGAGTTCAGTGCTTATCAACAACTAATTTCTGACCCACCAATAAGGAAGGAATAGGAAGGAAGTCAGGCAAATCATAGAATCATAGAATCATAGAATCACCAAGGTTGGAAAAGACCTAAAAGATCATCCAATACAACCGTTCACCTATTCCCAATAGCTCCCACTAAACCATGTCCCTCAACACAACATGCAGCCTTTCCTTGAACACCCCCAGGGTATCAAATGGGACAGAGGACTAAATCGAAATAACTGGGAAGTTTACAAGAGTTAGGAGTCTGCATTGTCAACATTCTCATTTGGAGGGTTGCATTGGTAGTTGGGTAAAGTGTCAAATAAATCTTCTAGGCTAAAAAAGAAAGACAGCTGAGCTGCTGCACTGCAAGAGATGGTTAACTATTCCATGTTTGAGATGTTAACTGTCATAAAATAGAATATTCAAGTTTAAAAATTAAACCTTTTCTTCAATTATTAAATACCCAGGCTTTCCACATTTGGTTCTCATCTCTTGTATTAGTCTTCTCATGCTTTCAGAGGCATGTTTAAGGCCACTTATTTAGTGGAAGAACCTCTGCATGCAATAGATTCATAAACACAGTCTCATAACTGCATAGCTCATTTTCATTCATACATACTACAGTTTAATCCTTAAGAATGTGATCTTTTACACAAACTGTCTTGATGCTATCAGAGAGTTTTCTCCGAAAAAATGAACAGTATTGTTACATACTTTGAAAAGTTACACATTAACATTCCTGCTAGCACATATTATTTTTCCATGCTGTATATCTCTTATCATCTAACCCAGCTTGTCCCACAAACATAGAAGTCCCTTAATGAGAGCAACAAGCAATTAATTAGAATCACAGAACTTTGTGACTATAAGAAACCTTGAGTAGTAGGTAGGTCTGCTTACTTAACACTGAAGTAGAATCTAGTTTGTACTAGCCTGCCTTTTACTGTATTTTCTAATAAATATCAGATTTAATGCAAAAAAAAAAAAAAATCCTTGATGAATTCAAATGTCTCATTCAGTAAAAGCATTCAAAGAGCTTTAAAGCTGGTGAGTTTTTTATTATGCAATCCACTTCCATAAAAATGTCACCAATCAGATATGAGGATAAATGGGAAATACTAGCATTCAATATTAACATTAGGCATAACATATTTTTCAGAATCAGCTAAACTTTAACTGCCATTCAGGGCAAAAAGTGGAGAAACTCTTGTCATTTGGTTTTTTTAATGCCACAGTTCTTATGGATCAATAATGCTAGGAGAATATTTTGAATGGAAAACAGAAAAAAAACACAAACGCAGGTGGGTGGCACAGAAGCCAGACACTTACCCACAGAGGTGCAGTTTTCCAAAGTGAATGACCTCCCTTCTCCAACCCTGAGTGGTTCCAGTGTAGTAAGTGCTGCTTGGGTGATGTTCAGTGGAGCACAGGGAACTGAGGTGGCTGCTGCTGCTGTAGCACAAGGGCAGAAGGAGGTGCCAGGTCGCTCCCAGATCTCGTGAGAACTCCAATTTTACTGGGTCAGCAGAAGAGCTGTCAGTGGTGCAGCCAATATTGATCTGGAGTCCGAGACACGAAATGCAGAGGATGACAAAGGGCAGGCTGGGACACTTCATCACTGCTCATCTTAGTCAGCTTCCCCTATCTGGTGCTGTATGTATTCATGTATGTATGTATCTCAGGAAGATGGTGGTTTAGGAATTAATTTAACAACTGTGATGACAAACTCAGGCCATGCATATAAACATGAACTCTTGAACACTGTCCTACCTGTCCATGGGCATACTGCACTCTGTCTTTTTGTAAAATTAATCTGATACGGAACTCTGAAATACTTCCACTAAAAGAAAAACTTAATTAGAGAAAATTCCAAACGAAGAAAGCTGATAATGTGGTTGGAACAAATGCATCAGCTGATGCAGTTCTCTGTCAGGAAATGAAATTATCATCACACCAAAAGGATGTGCATTTTTAAAAACAGAAATATTAAACCAAAACGTGCAAACATAAATTTCTGTTAAATTACTGAGCTGCATTGTAGTCTTCCTTTATGTTACATTTCCAAAAAAATGTTTATGTCAGAGAGATCACGCTTCAGGCCTTGTGCTGTTTCACTTCAATATGTTCCTTAGCTTTCAATACTCACCACCCTTTCTGCTCATGTATAGCAACAAAGCCTGAGGAGACAGCATTGAGAAGAGTATCATAGTTGGACTGGATTTAGACTGAGTGTCAAACCAAAACATAGTTTGGGATCAAAATAGCAGGTGTTCTGGCAAGGTTCCTGAAATCCAGAACAGTAAAGATGCAAAAAGAAAAAGTCTACGTGATCAGCTGTGCTAATGCTAGTTGCCCGTAATAAATAATACATGTTTTATACAGAATTTGAGAACTTTTAAGACTACTTTTTTACATGATTCTACTGCAAAGGTCTGCTTTTCTTTCATGATGATATTAAGATGTTTATTCTGTTTCAGATTGCTTTTGTAAGGGAAGAATTAGCTCCCTTGCAGGATGACTATACATCCAATAAATAAAAACTCATTGCAGCTGAAATACAAAGCCTATGACACATTTTGTATGTTTATGCATCTTTGTAGTACAAAATAGGTATCTTTTTAACATACTGCTGCACAACAAAAATGTTTTTACTAAAGCCCAGTAATACTCAGAACTGTGCATTAATGTTGAAAATATATATCCTACACTGAACGTCCCTCATCATTCTTCAGCATACTTGAGAGCCATCAATCTACATTTGATTAGAAGAGTTGTCTACTCATCTGGAAGCTCAGAGACATGCTTGACCCAGTATAGTTATTGACTCCTGAGACACAGAAAGAAACTCTACTGCATTATGCATTGCTTCCTCATTTACACTAATGTCCTCAAAAACGTGAGCTAAAGTCATTTAAATTCCTTAAAACAATGTTGTTATCACATATGGAAGTATGCATGGAGATTTTATGAAGCTAATGCTCTCAAGAGTTACGAATACCTTAAACTAATCTCAAACATTTTTTGTTCTACAGGCAGTAATTTATATTTTAAAACAGAAAATGGTTTGCCTTCAATAATTTATGAATTAATTGCATGACAAACTGAAGCATGCACGAGTACATAGCTAAACCAAGTTTTCTTGGATAACCATTAGTGTCATTTCAGTAATTGTTTATAAACCAGTATCATTTGCTGTTTAATGCTACAGCCTGCTACATCATTGTTGAAATCAGCTTCATAATTATGGCATTTACAAGAAAGATTATTTTACAATATCTTAATGACAATATAATGACTTCCCTAAACAAATACAGGATAGGTTAAAAGGTTACTTCTCACAGCATCTGTTCTAACCAGTGCACAATTTAGAGTTTAGGATAAACCAGAAACAGACTTTAGTTTAGACTACATGCTGTCGTTGGATGGTTTTATGGGAAGCACAAAAAATGTGCTCCTTATTCATGACATTTAGATTACTTCCTAAGATGGTGTGAATTCACACTGTTGTGGTAAAGAACAGCTCCCACAGGAGCTTCAATGAAAGTGCAAGTGCAAGCAAAAGGAAAGCAGGCTCTCTGATGAAGTACAGCCAGTACAAAAAAGCCAGCCTGTAAGAAAATAATTTCTAGTGACACAGAAAGTTGTAGCTCTCCACTGGGTCAGATCATGGAAATACTGCAACTACACTTATCCTGAGCAGGTTGTGAAGTGGCAATCTACACCTTTGCAGTACCGTGGTGCTCGTATCTTGTCTACCAGTGGGGAATTTCCAGCTTGTAGTACATGTTATGTTAACAGTGCAAGTATATATGCATGGACAAAGTAGTAATTTAGACAACAAAACAGGACACTTTGAGGCAGAAATTTCCCTCTGTGTGATAAAAGCTTTGTGATACATCTACAAGAGGGAAAGCAATATCAAAGCAATTACAGAAGGAAATTAGAGAGACATCTCTGCTTGGTAATCATAATAGCTGGACAAATAGACCAAAGAGCTGAACCTGAACAACAAGAACTCCTAGAGTAAAAAGCAAAGTAACTTTATGAGGACAAGTACCTCAAATTGGATTATAGTGTTTTCATTTACACTCAGATCCCTTGTTGTAATGGAGTGTTCTCCAACTTCATTTGAAACAAATACCATAGCTGAATCTTCCTCCCTGTGAAAAAAACCAAGAAAGGAATATCTTAGCATCAGTTTATTCCAGTCTTTTTTTTCTTCCTGATTTATTGCTTAGAGATGCTTACGGAGCTCCCTTAGATGAATATGGGCAATAGAGCCCAATGTTTCCCCCAGGATAGAAAAACCAGTTGTCCTCTTTGGGACCAAAGTCAAAGGTATCCAAAAGTATAATAGGATTCTTCAGGTTATTTCCATCAATAATGAAGTCATCTATAATCCAGATTTCTTCTTTTTTGCCTACAAAGAAAAGGAGAACACCTCTATTAAAACATTATAAAACTAGTACTAAAAAGTAGATTAATATTTGTGAATTAAATTGAAAAAAAAGGTGCTAAAGGAGAGATTTCACAGGCAATCTTTTCATACTGCCCATATTGCTCTACCAAATTGAACTTTATTCCTCTAAAATTTACAGAAGTCTCAACAAACTGAAGACTGAAAAACCTATGTTAAGTGAATATCTCCTGCTGAAATCACATTTACTTTGAAATTATAGCATTGGTGTCATCATCTAAATGAGCCTATGTTTGGCAGCCAAGAGCTTTTCAAGAGAGAAGAAAACTCTGAGTGACCTTTTCTCAAATGGATCATGAATTTGAATGTGTTACAGAACTGGTGCTTTCAAACTGGAGTGGAATGATTAGATGCCAGATCTTTTGTGGAACTGTTTTTTTTTTCAATCTGTCTAAAAATTGTCGTGTTACTCAAAGAAAGTTAAAGGGTTTCTTTGAAATAAAATTCCCATTTAAAGATTGTATTTACAAGAAAAATCTAGTTAAATGTTTTAGGTAAGACCATTGGAAACATAAACTGGGACTGGATTCTTAGGTCCAGATTTGAATTTGCTTTTTTGTTATAGCTGTAGTAGGCATTTGCTTGAGTGGCATAAATAATTTCTCTATCACCAGGTCTGAATGGCTGTTGGAATTCTTAATAGTCCTTAACGACAGCTTCTGCTAAGAGATATTCAGAATAACTGAGAGCAGAAGAGAGTTTTCTCCAGCTGGCACATATCCTCTAATTAGAAGCAATAAGCTGTGCTCCTCTTGTGGTTTTCTACAGTCCTTTACAATTTAATCCAAAGATTTACTGCTCAGTACATTCTCTTTCTAAATGTATTTTTAATGCCTAGTTAATTCCAAGCAAGGTGGGCCCAATTCCCATTTACACTTGGGACATGTTTTATAATTTGAGCACTGCAATGGGGCCTCAGGGTAAATGAAAATCAGGTGCATTAAAAATAATAAGAACATGTGTGAATGTTATTGCTGTTGCTTGACTTCCCAAGCTCTCCAGGACCAAAGCTGCACACCATCAAAGATAGTAGGTTAAGGTACTTCAACTTTAAAACATACAGAAGCTCTAGAAGAACTGTAAATATAATCTCACAATTTTAACTGAAGGACTTGAAATACAAGGAAACAAGATCTGAGAGTCTCTATTCTTGCTGAGTCCAAAAATCCAGCCTCTTACAGACATGAGCTTTGCAAGTTGATCTGGTGTCCCACACTCATTGATTCCTTACCATTGTTATAAGGTTGCCAGAGTCTGAAACGTGTTGCGTTGCTTTGGGCTGTGTAGGGCAGAGGAACATTGATAAAAAGGACATCTGTAGTCTGTGTGAAGTAAAACTCATCTATCAGATGCCAAGTGATGCCACCATTGACAGAATACTGCAGTAGAATAGAATGAGACCTCTCAGGGGTACCTGGAATGAGAAGGACATATATTTATATCCATTAGAATCATAGAAACACAGAATCACTAAGGTTGGAAAAGACCTCCAAGATCACCTAATCCAACTATCCCTCTACCACCAATATTACCCTACAAAATCATGTTCCTTAGTAGAATGTCTAATCATTTCTTGAACATCTCCAGGTATGACTCAACCACATCCCTGGGCAGCCTGTTCCAGTGTCTTGCCACTCTGGATCCCTCTGTAGGGCACTCCTATCCCCAGACTAAGTGACACTTCCTCTCAGCTTGGTGTCATCTATAAACTTACTGAGTGCACTCAGTCCCCTGGATTTAACTCCATTTATTATCACTCTCCAGTCCTGGCCCTCCAGCCAGTTCTTTACCCAATGAAGAGTGCAGCTGTCCATTATAATCTGTTTTTAACAAGTACTAGTTCAAAAACATTTCTTCAAATATAATTATAATGAGCTTACTCAGGCATTTATTATAGAGTGTAAACATGTTTTTATAACAATTTTAGAGTTCTTAGAGGTTATATGTGTATTAAACGTATGTATCCCTATGCTTTCCTGTGCTTTTCTCTCTGCTAAAGAATTAGGGAGTAAATATACATTGCTGTTCATTATATGTACAGACACTGTTAATTTACTTAGATGAGAAGATATTTCAGAGCCATAATTTTTCAGATTAGAACAAACCAACGCCCTGTGCCACAGATATTTTTTTGGCAGTTCAGTGTTTATTTGCTTGTTCTTCACAGGTACCAGATATTCTCATCACCATCAGTAGCAAATCAACAGTGGAAACAGAGGAAATCAACAGTGGTCTTACCTTTGGCTATAAACTTAAATGAAAACTGGATGTACACAGTATTAGTGCAATCCAGATCTCTCGAAACCAGCATTCTCAGTCCCTCCTGCAAATACAGAATGGATAGTGTGAATTACAGTTCCCATTATCAAAGGTTCTCCGCAGCTTACTATTGTTTGGATGTTGTCTGTTATTGACTGTTGTGTCAGTGAAAGAAGTAGCTCTCTGTCCCTCATTTTCTCTCAGACTACAAATGGTGATAGTGATAGCCTTGGCACAGTAATGGCAGGTGCTAGATAAGGGTCTGCAAACACCAGAGGTACAGCTATGTGCTCAGGGACAGATACAGGTACAGCTCATTCAGCTTATGCTCTTAACCACTGGGATGTCTTCTGATCTGCAAGCACTGTAGCTGACTTACTCAGACACTGAGTCCAAGCTCATATACACATTCTTTCAGCAAACTATACAGCAGCCAAGCACTTCTAATTTCCAGGGAGGAAGTATTCTTCTAGGAAGAGACTCTTTTCTGTACCTCAGAAAACATCTTATTACAAATAACCTCCTGACTTAGGAAGGGAGTGTTCTTTTTCCCCTAGTAAGGAAAGGGAGCAGATAGGATATGTCATAATGACCCATAAGGTCCTGTCCATCTCTACTCGTGAGCTCGGTGTTTTATGGATGCTAGAGACAGACCTGATCCCTGTTTTGCAGAAATCTAGCAAGCTCCAACTCACAATGTAAGATTCCCTCTTTCTCAGACCCCTTCCCCAGGGAACAACCTGCAGGAACAACCAACTCAAGTTTTAGACAATTCACATTCTCTGATTTATGATTTAGATTAGCTGAGGAGGTTGAACTGGAGTCCAGGTTTTGCAAAAACGTTTTTAAAAAGAAATCATTTCTACACGTGAAGTTTCTAAATTTTGCTTTTCAGGGCCACCTAAATTTACCATGTCAAATGAAAAACCCCGTGTGAACTTAAAAGTTGTATATTTCTCTGAACAAAAGTCTTTCAAGGGTACAGATAGTTATCTGGTTTGTTGAAGAACTGACTATTCAGAAAATACTGTATTTCCTGATTTTTTAGACCTTTTGTTAAAAAAAAAACCAACAAAACAGCACTCCATAAAGAAAACTTCACAAAAATAGAAAGAAGTAAAATATACTTTAACTACACAAACACTGACTACATAGTCTACAGTGAATAATGTCATTCAAAATATTCAAAGGACAGTTGAAGTATGAAGACAGAGACATTACTGATTGTAATGTGTACCGTATTTCCATATCACTCACTTGGCCTCAAGAAACTCAACTGCACAGTTTTGTTCTTTTCCTTCAGAAGGTAAGGAGGAATTTACACCATGAAAAAGGTAATAGTCAAAAAACGGCAAAAAAATTGGCTCCTAAAAACAATCTGGACAAACACTGTGCATATTTAGAGTACAAAAACACACAAAAAATGAATGTCAAATTCTAGCCTAAAGACTTTGAAATTAACTTCTGGGGGAAACAACAAAAAATTATTTTCTCTTCTTAACTCTACTGGTTTTAATCTTTTTTTTTTTTTTTTTTTTTTTTTTTTCAATGTAATGAATCTCTGACCCCTTTAAAAATGAGAGCTGTTCCAGACTTGATTGTGTCACCATTCAGGTTTCCCCTCTCAGCACCGTAGACCTCAGGCCAAAGGTCTGGATGCAAGTTACCATTGAAATCATCCTTCAGGACAGACGGCAGAGGAATGACAGGGACACAGTACGGACCACCAAAGCCTCTGTCACACCTAGCAACAAATTTGGAGGAAAAGGTATTATCCATCTGGCCTGGGTAAAACACATCTTTATATAAAGCATGTAAAGCAAGTCACTACTTACACACAATGACCTGCATCACAGATGCCATGGCCTGAGCACATCCAAGGACATCCTGTAGCCAACACCACATTATCAATAGCCCAAGAATCAACACCAGAAGCATAGTTGTATTGAATCCATCTGAACCGTGTTCTGGGTGAGCTAGAAACAACAAAGTGAATGCATTTCAGGCTACAAAATGTTGCTCCACAAGGTGCTAAATAATAAAGTCCTGTATATTTCAGGAGAATAAAATCATTTTAATAAGCACAATACTTTGCATTTAGAAGATTATTTATAGTCTAGCTGAAATTTGAAGTTTCAATTTCTCAGGTGAGTTTTCAAGCGAAATTCTGGCAGATCTAAAAGAAGATGCCCAAAGTTAAAAAAGAGAAAGTCACCATTGCTGTCAATCTTCATGGTTAGCAGGGTGGTTGAGCAGAAACTGCTAGCTACATTAGCATTCAACCATTCTACATTTTGCTAGTAGTGCTGAAATAATATGATGGCTACAGTAAAGTAAGAAGTAGTGAATGTTCATGTATGCTTAATGTAAAAAAAATACATACATTCATATATATGTACAACAGTGCACAAATATATGTACAAACGTGCACCTGCATGCACAATGTTGTAATTGCTGGCTGTCTTGCTATGCTCAGATGGGGAAGGTACTTTGGAAACAAATACTTCAAGATCAAGATTTTTACCACCTTATTTTCTAGGTGGTGGAATTTACAATGTTGTGGAGGGAGCTATCAAGAATTATAGAAATATGCAGACTAATGGTAAGTAAAATTATTGTCATCTGTCATTTCTGAAGAAGAGTATGGTTTTATTCAGAAAGATGGATGCCAGCTTGTCTGCCATGTCTATTTACAATGATGTGATATCACCAGGAGGCAGGCAGAACTCTAATTCTAGTTAAAAGTGTGAAGGTGGCACATCCAGTAGCAAGCATTTTAACTTGCTGGATGCTGTGATTAATGTGCCTAAATCTTGAATGACAAATAACCCTATTACTTATGTGCAATAACAGAAAATACCTTTATATGAGAGGATGGGTCAATGCATAAATCCTTGTTTCTTACTGGACAGACGTTAGAAAAGCTTGGTTTAGCATTCTTGTTCTTGCTGCCATAGTATATGGGCAAGACTTACAAATTCACTCTTCCAAATTTGTTACTTACTAAGTTTCTGCAGTTAACATTACATCTGATGAAATAGTCTGAGGCTAAATTTAAAATTCTGATGGCGTGACAACACACATTTAATAATTTAAAAGACATACAGAAAATTCCCAAGATGGGGGATGCTTGCTCCAAGTAGATCAGCAAACTGTATTCATGATAAACTGCCAGAACAGCACTCACTTGGTTATGGGTGGAAGATAGACCGTAATTCTCTTCCAATTTTGGAACCTTTCTGAAGTGTAGATGGAGCTCTCAGTGTAGTGCTGACAGCCAATCGTTGGAGGCACACACTCCTCTGTCACCAAGTGCCAGTCTCTCCCATTGTTTAAAGAATACTGCAGGTGAATGCTATGAGAATTGCTGTATGGCTTGCTGCATCCCATGCTCAGCTCAAACTGCAGGAAAGTTGAGGCTGACACATGAAAGTCCCACGTCTCTGCATAACGAGGTTTTTCTAACAAAAGAGAACCAAAAAAATATGAAATTGTATGCCTTACGCATGTGTTTTCAGTACTTTCGTTCAGATTTTTTAGCTGCTTTTTCATCTTCTTCTTTTCAGTTTCCCTGCCCTGCAGATTACTATATATTCAAATTTCTCTAAACATGACTCATGCATGATTTATAAAATAAGCACATACAAATTTATCAGAATTTGGTGACACATACCAATGTTTTCACTGAACGTGAGAGCTGTATCCATAGACAGGCAGTCGATGTCTACCTGACCTCCTTGTATTCTGTACCAGCTTGCTTGTAAATCCACAGTTCCATCAAATTTATCCTGGAAGCCAGTCTGAGAGCTGTCATTCATCCCTATAAGCACATCATCCAAAGCCCACTGAGCTGAATGTTTTCCTATAAAAAGCAGAATGGGTGAGTTAGTGGAGTCAGTTTTTTTGTTTTTTGTTTTTTTCTAGCCCACATTCTGCACTAACCTAGCGAGCTGTGGTCAGTCACATACAGTGACCACTGTTAAACATGTCTAACACCTTTCTTAAGGAGGAACCTGGAGTATGAATTATGTTTCTATTTCAGGTTCAATGTCTTTATCATCATACACTCTCCCTGTGCCTGAATGAGACACTCCATGATTCCTTAACCTGAGGATTTTCATTCTATGGGTCGCAACTTTCCTGTCATTCCTCACAGTTAAATCAGAAAGGCCTCTGACTAGCTCCCCAAATACCTTTCGATTGGAAGAGGATCGTGCACATGGGAAAACATTACAGGCTCTTGATATAGGAGAATAGAGTCAAAGAGATGCTGTTCACCCCCTCCTTCCTGGAATCCTACTTTCTACCTACTGTGGCCTACAGTCACATAATCTTCGGCATATTTATCCAGTCTTTCATCTCAACTCACCTTCCTACTAGCAAGCTGAAAATGTAATTTTACTGTACAATCACTACTGTGCCCTTACAGAAGAAGAGGGGAAGAGCTTGTTAACTTGTGAGCTCACAGTGATGTGCCAGGACTTTTGTCTTGCTGCTGTGAGAAATACAGGCAATCCCTCATAGGGCCACTCTGCACTGACTTTATGGCAGATAAAGAACAATCTATGAAGAAGCTAATATCTAAATGAGGAGTGGTTGTCGCCATTGGGCACTGCTATGAAAGGCTTTATTTCAGCTCCCAGTCACAAATTCTCTCTCTCTTACTGAGGTTCAGAGGACTGCTGGCAGTCTTACCATGATCACTCTCAGCAGAGAAAGACATCACCTAGATGCTTTCATGTCTAGTGAGGACAATCAACTCCAGTACGTATATTGTACAAAAATGTATGAATAAAAACCAGACATCGAAACGATGATAGCCAAGAAGATCTGTACCATAATTACATGAATATAAGATGTGTTCTTTTCTCCCCCTAGGAACTGCTGCTAAAACGTATTTTGCTATATGCCTTAGTAACACCTGCAGGGATCCAGTGCTGCTGATTTGCACAGAGGTGAAAAATTTAATAAGGACACTTCCAATTGTAATAATGTACTGCAGTGCAAGGCAGGAACTGTAAATACCAGTCAGCACCATGGCATTACTTTCATCTAATTATGCAGGAAATACTTGAGTGGGCCTTGAAGGTACAGAAGATGACAGGAGGAGTCCTTGTGTGTGGAGATGTTAATTCATGGGGATGGGAGCCATTATGCAGGCACATTCAAGGTCAGTTTATGCTTCTTCTTCCAAATTAGACAAAAAGTGAGATAAAATGTGTAGGCCATTTTACATGCCAGTCACTTTACCCTCAGGTAAGTCCTCACATCTTAGTGCTCTCAGGCACTATAGAAGAAAATCATGTCTGAAGCATGACTAAGGAACATCTAAACACACACTTACAATATCCAAGTTGTTCACCTCAACGTATTTTGTGTAACCAGAGATTTCTGCAGAACATGCCCACACTGAGAAGTACTGATGGTTCTGTGTTGGTAAAGGTACTAAATGAATTTTTAGGATGGTGCTGCATACCGTGCTGTGGCTGCCACCACCTGAAAGCTGTGGCAGAGGTTTTGGCCTCCCGTGGTAAGTCTATCGAAACAACCTGGGGTTCCAAGTACGACATGAAGTCCAGTTCTCGCAGTAAATGCCAGGTGATGCCATTATCATTTGTGTATTGAACGACGAGACCTGCAGTTAACATTAAGCAAGGCAGTTAGGCTGTGTGGAAAAGAGAGGGCCAACTCCTCAGCCTACAGTCAGGAGTTGTCAGCCCTCATCCAATGTATACCAGTGATGCTACTGTGCCTTCCATTCTCACTTAGCATTTCCTGGTCCAGGAGCATTTTGTGGACAAAGTCCTGTTGCAAAGGTGACAAGGTCTCACCATCTGCTACATATTTTGTTGCCTGTCTTCACCAAACCCAAAGGATAAATCTCTAACTTAGTGAAGGGTCTACAACCTCAGTGAAACTAATGATTGTACCACAGAAACCACAGGAATAATGTGAATTTCTTACTATAATCAGTATTTATATTTCTTATGGAGTATTCCCACTGTTTGTGCAGGACACTAAGTTGTAATTCTGATAGCTGAGCTCCCAGTAAGGAGTAGCACACAATGCTCAAAGCATCCTTAAGAGTGATTTGTCTTAATATCTAGTTAAGTTAAGACAGCCTTCATATCTTACACACAGCACAGTAAATACTAGCAAGTAGCAGAATTCTGAAGGCATTTATGAGCTCATCACAGGGGATAGTGCAAGAAATAAGCACTTATGGATATTTCTCCTCTTGAACCTCTGGAGTGCTTTCAAATAACAGATTTTCTTGTGTCTTATATATCAATGCAAATTAGAGAATGATGACAGTTCTGAATCAGTATCAATATAAATGCTATGCACCAAGAAACAGCCCATTGATGTTAAATGGCTTATACCGAAAGGAAAACAAAGTGACATATCTTCTAAACACCACTGATCTTTCCTCATGCAATTAGACCCCTTTATTGCTCCCAAAACTCTGCTGATCCTTCCCAAATCCAGATATCAGTCCTGTCTCCATCACAGCAATTCTAAGCTTGTGGGTAAAATAAGAGAGGATGCAGCTGGGAGAGATCCACCTCTTCATACTAACATTTCCAGCTGCAGATTTATAATTTTGAGCTTCAGGTAAATTATGAATGGGAATGGTTTGAAAGGCAATTTTTATCAGACCCTCTGATGAAGATGAAAAGATGAAAAAAATGTCAGGACACACAGTGCTTTAAGTCAGAAATTGAAGCTGCAAAATTGATACTGAAATTGAAATGTATTCATTGTATTCACACCTCACAATGAATACATTTCATACTTTCTTCATACATACTTCATTTCTTCATACATTTCTTCATACATACTTCATTTCATACATACTTCTTTCTTACCTGAAGACTTGTGTACTTGTGAATTTACCTGTTTTCCAACATTATCAAACAGTTTAATCAAAGTGATTACACCTATTCTTGTCAATCTTTCTTAAACCAACAGAGATCCAACAGGGCTACAGCTACTGATAAAGCACCATTGGGTATGTTGAAAATAAATATAAATGCAAATGTAGGTTAAAAGTAAATTATTATTGTTACATTTTTAAATTCAAAGTTGACTTACTACCTATGAAAAGTGACCAGCTAATCAAATGAAACAATCATTTGATTTTGTAAAGACAGTAAAACATGAAATCTCTAGAGAAGACTCCAGATGCAAAAAGTTTACTATAGGGAAAAGAGGCTTTACCTTCATTCCTGGATCTTGGTCTGTTGCAGGAATTGCCAGTAGCCTTGCTTCCAATTTGTACATAAAATTGAACCAGCCTGTTAAAAAACATCAAGGTAGAAGAGAAATGTAATTATCAACTGATAGAACAAAATCAGTCAGAATAACTCTCCTTAACTGGTATGGCATTTTCAATTAGGTAATTAGTCCAGGCTTATTCATCAGACAGTGTTCCCACTAAAATCAAGCATTGCCATAGTAAACAGTGGAGGACCCAAAACAGAAGAAGGTGATGTAGTTTATTGATCCAGTGACTAATAAATATACTGTTGAACTGAACAGGATGTTTTAACAGTTCCTACCTTCACATGAAGATGCAAAAATGCTTAAGAAGCCAAATCTGCAATTTATATCAGATCTTACCTTGATCCCTTCTAACTAGAAAGTGGTTTAAGCCTTAGAAGACAGTATCGAGTTTAAATAGAATTATATTCTCACTAAAACACCAGTCTCTTTTTGACTGTTAAATTCTTCATGTAAAAATATGTTATGAGGGAAAGAAGCATTTCTGATCTGCTGGTTTTGTATCTTGTAGTTATTTATGTTACCACCTCCTTACTTTCATCCTTTCGACATTAAACCATGGTAACATTTTCATTTGCATGAAACTTTTTCCATGCCCCTGGTTTTTCCCAAAGCCATCTTTTAGGATCCTTCTAAAGCTGCAACATCCTTTGAGACAGTGTCACTGGTTTTATTGACAGAATTTTAGACAAGCCTGGAACATCCCTGAAAATGATTAACCCATCCTTGTGCTCCAAAGAGTGCTCCAAACTCTTGTCAATTTTATCACAGTCTGCAGTGATACTTTGCTACGCTTCTTGAATTGTTATTTTTAATTGTGATTCTGTGGTGTCAGAGTAGTTCACATTTTTTTCTTAGATGTGCACTGTTCTGCTAATAAAACCAATTTATGTTAATTAATGTCCTGTTGCTCTCTCATTACATTCATTTCATTACATTTCTCTGACATTTGTCTGAGTCTTATGTGGCCATAAAGAATGTGAAGGGCATTGAGATGACTGAGAAAGCTACCACCCTTTCATCTAATTCATGGGTTGTCTGCAGTACACACATGAAGCAGGGCCAGAATTGAGCAGAGATTCTGAAATCATCTCCATCTTGAGCTTTTGCACACTGAAAGTTGGCAATACCATTCTCCTTTCTGTTTACTAGCCAGCTTTTGATTTATACCGATGCCTGCCTGCTGTGTTATGGTAGTACTCACTGATGTTTTTGAGAAGCAATTGCTTGACTCTTGTGCTGGGGGGTGTCTTTGTGGAGCACATGGGGAGATGTGGGCTTATTGCCAAGCAGAAGCTTGGGGAGGAGAACACAAACTGAAAGGAAACTAGGTTTTGTTAACTCCACTACTTGCAGATAGCTTCTTCATTTTCAGTACTAGTTTTCAAGGTGGATTTACGGCTCTGTGTGAAGAAACAAGGTTTGATTTGTCACTCAGATAATTCCTCACAAAAATAACTCTTTTCTCTTTAGAAGATTTGGTTCTAATTTGGATTGACATCAGTAAAATCACAGACAAGCCACAGTACCACAGACAGAGCCAGTGAGATGCAACATGAATTTTCACAGTTTTTTCTTAGCACTACAGGCCATTATGTTTGTTATAAAGAGTGTAATCAATTACATAAGGAATAAGATGACAGGGCAGATTGGGCTTCAGAATATGACATTGCAGGGTATGCACAGAGTGCATGCTAATGGTCATTAGTTTTGGGGATTGAGTTTTAGTTTTAAAACCTCGTAGCATTAAAGCTGAGATTAGCATTGCTTTTCTAGATTTCTCCTTGGTGGCAGTACCACCAAGGGCTGACAAATCTCGACCCCCCTGGAGCAGAGTGAACTGGAAGCACTGTGCCCTGGTATTCTCTGCTCTGCTAGGAAGATACAGGTAAGAAGGAAAAGGTCTTTCTATTTCCTACAAAAATGAACTAGAATTATTTGTGTTCTTTACATAAAAATTACCCTAGGCATATAAAAAGCTGTAACTGAAACAGAATGATACAAACACAAATAAGTGGGCATGCAGGCATTCAGAATGAAAAAAAGAACTTTAATGTATTGCAATATTTAGATGGATAGATAGGTAGATAGATAGATAGATAGATAGATAGATAGATAGATAGACTATTTTTTTGTTGTTGTTGCTATTCCATGCCTGATTTTATGACACAAGACCTTAAAAGGTCTGGGAAAACATTATTAACCCCAAAAATAAGCAGCTCAAAAATCTACTGAAGGAGTTTCAGCACTCCTATTCACGATCTTCAAACCACATATCTAATAGTATGTCATATTTTCCTCCTGTTTACTCAGTAACCAAGCCACTCCTAGCCAAAAAACCTACTCATAAATAAAAGATAACTGCGCATGGGCTAAGATGACCCCTAATAATATAACCTAATTCTATGCAAGGCATTACTGAATGCAAAAAAAAAAAAAAAAAAGAAAAACCCAAAACGGAAAACGTATTTCACTCTAATCTCCTCTTTCTAGTGATGTTAATTTCAGCTACAGTAACAGAAAACATTTCTAGGCTGGAGTATGATTTTCTTTGAGGATATGGGTTTTTCAGTTTACCCCTCACACTCTCACAAAATTAGCCTGCTCTAGCTTCTAGGAGAAATCATCCAGCTGATGTTACAGACAGCCTCAAGCATTAAGTGGGTATTCACCTTTTCTTAGCAAGATGTCTAAAGGCTGGATATCGATGTCTTTGTCTTACATGACCATCCCAGCTCCCTTTATGAGTTAGGAAAAATACAAACTTCCAGAATACAAAACAGTGGTCTTTGCTAGATGCTGTTTTAGGATTAACTTCATTGCTCTTTTGAAGTAGTTATTTATCTCTTTTGAGTATATAAGAAGTATGAGATGATTGCAGTAATCTAGAGTATTTATGTTCTGGATGACTTACGTGAGGTGGATCCTACTCTTGAGAACTTTGTGCTCAAGAAAACTGAGAAAAAAATGACAAAATCACGTTTGTCCCATTTGTGCTTGAGATGATTTTTCTCTCTAGCAAACAGCTCAGGGATACATCTTCAAATTTTAATTGCTGGAGGAAATAAGCATATTCACTGTGATACTTATTAAAAGGATCAGTGTTGGTTTATTTTGCTAAAATGATCACTCTTATCAGTAAAAAAGCTCAAACACTGAGCGTGTGCTCAGAAGGGAGATCTTATTTTCTTTTCCCAGGAGGTGTCTCTCTGGTCATTTAGGTCCTTGGGGCAGTTTTGAGACTCTAGCTGACCCTAGATGTGTTTATGCAAAATGAAAATGGATTGAAAAAAACCAGAAAGAGCATCACTCTGTATTTTACTTCTGTTGGTGTTTTAAGTGGTTAAACTCTATAAAATGCAAATCTATAAATATAAATATCTGGCATTGAAAATGATTTCAAAGTAATCCAAAAGCTAAAGAAAATACTTTTCTTTATAAAAAAGGTTTCTCCAGGAAAGAAGGAATAACCCCAAGCCATCACTTGAACATAGACTTCTTGATCATAGTTACTTCAAAATTACACTTTGCAGTACTGATAACGTGAGATTTAAAAGGATGGTGGAACAGAAAATGTGTTCAGATCTTTCCAGAGTTTAAGCACAAACATATGCTTGTCAAAAGTGTATTTGTCAAACAATAAATTACTTTAGCTATTAAGCAATTTTCATTATTATATAAAAGAACCAAGTATTTGTCAGAGGAGAATTTGTCAATCAGGCAGGACGGAGAGGAAATGCAGCAGCTGCTGTGTAATGCTGTCCTGGAGAGCAGCCACGGATGTCCTGAGAGCCATAGCACCCATCTTGCCCTAAGAAGCACTGCTGGGCTGAGCTGAAGAGGGTGAAGACTAATTTGTGGCCACTCTCTGCTGAATGCTTCCACAAATTAAATAACGCAACAAAATCAGTGCATCACTTGCTCTTGGAGCAGGATTTGACAGGAGACATATGTTTTATTGAACTAGTGGATATAATTGTGGGGTGGGAAAGGTTTGAGATGCATGATCCCTCATGAGACTGGACAAAGCAGCAGCAAACTCCAGGATAAATAATGGTTAGAAATAATCATCCTTAGTTTATCCTAATTACATGAATCAATTAGACAATTTGAGAGAGAGGATAATTACTACCAGTGGAGCAGAATTCAGTGATAGCAGAGAGAGGTGAAAGCCTGTCAGCCTCTTGACTGCAGAGAAACAATTCATATTCCATTTTTTTACACTTCTTACAAGTGGACTAATTCACAGTATCTGGCAAGTAAACAACACCTCATTTGCTGCCCTACTGGCATGCTGCAATTCAATGCAGCCAGTGGAAAGGGAATTTTTCTGTCCAGCTATTGGCAGGCTCTCCGTTTTTGTGCTGTCTCAAGACCACATCTTCAGCTTGGTCATCTAGAACACACTGCAAAGCCTTTATCCCACAAAGATCAACAGTTTGTGTTTCCTGTGCTGCTATTGCATTCTGTTTCTAACCTAAGTTTTCCCTCTCCAGAAAAGGAAGTACTAGAGCAGTACGAACAAAAATTAACTCATCAGTCTAAGATTTCTTGTATGGGTTGTGATTACCAGAAAAGCATTTCACACCTTCTTGCCCATGCTTGGAATAGCAGAGATATACAAAGATGAGAGGCAGCGCTGATGACTGACCTGATATTTGTGGTGTCCAGAGGAACAGTTCTTGCCTCCCTTTTCCCAGGTCCATTGAAGTACAGAGATTTTCCATCACTGAGCACACCACAACCTGTTCCAACCTGACCTCCTGTTATCTTGTACCAGAGAGGGCTTAGCTTTCTCTCAAACCTGTCGAACATCTCACTGTGGTTAGGCACATTTGATACACAGGTTCCATGTGATGCTTAAAGAAAAAAAAATATGGGAAATGCTTTGTTGTAACTGTGTTGAAGAGAGCAAAAGTCAGATACAGAAAACTGGCAGACAGTTCTATTGCACCCACACAAGAGAAAGTACTGTGCTTTTTTTTTTTTGAGGAAGTGCCAAGAAGATAGGATTGTACCTTTTCAAGCCCTCCATATTTTTTTCTGTAGTCAGAATAAATCCTCATCCTTTAAACTCCAAGATGGCTTATTTTACTCGGTGAAAAATACATGCCTTATATAGATAAGCCATTTTATGTAAACAGAAAAATATGATCCTTTTAGTCCTTTATAAATAAATTGAACAGAAAATGTTAGCTTATCGCTTTGTTGGTATAAAGGGTCAAAAAGAGTGCAGTAAGCAACTGGTAGAGTCAATCTCTGTCTGTTTTTTTTTTCACCAAGTATGTGTTTTTTGTGTTTGTTATTTTCTTTTCCCCCCTTTATTTTTGCAGCAAAAAAGCCCCAGAAACCACAAGTGAGCAGAATTTTTCGCAGAAGGGCCTGTCAGAACATATGTTCCTTCCTGGTCCTATGCCATCTGATGGCCAGGGGACTCAGTAACAGAAGCAATTCATTTGAAGATGGTCCAAAGGTTTTTAAACAGACTTTCTAGTTTAAAATATTTTATTTTGTTTTTTTCTTCTATTGCTAGTCCCTTTCCATTCATACAGATGGCTATGTTCATGGATTGTGGTTGCCAGAAACATCACCGATGTCTCCTGTCCTCAGCTGCTCTATTTTATCTATACTGGACTCCTGTGCTAAATTTTATTCAACAGAAATAAAATATTCTTGCTGGCAGCCCATGAAATTTATGTCAACATGTATTTTTCCAGAATACTGGAGAAGAAAAACACGGTGCGAGTTTTTGAACATCAACACAGCCAGTGTTTACCATCGTCCTGTCTAAAAAACATCTTACCTGTGTAGCCCAAGTCACAAAAACAGACCCCCGAGACGCAGTCCCCATGACCATTGCAATAATTGGGGCAAGGCTCAGAAATGTAAACACCATCTAAACCAAAAGGAGGCACACTCTTGTGGGAGCTGCTCTCCTGGATCCAGCGGAATCGAGTCTTACTGCAAAGGAACAATAATGACATGGTATTATTAATATTCCCAGCTTTCAAACCCACTGCATACCTTTTGTGTTCTTTGTTTAAGAAAAAAAAGAGCTTTTTCCTAAACCGGCTATCTGCAAATAAGATGCAGGTGGATGCCTCAAAAATATTTCTGGCATCCTATGGCTTCTGCGACTTTGCTTATGAATATTTTTTCCACAATTTGTGGATGTATTTTGACTTCCTCTATTTTTCTGGCCTATATCCACCAGTGTGACGCAAAGAACAGATTACATGGTTTTATAAGCAAGACTGAAAGATTAGATGCGACTCTAAAGATGACTTTCAGTACTCAGTTCAACACGAACTGCTAATTACACTTTAAACTCCCAGAAATACATTTCTTACAGTACTTATGAAAATAACTCAATAATGACAGTGATGCAGCTCATAGGATGTTACAATTTTGAGTAAAAAAAAACATTGAATAAACTAGATATAGGAAAAATCATATCCCATCTACAAAAATGTCACACAAAAAGTCCTAAAGAATATTTGGACAGAAACACAAAGATATAATGCTTGGATGGCAACATGAAATTCCTGAAAAACAGTGATCTAATCTTTAATCTCTGCAACTGATACTGCTCCAGAGACTTCAGCCTACACAAAGGTACTACAGTTGGCCCACTGTACAGGGAATTTATTAAAGAAAAAATATTTTGATTTTTAATTCTGAGCATTTAACTTCTAGTTGAATCATTTTATGTGTGTTCCAGAGGGGGGAATTGGCTTAAAATTTGGTTGTCACTCCAATGCATTAACCAAGATAATCCTTTCTGCTTTGTATAATGTATAATATACCTATCACCTTTTTTAAAACAAACAAACAAACAAACAACCTTTTCACTGGGATTTTGGTAGGTAAGATGATCAGTGTGCTAAGTATTTTGTACCAACAGATAAAATGGGATGCTCTCAAGATAACCATGATTTCCAAAATGAACCATAACTAATTCAGTTTTCAGCATGCTGGGCACCTCATCATACTCTCAATACTTACATTTTTAATACATTACCATGAGCTTGTTATTCCTGATCACATTACAAAACATAATGCCAAACAGATTGCTCCTATTGATTCTGTACTGCTTGTTTTGGGGAAATCAAATCAGCTGGTGTCAGATCTGTGCAATTTGGCACCTGCTTTTATTGGCTAATTACTGGAGAAAAGACAAACTTGTTATGGTACATGCTGTTATTTCAGCTCCTTGCAGCAAAGGCACCAGCTTCTCCACTACACAATATGCTAACATCCTGAAACTCTGTGTTGGGACCCAGAGATGAGGACATTGTGTCAGGAAGATGGTCTGAAACCTTAGGGCACTATGTGAACTTCTGCCCAGAGAGAGAGATTGACAGGAGCCAGCAGGCTCAGGGTGGTGCAGACAGCAAATCAAACCTTCTAGAGCCTCTTCGCCCAGTATGGACTGTAAAATTAATCCTGTTGAAAGGGCTTATTTGATTCAAGTGACTTATCACCGTCTTGCTGATATGGCTAAAGAAAGACAGCACTATGATGAAGAGATTGAAGACAAATGAATATGTCGTAGTCTCTTGCAATTTAATTTTATATATGATTCTGACACCTTTACAATGGAAAGCTTCTCCTGTTTTGGAGAGCAAAAATATATTTTTCCCAGACCTGCAGATTTTTAACTTTTTCCTATCACAGCCACAAAGAGCAGGCAGCTCATTCACTACTGGCATCACGGGCTTACAGAGTACAGTACCTGGCTGCAAGCGACCTTGGGATAACAATAGTGATCCTTGTCCAGTCCTCAAAATCCCCTGTGTGATACACAGTTGGCTCGCTCAGCTCACGGGAGCTTCCCTCACATCCTTTGGTTCCTGGAGATGCAGGATAGCAGCCTTCCTTCACAAGTGACCAAAAGAGCCCAGCATCATGCGAGTACTGAAGCAGAACGGGAGCAGAGCTGCTGTACTGGTTAGTGCAGCCAATATTCAGCTGCAAAAAAAGCAGAGTATCAGATATGAGATGAAAACAAAAACCCTGTGCTGTTATTTGCAGTTTTTGGCTGTGACTGATTATTATAATTGGATATTATTGGTTTTTAATTGCTGTTATTATCTTTCACTTTTCAGTTTGGAATGCGTAGTTCTGAGCATTTCCTTTGCACCCTGCTGGCAAACAGTGTCTGATGCTTAAAGTCTGAGACCCACACAAGCATGATATTTATCTCTAAAAATTACCACTATCTCTTCATTTAACTTGATGGGTTCAGTAAAACACACTTTTCAAAGGTCCTTCTCCATAGCAGGCTGCAAAGAACAAACTCTACACCGGCACCTGCGTGCCCAGGAAAATAGAGAAGAGCTGTGTCCTCTGAGTTACAGAATCATAAAATCATGAAGGTTGGAGAGACAACTAAGACTACATAGTCCAGCCATGAACCCATCCCCAACATGCCCAGTAAATCATGTCCCTCAGTTACACATCTCCACGTTTCTTGAATACCTCCAGGATGGTGACTCCAGCACCTTCCTGTGCTGCTTTCTGTGCCAGTGCCTCGCCACTCTTTCTGAGAAGAAATTTTTCCTAATATCCAATCTGAATCTCCCCTGGCAAAAGTTAAAGCTATTACCTCTTATCCTATCACAAGTCACGTAGGAGAAGAGGACAATCCCCACCTCACTATAACCTCGTTTCAGAGTTACAGAGACATAGCCCATTGCAGTGCACCCTGATGTGCCCAGAGGATCAGTCTGATAACTCCGAGGTATCCCTTGCCCTGGGGCTGCAACTCCTGACCACAGCTGAGTCATTGGTTTTGCAGAATAATGTTTGAGAGCTAGCACTGAAATTCTGGTCCCAGAAAAGAGCAAAATTGGATGCAGCAGAAATATAAAAATGTGAAATGAAATCATAACTAATACAAAAATCAATGTTTCATTTTATGTTTTCAGAAAAATATTAGTTTTGTTTTATTGCAGAGCTTCTACTTGAGCTGCAGAACAAAGGTATAACAAAATGATTCATATAAGCTGAAACATTTTTGACAAACTACTGTCTTTGAATTTATCAATGCAAAATTATGCTAGGCATCTTTTTAAAATGGAAATTTCACAAACTAAGGAAACATTTAACCATATGCTTAAAATTAAGGCATGCAAATAGAACTACACATTTCTGTGCCTTCCAAAAAAGAGAGGAGTATAAATTAAGGCCTTAAGTAATGGAAGAACTCCCTGTTTTCTCAAACACATTGTTGATGTTTTGTATATTTACATTACGTTGCCAAGGGTTTCAGTGATGGAAGGTGCGTGAAATCTTTTCAAGCACTGCTTTTGTAAACTAAGCAATTTTTGAACTTTTGTTGATCATAAAACCTGGAGAATGACGACTTAGTCACTGAAGTGACACACCCAGGCTGGACGTGGCTCTGGGCAGCTTGGTCCAGTGGTTGGTGACCTTGCCTGTGGCAGGGGGTTGAAACTAGATGTTCTTTGAGGTTCTTTTCAACCCAGGCCATTCTATGATTCTATGATAAGTAATAGGAAATGGTCAAGAAGCAAATAACATTTTTTCCAGGCTAAATAGTATTTATATATGGCAGTATTTCGGGTTTTAGACGAGTTTAAGGTATAAAACTATGAACAATATACTCATCCAGAAATTGTATTGCAGTCTATCAGTTTGTATAGCATTTCATTAGCATAACTTTTAGATGAAATGAGATTTTTTTTTATAAATCCTATTACTTCTAACTAACTTCCCTATTTACAGAAGTGTGGGAATTACATTTGAAAAGCTGCCTGTAAACATCAGATCTCTTTAATAATTCTACCTGTAAATTATTCAGTGTCTGTATCTGCCAATTATGTAAAGACCATGTATTTGTGGTGAGCTCATTAAAATTGCATTTCAACCAACCTCCAGAATTCACCAATGGGATTTCACTATAAACTCAATAAAATTTTGATTAGAGTTCGGAAGCAAGAGCTTATGAAAACAAATACACTTTATTTGGAGCCCGTATGCTGGTGGACTTCCAGGACCACTAAACTTCTTGTAAGCCCTATAAATAAGAATGCTAATTGGAGCCTAAATTTCTTGACAAAATAAAAGTAAATTATTTGAAAAAAACCACACTGGAGTACAGAGAAGCTTGTAAATCCTTAAATACTTTAATATAAAAAAATGTACGCAAATCACATTGGAGCTTTTGTAGTGATGGAGCCCCAGATGAAATAAAGCTTTTTTCCCTTGCAAGGCACTTCCTACCATTTCCAAGTGCTGACTCAAATATACTGACAGTCACTTCAACCCGCTTGTGAAACTCGTTAAAGAACAATAAGCCTTCAAAGTTTCTCCAGAGGAGGAAGAAGCTCTCCTGCACCAAGGTTTTGGCAGAATCATATTTTATACGGTATGAATTCATACCTGTGCTCCACACATCTTTCAAGACAGCCTTATAATGTATTCCCTTGTTTTCTATGGTGACCCAATGGCATCTTGCAAGTATTGAATAAGATGAGTTTCACTGATACATTATGATCTGGAGGAACTTATATTTAAGGAATACCTTGAACTGCAGAACATATCCAGGCTTCAGCGTTAAATCTCTAGTCACTGCAAATCGGTCCCCGTCTGATTTACCAAAGAGCATGGCAGAGGGGGTGGCAGAGCAGAAACTTTCGTTTTTGGTCATGCCTTCATTGGCCAGTATTAACCACACACTTAGCTGGTTCATAGGGTAATCGAATGCTGGCTTTTCATAAAAGTTCTGTTAGAAATGAAGAGAAAAGCAACATAAAGAAGTACTACCTCCTTGCAGCGCGATTTCAGAAGTTTTCCAAAATTATGAGTTTTCCAATTTTGCCAATTACACACTCTGTAATTACCTCAAAATCTTAACTTTCAAAATTTGTTTCAACTTTTGAAGAGACACATACATTCTCTATAGTAAAAATTAGCAGTCCTACAGTGATAGATAAGAGCCAGGTTCGTGCCACGTAGAGAGAGACACAGCTGCAAACATTACAAATGTTTCTGTAAGTATAACCTGATATTCTCAAAGAAAATAAAATTCAAATAAACTTCTATCAACAGAGAAGATGTTTCTCATTTCACAGTGATGCCCACAGGCTGTTTTTGCTTGTTACCTGTGGTAATGTGGGATTAACAACAGGAATTATGTGCTTCTGCTTCTCTGACAAAATGATGATGTCGTCGATGGCCCACTGATCGTACCCTTCTCCTGAAAACACAGGCTGCCACCACCGAAACCTGGTGCAAGGAGTCTTGGCTACAGCTGGCAGCTCCAGATAGACAAACCTGAGAAAAGAAAGTCAGTAGAATGCTAAGGAAACATCATAGAGAAATGGGAGAAGTACCGCTGAATGTGAAAAAGAAGCAGGAAAGCCATTTCTTTTCCCAAGAAACTGTTAAGTGTGATGGGCCTTGCTTTCCCAGAAATGGCTGAACATCTGCCTGTCAATGGGAAGTAGTGGATGAATTCCTTATATTTCCTTGCTTGCACATGTAGCTTTTTCTTCACCTTTTGAACTGTTTTTTTTTTTTTTTTTTTTTTTTTATCTCAACCCACGAGTTTTCTCACTTTTACCTTTCTGGTTCTCTCCCCCACCCACTTAGGGAAAGCGAGTCTATGTGGTGCTGAGCTGCCTACTGCTATAAAACCACAACAATCAGTTGCCTGTTCAGTATTATTTCACACAACTTAAATATATGCATTTATGTATATATTCCATCCTGTATTCTTTCTTAACATCATACTACTGTGTATCATTGGACTTGCTAGATCTTGCCTCTTTGGCAGACAGAAGTGAAAAAATCATTTGGGGCCATACAGAATCTTTTTCAGAGGGTTCCTAGTTTTATGTGTCAGAAAGTAAGTAACTGGAAAATAAGATTTGGAGCAGCAGTATAAGTAATAGATATACACAGCAACATACTCTGTAAGGACCATTGCCCTCAGTTACTCCAGGGAGGTAAATGTTTTGCCTAAAACTAATGCACTGGATAGCCAAGCAATGAAGATTCCAGTGCATAATTGGGGACATCCTTATTTGTTGGAAGCTTCCTGTTATTTTGTCAAAGTAGAGGCAAAGTAAACAGTTTTATACTTTCAAATGCTGAGATTACTTTTAGAAAAAGAGTTTACCAAGTTTACAACAGTCATTCTGAAACCACTGTGTATTGAAGGCAAAATGAGGAGCTTGGAGGATAAAATTATTCACGTATTTATATACTGCAAGAAATCAGCTATGGCAATAGAAATCATGTTAATAGCTATACAGACAATTGCAATTTCATTTGGCATTGGTAAGCTATCTTCAGGTTTTCTACAGCCTGCTTTGATAAGATTTTTCCTTCATAATGACAAGGGTTTACTGTGGCAGCCTGAAAGAGTTTCCACATAAGGACAGCTTTTAAGCACTATAGCATGAAATGATTCTTCATGTTTACACAAAGAAATAGGTTTCTTAAAGAGATGAGGAGTATGAATATAGCTGATTTAATTTAGGCAAAAGTTTTACCTGGGTTTGCTGAAATCAGAGAAATACATTTCCGCTAGCAGCTGCCAGTTTATACCACCATTATTGCTGTACTGCAGCAGCACACCTTCTTCTCTGCTGTCTGGTCTATTGCATGAGGAACTTTCTCCTCCAATCTGGATGTAAAACTGAACAAAATCCACCCAGGTAGTGTCCAAATCCCAGCTTACCAGCTGTCTTTTTCCAGCCTACAGTTGAATGAAAAGAGGTGTAAAAAATAATTAAATATGACACGTTTACTCCAAATTGACATATTATAAAGTCAAGCACAGATGAATATGATATAGGAACACAGAAGACACTGAATTTTGTGTTAACATGACTTTTCTTGTTCTTAGGGCATGGTTTTCCTTGGCCATCCTTTAGGGCTTAATCTCTCAGGTGCGTTCCAATAAGCATTTTTACTATTAGAGACGCAGCATTTAACACACAACACAACTTTCAAACACAATTTTAACACAACTTTTTCATCGCTCCTTTTCCACCTCACTCCTTCATGGTACCAAATGCCTTCAGGAGACATAAAGTATAAAGCAATAAAAAGGCATTTCTGACATCGCATTTTTTTTTACTGGGACACCTGGAATTACATTATCAATAATGCCTACTGTGTTTCAGGGAAGGGAAGTGCAGCTGATGTATCAGATGCCTGACCGTCGCTTATTTTTTGTCTTGCATTTGCCTAGCAACCAAACTCAGTTATGATCAGATCCTTGTGTATTATAATATCTTCATACATTTTAGGCTCTGATTAACCTGGTCTTGTCTCATCAAGACCCTTACAACATCCAAAAGTATACACTTTTCTCTGTTTCACTTAAGCATTTTCTCTCCACTCTCCCTTTGATCCACTCTGCTGGCACAGATTTTCACTTTCTATTCAGTCTTTTAGTGTTAGTGGCACTCAAGGTTCTTTGTTTTGTGATCGTCTCTGTGGCATTTGTTTCTCTGGTTGCTAATCCAGTGCTATCTGCAAGGAGAATGGCCTTCCCACATGTTGGCATCAGCCCATTTGACAGTTTTCCTTCCAGTTACCTCTACAAAAGCAGTGCATGGAAGATTTGCAGCAGTGTAGTTCATCTCCTAAATAATAACAAGGGAGGGCATTTTCTTTTCATGCCTCATGTGAGTAGGATTCATTCATTCACAAAGCAACTTTCTTCTCCTAGTATTATCCTAGTCTTTCATCTAAAACCTATGGATTTAGTTCTAGTTTTATGTGAGCATAGCAGAGAGAAAAAATAGCCTCATTAAATTTAGTGAATAGCGTTTTCAAGGATGTTTTTGAGTTCTAGCAGGAAACAGCTCTTGGGCATCTGTAGTGTGGCTCATGTGGTCACTCTGTACTTACTGACAAAAGAAGACAGAGGATACTAAGCTAAAAGATTCTCTAAGGTGCAAAAATCTTTTACTGTAATTGCAGTTCTCCCTTTCCCCTTGTACTCCCAGCTCGAGACTGATCCTGTGGGCTCCACAGCAACAGGCATGAACAACACTTCCCACGGTGAGACAGGACAGAGGACAAGAGCAGTGTCCCCACAAAAGTGCCCCACGTGCACCCCGCCTGTCACAGCCCTGCCCCAGTACAGCCCCAGTTGTGCCTCCAGAAAGCACAGTGTGCGGCTGGAGAGGAGCTACAGGGATCATCTTTCTGCATTCACCAAAACTAGCTGCAACCTGGCATTAACACTGAAAAAGCCTCTCAGAATGGAGCAGACTTGACAACAGGCCAGCTGGTTTGAATTGCCTAAAAATCATAGAATAGTTTAAGATGTAACGGACCTTTAAAGGTCACCTAGCTCATCACCTGTGCAACGATGAGAGACACCTACATATAGATCAGAGTGCTCAGTGCCCCATCCAGCCAGACCATGAATACCTCCAAGGATGGAGCATCCACCACCTCTCTGGGCCACCTGTTCCAGTGCCTCACCAGCCTTAGTGTAAAACCTTTTCCTTATATCCAGTCTAATGATAGTGATGATAGATGATTTTAAATTATGTTCCACTTATTAACTATTTCCCATTCCTACTCAGTTTAGGGTAAACTCAGAACAAAGATACATTAATTGCTTTTTTCACAGAATATTTTTTTTGCTGGTGTTACAGCTGTAGTTCATTTACAGACTCTACCAAATAGGCCACATCACACTGACAGACTAATTTCTGGAAAACTTACTGAAGATACAACTGTATCAATTGAGTCTTGAATATTGTCTGCATTTTTAAAATTTGTTTGTTTGTTTATTCCCAGCTGAATAAAGCCATCTTGCACGGTGTCATGATTGTGAGATGGGCACAGCCTTGGGTGCAGTCCCAAGCTTCCCTGTGCAGGCCAACATGACTACGACTGGCCCAAGGCACTGCGACGTGACACTGATAATGTTTTGGTAGTTTGCTTTCACAACTTTTTGGTTTTCAGAAACCCACAGGAATTCAAAATTGTTTTAATCAAATCAAACTTTTCCAAAAGGTTCCAACACCGTTGCTGTCCCATGGGCAAATATGTCCCATCTGAGAGTCAGAGATCTGGCTGTAAAACTATTGTGAGGACATTTTCATTATCTACATCATCCCTGCTCCAAATTGGCACTGACTGCTAAAGAGTCATCCACAAAACCAGGTTAACTGAGAAAGGGCATGAGTTACTTAAAACCTTGAAGAAATTGCAGGGGCTAATTGCTGACATGCCTATAATTGATTACAGTTAATTGTGAAACAAAAGATAGAGAGTTGGCAGAACAAAGGCAACATTAATTCTGATAGCAGTGATTGATTATGGCAGCAAACATTAGACACTGAAATAAAAAGTGGCTAGCTGAGGAACTGTAAAGAAACAGAACCTGTGAATATGAGCTCCCAAAACAATATAGAACTGTCAGGCAGTTACGAAAATAATTTTTGTAATGTTTATCACCATGACCACTAGACACCTTGAAAAGGATCTAAACAGAAATTAAATAAGCCACCTTCAGCTGATGGCACTCAGAGTGCTACTAGTCAATAAATGAATGACAACCTAATCCTTAGAGATCAATAGAAAGAAGCCAAGAATTCCTAAATGAGATTTTCACTCCTCCTTAGCAGAAATCAGAAGAAAGATCATAGCAGGTTAATTATAATTTAGCAAACTTCTTTGAGAAACCTGGCATAAGGAACTGAGCCAGAAGGAGAAACATTTAATAGATAAGACAATTATATTAAAAAATCCAATTATCACAATTAGCTAGTTAGACTGATTGGTTTATTATGAAATTTTCAGCACAGAGATGCATTTTCAAGGGAGGTGGATGTGAGACTATGTAGGAGTGCTGAAAATTATTTGATGAGTTAGATATTTGTAATGAGGTTAACAACACATGATTACACAGCTTTGCACACTGGGTTATTCTACTGGGACTAATCCAGTTCTCATGACAGCAGTGGCAGTTTGATCAAACCCTTAAAAGAGAAGCTGTACTTATACTCTTCCTTTCAATTAAGAACAACAAAAAAATCCATCCCAACAGAATTAGACCTGAGGAGCAACAATGGAAAACAAATCTGTGACTACAACCCATAATCATACATCTGATGGTAAAGATCTCTTTTTATGTTACAATTGCTATCAATTTGCAGAAATCTTTTTCTTGCTGTATTATTTTTTTGTGTAATGCATCCAAGTCACACAAGAGAGTTCTCCTGCAGGCTAACCGGGCACTTTCTAAATGCTGGAAGGGTTGCTTTTTCACTATTTTTGGTTCTTTGTTCTCAGAGTGACTCCTGAAAGCTAACCAATCATGAGCCTCCTCCAGAACATGACAGAAAAAGTTGAGTTTGCTGAGAAAGAACTGTGTCTTAAAACAGAACATGCATAATATTAATAACAGTATTAATTTGTGCACTTCTCAGCATGCTGACAATTTGCTTCTTTCCATTACATTTGGTATTTCTTGGATATGCAGTGTTACTCTCCATTTCTTTGAATTGCTTTGTTTTTTATCTGCAGAGCACAGCTATGCTATTTAATGCACTTTTCATACTGCACTTTGCTGTGCCTCAGAGCTTTCTGCTACCTTCCTTTTCCTTATAACACCATCCTGTTCCATTAAAACTGACATTACCACATGCCTTCTCAGCCTCATGTCCCTTAGTGATACCTTGTTGAAATATAGTGAGGAGCCAGATGAGATGACCCCACAGCCTTCTTCAGGCTTTACAATCTCTCCTCCAATAATTTCTTGCCACTCTGTCTTCAGGACATCTGGGTTTTCAAAATCAGACATGACAGTTGAAGGAAGGGGATTTTCAGGCTGACACTCTGTACCCTGAAACCCTGAGTCACACCTGGAAGAAAGCATAAGCATAACAAGTTTTAAAGATCTTATCTGGTACTCACAATTAGTTAAGACCTTTTAAAATTACATGTAAAAAAATCATTCAGGAATTGGAATTTTGGATGCTAAAAAGAAGCTGCGTTACCCAGATAACTGGAAATAAGCTATATTTTACTTTAAAAACAATGCAGTGTCCAGAAAGTTCAAAGCTGGCAGGCAGTACTCTGCCTTTGGTATTGCAGTAACTCTGAAGTCTGCAAAGCAGCTCTGAGCTGGTTCTTCATGTCTTTCTGCCCCAGCAAAACAGCTCCAGCCCTGTGCTAGAGCCCCCTGAGCAGAGAGTCAGAGAGTCACCAGGACACCTGCAGCAGGGCATCCCCATGACACTGAGACTCCCTTCACTGTCTGCATCTCCCAAGGGTATAGGCTCTTGGGTGTTGGAACAACCAGCTTTTAATAATGCTTTAATGGCTTAGCCCTCATAGGTGTATGTTTTGTTTTTATAATCTAAAAAGAAGAAAAACATCAAAAAAACAAACAAAAAAGCCACAAAATAACAGAATAACAGAATACTTAAGTACCAAGATAGCAGTAACTTGTCAAATAGGCAAATGCTGTCTACCTGCAAACGCCATGGTCGCACCAGCCATGCCCACTGCACATGTTGGGACACTGCTGTCCGATGTAGATGTTGTCTAAGGCCCATTCATCCAGTGCTGTGTAGTAGCACTGACTCCAGCGGAAACGTGTGGCACTGGACCTTAAAAGCAATAACAGTGCTTTAATGTGGATGCTTTACAGTACTGCAGGCAAAAAATGCAACTATAAAAAGTCAAATTGGTATTGCAGTCATTGCTCAGCCTGTAAAAACTAACACAACCAAAGACAGAGTCTTACAAGTGAACTTTCTATATGATGTTGCTTACTGCACAGGGTTACATAAAAGACTTGGCTGTTAATAATGACATTTCCGTTGAAGACTACAGAGATGCTGTAGAAACTTTATGCTTAATGGCCACACTAATATAAGACAAATCTATCAATGAATATTATCAGATTTTTATTAAGTGCCATCCTGTGAGGGTGTAAGGTTGCAAAACAAGAAAGTTGGATCAAGAGTGTGACCTTGACTTTTATATTTTTGGATGGTTAATAGGGTATAATGCATGCAAAAAGGTTTCATATGATATTTATTCAAAAAATAATCTTTGAAATTAAACTTCTTGCAACTAAGCATTTCTCTTCTTTGAATAGTGACTATTTCCATTCAAAAAGTTTTGAGTTTCTTATAGGATACAGACAATGATACTAAACTAGATTATGCTAGTGACATTATGGTGACATTACAGTCATCAGTTTTTGAAAAAGACTGTCACCAGCAAGCCTTCTCAAGCTTTACTGCCAACTGGTACAATGTGATGCCAAACCAGCTGGTGGGATGGAATGGGTAGAATCTTGTCCATGCTCATACAGATGTGGCTGGGAGATTGAGAAAAGATATTGCATATGAAGTGAAGCAAAAATGGGAAATCATTATGATGGACTACAAGGAGCTGTGCTGGTTGCATGGTAGATCTGGGGAAAGAAAGGGATGGCTGAGGCGATGTGGGAAGTGAAGCTTTGTTATAGTGCTACAAAGACGATAGATAGGGAAAGCAAAGCTGACAGCAGCAAAAAAAAATTCAGACACTACCTGGGGCTTTGTCTGGCCACAGGCTGACAGGGAAGGCAAAGGAGGAGCAGCAGGAAATTTCTACAAGAAGCAGGAGATTCTTTCCAACAAAGTGTCTAAGCCACATGGCTATGATATGACGGCATGAGATACAATGCGCTAATTCTAACTTAAGAAAAAGACCCTTCCTCACTTTCTGGAAATCATATAGAGTAAGGTGTTAAGATGAACATAATAAAGGTGGCTGAGTCACCTGCTCATATGAAGAGGAAGAATGAATATGGGAGGCTTGGGTAGCTAAAATGGACAGTATGGCACAGCAGTTACCCAGCCAGTTACACACTAGAAGCATACAAAGATCAAATTAATCTATGCTTGGATAATTTTTTAGAATTCAAATGCATGAACTTCTTTAAAAAACAAAAACCAAGGCTGCCCAAGGACTTGATGTTCAATTGCAATGACCTTTGTTTTCTTTTTTTCAGTACCTGTTTGATATTGTAAGTACTGTAAGTATTTTTACAGCATTATAGAGCTAATCTGGGGGCAGATCTACAGATTAAATACTTCCTCAGGATACAATGCCTTGATGGGTTACATTACAAGAGCTATGAATTATTCATTAAAAGTGCACAATTTCAGCAATCTGCCCAATAGGGACTTCCTAAGCATGCAATAGACACAACGTCCAGTAAATACTGACCACAGTTATTTTCTGAGTACTCTGAAGCCAGCACGTTGCCTTAATGGTGTTGCTCATGTTCACTACAGTGCATCAACAGTGCATTTACCCAGAGAGTGGTGAGGTACTGGAACAGGCTGCCCAGAAAGGTTGTGGATGCCCCATCCTTGGAGGTGTTCAAGGCCAGGTTGGATGGGACCCTGGGCAGCCTGTTTTAGCATTTAACGTGGAGGTTGATGACCCTGCATGTGGCAGGGGGGTTGGAGATTCATGATCCTTGAGGTCCCTTCCAACCCTGGCCATTCTGTGATTCTGTGAACTGTGCCTCAGGGAGCACTGCACAAACTGTGCTCTGGAGAGCTGTGGTAGTGGGTATTAAATCTGATGTGCACTGAGGAAAAGAGCAATATTGAAAGCAAATAAAGGCTTTTATGCATACAAATAAAAAAAAAAGACCTTCCAGCGGGGAAAAAAAAAAGCATCATGTTGTCTGTGACAGGAATGGGAGCTGTGGCTTCCTTGTTTTTTGTTAGGGGCCATGTGTGGGCAGAGGTGTGCAACCCTACAGGCCCAGAAGTACCTACACAGAGGTATAGAGTAGCATAGAGGTAATTAGGACATCAAGCAAAGAGACGTCTCCCCCAGAAAGAACTTCACCACCACACATCCCTAACCCCCAGAACGCAGGGTGGTGGTGGAGGCCTGGCTGAAGGTGAGGCCTGTGGGCTGAGGTTTCCATTGCAAAAGCAATGCTTCTGGAAAGCCAGTCCTTGTTGCTTGTGAGAGCTTTCCAACACTGCTCTGCATTGCAAAGGAACAACAGCTTAAGAGGATTATGCTGTTAAAAATGGTAATCAACCATTTAAAAATACCATGTTAATTAAGGAAAAAAAATAAGAAGCTGAACGTCAGCTTCATTCTCAGTTTTCTGAACTGTCACTGTCTGGATGGACATCTACTCAAATGGGAAGCATGTATCAGGGAGTTATAAAATAATTTCATTACAAGCAAAATAAACCTCTCCCATACTTCAACAAGAGTTGCAGTTGATGATCTTTAAGGGTCTCTTCCAACTCACATGATTCTGTGATTCTCTACTTCCTCCCAGCTTTTTCTACAAGGTTAAAATACTACTGGAAGGTTCTTTGGCCTTCTGATGACACCATATCTAAATCAGACTGATGTCAAATGGAAGTCACTGCTGCTGCCTGTAATTTTACATGAGCAAAAGGAAATGGTGGTGAGTCCCAGATGTCTTGCAAGTGAAATGAAGCTTATAATTTTTTTTTCAGATATGTGATTTAAATAAAATCATTGTCTTCTCTCCTGATATTAAAAAAATGAAAAATTTAACGCAAATTTGTGGTTGATACAATTACATTTGCTACCTTCTGAGTTACCATAATTACATTTACCCAATTATCCTGAAACTCTCATTCAGTCATTAGGTGTTGATTTGTTTATGAAGTCAGCAACTGACAGCTGCTTGTATCTCATTAAAGCCTGTTCATATGTAAATGTCTTCCATAAAACTGAAATTAATTTTCATCAGTGTTAGAAATATTCAGTTCAAGTACAATACAATTTCAGTGAGCAGGTGCATACATTTCATTTCTCCAACAAAACTCTCACAGTTGCAGCAGATTTCCTTCTGCACCAAATTTTGGATAACACGAATACCATGTAAACTCGTGTGTGCCAGATGCTGAACATCTACAAACACACAAAAATACCAGCACACCCAGAAAGTTTTACAACAGAGCTAGTTTCTGTTACAAGCAAATTTCTGGTGCACAGTAACAAAGCCTGATGCTTCCAATGCACCAAAGCTGCAAACTCTCAGTAAAAAGATGTGCATGCAACAATGAGACCTCAGGAAATTGTATTGGAGCTGTGTAATAGTATGAGGGCTTACTGAGGCCACCAACTGTCACACTGGGACTATTAAGAACTCAAGTCCAGGTCTATGTTTGGCAGCACTTCTGCACTGCTTTTTCTGGCCATCATCTATGTTTTGCAAGTTAGTGCTTGCAGTGAGCAGGAAGGGAACAGAAGGTGGTGAGAGGCAGTTCTGAAGCCATGTGCCAGAGGGAATCTGATTGTCATATGTCCACCAGCAAACCTGAGGCAGAGACCTGCCCAGTGTTTGTTACTGTATATGTGGTATACAGTAGATTCAAAAATGCAAAAAATTCTCCTTCCAGTCAGAACCCAAGGACTGACCAAACCTTGCTGATGACACCAACGGTGAGAGGAAGAGAGGCTGAGATCAGCTTTGTGAATCAGATTACTTCTGGTGGGGGTTATTCTTCCTCCTTACCCTAACTACTCAGTAGCACAGCAGCACAGCACAGTCATAGTGAAAATGTGTTTTATGAAATCCGAAGTGATGTTCAGTGGTAATTTGTACCCTAATTACAAACAAAACTCTGATAACAGATGGGAATCCTTTCAGATAAAAGACAAGGTATGAAATATTTATGATTTGTTCACAGTATAAAATGGTAACCTGGTTATTATTTCACCATAATTTTTCCCCACAGTCTCCTAAATTAAAATGGAATTATTTGTTTCTGTCAACTCATTCGCTGAGGAAAATTACTAGATCTTAAAGAATAAAAGCTCCACAACACCAGTATTAGCCCCAATTATAAAATGTATAATAATAACCTGGAGTATTTAAATTAAATTTAAAATAACAGCGTACTTTGGAATAGATCCTAAAAAAAATCTAGACACTTTTAAAACCTTCTAAGTGCCTCCATGATCCACAGATTCTATAGATCATTACATGCTACAGATCAGCATGTAAGATTTATAATTATAGGCTAATGCACGCCATTTGGTATTATCTGACTTGACATGCTTTAAAGATTCAATTTTTGTCCCTGATGGTTTGTCTGTAATTATGAAATTCTGCAAATTGGCTATACTGAAAGAATAGTAAGTATTTTGGATGCAGGTAATATTGCTTGTTATGCTGAGGCTATGGACAGTGCAGAATAAAATGGCAACAGAAGGAAAACACAAAGACAACTTAATCTGTGCAAGTTCTCATTGTAGCTGCTGTTAGGTAGAACAGAAGCAAGAAGCAGAGCATAGGAATAATAATAATAATGCAGGAAATGAATGAAGATTAGCAAGATCTACAACTACCTTCTAGTTGTACATTATAGTAAAGCTTTTAAAATAAATAATAGAAGAAATAACTTAGTTAAATTATAATGTTAGGGCAAAAAAAGGTTTTATTACAGTAAGGTGAATAGGATTCTTTTTTTAAAAAGCTATTTTTGAAGACATGCTATAAAAAGAAACAAAAGGTAAAAAATTCCCAGAAATGAATAATTAGTTATTGTTTATGCAAGGTTTTGGTCTGGAGATGTAAACAATAAGGAATGTTAAAAATAAAAATTAACAATATAAATAAACACTTCCTCCAGTGACCCATTTAAAGAGAAGCCACTATTTTTGAAAGGATCTGAATTTTATTAGAAGTCACAATATACATTAAAAACAATCCTTAACAATAGTTTCTAGTGACTTCAGCAGCATTTCATTCCAAGGACATGAGGAAGGCATTTTATGTTAAACACCAGTGACTTGAGTTTGCCCCTATATCACCTATTGTCTTCAGAATGATCTACATGGGACTTCATCTTTGTAGCAGTGTAAAAGCAGACAAAGCAGATGAACTATCTGTACCCTCCCCTCCACTCCCCTCCCCTCCAGAAAGAAAGAAAGAAAGAAAGAGAGAGGGAGGCTCACCAAGTTTTCTGTGGTAAAAGGACAGTGATTCTCCTCCACTGAGTAAATTCGCTGGAATGGTAAATACTTGCTGAGGTAAACTCCTGGCAGCTCGGCATACTTGGAAGACATTCCTTGAAATAACACATTTCAAAACCAGGATAAAGTTGAGGCAGAGTTAGGAACAAACATGATGTTTAAACATTCATTGAACCGGAAGCTTCTGAACCTGAATCTGGGTCCAGATGTCAGAGTGAAAACCCCACAAGTAGAAAAACCCTGGGATGCTCCAGATAAATTTGTCAAAAAACTAGCAACGGACAATTTAGGATAGAATGAACTCATATGATCCTTTTAGAGAGCTATGCTTCATGTTAGTGTCTAGTAATCTATTTTCTCCATGAGGGTGTCTAGTTCATTTTTATATTATTCTCACCCTAGCACCTAGCATCAGCAGTGGATAAGGTCTACAAATGTACAATGAAATAAGTCTACACAGCTGACCTCCCTACCACTACACCAGTCATGTTAGAGATCTACATGCAAAGCCTCACCTGGGAACAACAGTCTTTCTCTCTGCAGTGGGAGCAATAGGGACCAACAGTTGCCCAAGAGCATCAGTTTTAGGCACCCAGCTGAAGTCACTAAAACTGCATCTAAATGCCCTTACCATGCTCTGCGGGTGTAAACCAATAGCAAGTGATGCAATTTTGCTCCTTCAGCTTCTATGATCTTGAATCTTTAATTCAAGACTCCCAGAGAGGTCTGTTACCAAAATCCTCTTTCTTCTTTTCAGAAAATCTGATCATTGCCACATCTTTTTATTTATTTTTTTTTATTGTAATGAATATGACACAGTCCATTAAACCACTTTCTAGAGCTGTTCTTCCCTTGTGACTCTATTTTTCTTCAATATTCCATTTACTTTTTTATATATTACCAGAGTAGCACCCCAGATTTTTGTAGTTTGGCTTTGATGAAGTATTAGTAAAGCATTTAAGCTTGTGTGTAATTTTTCTCGCTACCCATTTGGGGAATCCATTCTACCACTACTGTCTCAGTATAGCTGCTTCCAGATCATCTCCAGCTCTCCCACAGTCTTCTCTGCTGGACTCATACCCATGAAGTATGTCAGACACAAGGGACTTTCACTCTTCTGTGCATTATACTTTGCTATGAAACTAATAACAAAGCAGTGATACTCTATGGTAGTTAAAACAATTGGGAATATTTATATAGTGAAATATAAGGAAGAGCAGAATATATTATTATTTCACAAAAAAATCTGTTGCTCAAGTATCTTAGAACGTTAAAAGAAGATTTGATATCTTATTCTGTTTTTTATTGATGTTGTTTTTTTTCCCAGTAGATTTTCTAAAGGATTAGTTTCCTTTCCAGCCATTTTCAAACATATTTTGTTGAGTCATCTCCCATAAAAGATCTTAGAAAATAGGATCTGATCAGTGTGTGTGAAGCAAAGAAGGCTTTTGAACATCTCAACTAGTGTTTTGTGTATTGGCCAGATTACATCCTTGAAGCATACTACAAATAGTCTTCTTTTTAGTGCTGAATCACAGCAAATTGGATGGTATCAGGAAAATGATTTGGCTGCAAGGCCTTCTTTCTGAATTCAGTTCCACTGAGACAGGAAAGGAGCACTAAAATCTCAAGGCAACTGATCTTTCACTGATGACAAAGTAAAGCCCCAAACATCTATCACTATGAACTATTCCTAGATACCATGGTGATGCCTGCTAGATTTAAAAAACATGAAAATCATTTGAAATACAGTATTTAGAGCTTTCCTCTTAATTCTGTATAAGGAAAAAAAAATATTACTTTGAGCTGTAAAGCTCAAAATTTCAGTTATTGACATTTCTCTACTTTGCACTCCAAAGTAAATATGGCAAAACAATACGAAGCAGGAAATGGTTTCATTAGTCATAAAAGATGTTGGACTGTACGTTCAAATGCCTTTGTGAACATGTATGTTCAGGCACTGAACAGGCACTGAAAAGGCATCGAAAGCAGTTTCCTGACACTTTCTGAACCTGGTCAGAGGTAGCTGAAAGATGTTTGTTAGTTCACACTGAAGTCAGAATAATTCCAGCTTCCCATCTAAGATGGAAGACAAAAGCACAAATTACAGCCAAATGTGCTATTCATGTTTGTGCTGAGACAGAGCTACGCCACGCAGGGAAATAGTGCTGAACACTGCTATTTGCACTTCACCTGAGAAGGGGAAAACCATTGGTCATTACTTCCCTGCACTATGTTTGAACCAGGGATGGGAGATGAAAGGCTCTACATTACAATCCCCAGAAGGAATGTGCTTTCCACTTATGAAACATCTGAGCACAGGGGCAGAAATAATTTCTATCCATTTAAATTCCAAGAAACAGTAAATGCATTTTACTTCGAAAAACAAAGCAACAGCTCAGGAAAGATCTATGGCTCTGTCTAGCACAACAATTCTTTTTCCAGACCTGGTCCACTCCTGTCAGAATTTTGTTTCAGACTTTCATGTACTTTCTTCCAAATATGATGAATAATAGTTTAGGCACTTCTGTTAGTCATTTTTACTGAACTCCAACTGAAGGCTCTTTTATAGAAAAGGGAATGAGGGAAACATCTTCCTTTGTCCTATGCCATAAGTATATTTCAGATGAATAATATAATAATAATAAGCAGTGATTACGGAAGACAAAGGTCCATGCTCCCAACCTCACCTCCTGAACAAGATGCCACGTGAGGCCGTGATTGGTGGAGTACTCCAGTTTCACCTGGTTGTCCATATGAGGAGTAAACTTCTGGCCACAGCCCATTACCAGGTTGAACTGTATCATATATGAAGCTCCAATCTGCATAGACTGGGTCTCCACGTAGCGCATGCTAGAAGTTAACTTCGAATCTCCTGTAAAACTGAGAGATGTAAGGAAAGAATAAGGATTCATCTTCAAAGTAAGTCAGGAGGGAATATTATGAATGGTTATGTATTAAATAGTGTTACCACTTTCTTTGTTCTGTCGATTAGCATGTGGGATATGACAATGCACAGAAGGATCTTTCTGTTGGTACTTCTGTAAATTACCAGGAAGGCCTTGATGTATCCCAGAGTATGAAACACTGAATTATTCTGTTAGTTCTTACTCTACGCTCTTTGTATGAAGGATCAAGTTAAAATCAACCAAAGGATAACATACAGAGAAAACCCTACAACAAAACCAAAGCTCATTCCCCAGGAGCATTCGTTACCTAAAGTCATGTCGCAGTAACAACTGTAATTTCATTCAAACACTGGACAGTAGAGATACACTGAATTAGGGTAAAATATTCTTATTAACTAGACTTTTCATTTAGTTGATTTTTCAACCGATTCCATTTGCAATGCCTTTACTGACTTTTGACTGCTTCTGATTTAATTTTATTTTCAGCTTCTTGTCTGTGGGATATAAGAGCTGTAACACATTATCCAGTGGACTGGGGATAATTATTAATACTGCTTGAAATACACCAGGCGTCATCTATGATACAAGGTATCCAGTTATCACATTCAAGGTAACACAATATATAGTTTAAAATTATAAGGTAATTTCAAATTAAATGCAGGGTTGCTTTTTTAATTTGTTTTAAATGTATCATTGAAAAGGGAAAAAAAAAAAAATCAAATGCAAGAGATGTAGAAAGAGATGTAAAGAGAAAGTAATAATGGCATAAACTTTGAATCCTGCAGACTATCCTACAAGACAGAATGTTCAGAAGGAATGAGAACAGCCTCCCTTCCTCACTTAGAGATGTTCAAGTAGTATCTTCAGAAGTACTGTAGTCTCTTCAGCTTCAGCATTTTCCAAGCCCTTTCTTAAATGTAAACAGTTTGGGATAGAGATCACATCTTTTAAAGACAACCCCTGCAAAACATTATGCAACAATAAAGGGATACATATTGTGTGGAGAAGATGAAGACAATTACCTAATTAAGGAACACCCTTATGGTTGAGTGAACTACAGTTTAACACCTGAAAAGAGAAACTCCTGAACTATCAATACTGCACAGTAGAACTTACTGGCTTTCACCTCTGTAAGTTTTAAGTTCTTAAAGGTGTCAGTGTAAAGACAGGATTAGAAACCAGTTACACAGCACTTCTTTGAAGTAAATTCACCAACCAACTCTTTTTTCCTATAGACCCCTATCTAGAGAGAACAGTTTAAATTAAAATAAAAATATTGAAATAATTAAAGCTGACTTGCTATTAATTTCTGCAATGCAGTTTGGAACTTCATGGCTGATGTGGGAAATCAAAGTTCTACAAAAGCCAGTACAACAACCACACCCTTTGGGTATCAGTCAGCTGCATGCAGTGTAGTTAGCTGAAAGTTACATATCACAGTGATTTGGATAATGATTTAACATTGCAGTTCTGCAAACAACGCAACTATGTTTAGGTAATGCATAAATAACCTAAAGCTCAACAAACAGAATGAAAAAGTTGAAATAAAACAGTTTGATAAGAAGATTGTTTAGAAGCTGTCTTCCCCAAAGTGATTTAAGTGAAGGAGTAGTACTCAGCCTAGGTAAAAAGAATTAAAGCTTTTAGATTGTCTTTGCCACCACAAAAAACACCCTCAATTCAATAACACTGACATAAAATTAGGCAAAAAAAATCAATAAAAAATGTATCTTTCCTTTTCTAGTGGCAATTCCAATTATGATTAGTACCTTCTTAGTTCAGCAATCATTTTAATGCAATAATTTAGCCACTGGATATTGTACACAGTACATTCAGTGAGCATTACTTTAAAGTCAAAACAGTTCTTGAAAATAAATATTAAATAAATGTGAAAAAGAATGCTAATGAGGAGATGAAGACAATCTCTGATACTCCACACAGAGCTCTTTTCAGGGGAGGAAATCACATTATGTGTTCACAAAGGCCCTTATCATCCACAAATTGCCTCCAGCTGAACAAAGATAGCATTAAAGGTGGGTCCTCCACCTTACTTGCCATTTCTTTGCTCTCCAGCTCTTCTGTGTATGTGGTTGGAGTAGGTTTTTCTGCTGGAATACCAAATGTAGGAGTCATACAGCTGGAATACATTTCTGGATTTTGTACAAGACAGAATAACATCCCTGGCATTGCAGTAATTAGCCGAAAAAGAAAACAAACAAACAAAAAAAGACCCCCACCTTCAGGAATTGAGAATGCAGAGGCTACATTTTTGTATAAATATGTAGTTGTGAGTTGTTTTCTAGCTTGTATATAATTAGACCTGTGGAGGAGCAGGAACACAATACCCATAGGTACCCTCAGAACAATCGCTCTCCCTCCAAGCACTGCCAACTAATTGGTACTTCTGGGAATGATATCACAGCGAATGTCAGCCAGTCTGCACTTCTCCAAACTGCTCTGGGATTCCCAGAGTTCCCACATCTTCACGGCCGGTACTTTCAGGAATACTGAAAAGCCACATGGATGCAGTTGATTTCGTAAAGCTGCACTAACAGAAGACATTGACGTGCCAGCCAAACGCTCATGCTGGCCCCAGCTCTGCTCGCATCAAAGGCAGAAGTTTTTGTCTTTTTATGTCACATCATACCTATTTCATTAGATAATTCCTAAATGTATTAATGCATTTTAATTGAGTTAATTACCTGAAAGAAAAATCCTGCATGTTTCAGAATAGTAATTAAACTAAAAGACAAGCTATCAAGCTGCAGAGACTGTTGTATTGCTCCACAATGGTAGTTTACTTTGACAGTCTTTTCTCCTGACAGCTCAGGGGTAATAGGACACTCTCATCTGTTACATGAAGTTCAATCATAATGTCATAGTCTGACTGAAGACTGTTTGTTTTATTTATATGATGCACTTTCATTTGGGTTAAAACACGGCCTGTGTATGAATATTTTGGAGAGGTGATGAATTATTGTAAGCCATTAATTACTTCATTTTAAGTGTGTTCTTCAGGCTTTCAGAACACACATTACACTTGCAGTTAGAACCAAAGTCAAACCAAATGTTGACAATAAGAATCAAATCAAGTGACTGTTTCAGTTATAATCAATCATTATGAAACAATTAAAAATCACCCTTGCTCAGAACACATACTTATCAACAAATCCCTCTTTCTGAAGGAAACCAGATACTGGAAAGAATAATCTCCCTCTTCAAAACTTTTCCCCAATTTTAAGCATAAATATTTCAGATTTACAGATTCTGAGGCAGAAATGAAGACCTAGCAGAAAATTAAAGGCAATCCAGCAAAAATAGGCCTTGGGATGACACCCCGTAAAATGATTTATAGTGTATTTACCATAGTCCTACTAATGAAAAAGCAGTTGTCAGAGTTCTCAAGAGGATGGTGTCAGTGCTACTGCAAACTCTTCTCATATAGTCAAGAGTTAGAAAATGAGAACCAAATGGACTCACAGCTGGGAAAAGCCAACAATAATTAATTTAACTAGAATCCATTTGTAGTGATTTTGTATAAGTTCAAATATTTCCCTGGAGAGAAACAAGGTCAGTGAAGGATAGAGTTCATGTCTTCCAGTGATAATGAGAAATACTTATACATACGTAGAAAGGGAATATTACATATGCATCATTTCTTTATTTGATGCATGGAAAGTTAAATGTTACCACTTATAACTGAGCACTTCAAATCCTAGTCAATACATGGCATAGAGATTTTAGCTTAGTGTTTATTTTTCTAAGTCTGTTTGAGAGCCAGAGGAGGAAAACAGGAACTTCTGCTGTCTTAAATAACCTGCCATCCAATAATAAACCAGTCTGAGAAAAACAAGGGGAAAACTATGTCATTAAAATGCTTCCATTTCAACTTGTTGATGAAGAAGATGTAAACAGTTTGAGCCCTAACATGTTGTTTCATGTTAATAAGCAGAGTACCTTCCTCGTCCTTATTAAAGTGCTTAATGGTGCTTCTACTGTCTCATTATCACTGCCAGAATGGGTTCTGTGTTGTCACTACTGCTAAACCAACTTCTTCCAGTTTGACAGATGATCAGAAAGTCAAATCAGATTACTCAGAGGTACTTGTTAATAAAATTCCAACGGTGTTTCTCTCAGTGTCCATGGGGATGCTAAAATTATTTATATTATTTATATTTGTTAGAGGATTTCTGTAATTACTGTGATTGAGGTTTCTCCAAATAAATATACCTGTACCAATTAAAACTATACTGGGTTTACATGTTGGTCAGACTAGCAAAAAACTCCTAGTCAAAACACAGAAGTTAAACTGACTTTACCTAGTATTAATTCCTAATGCTACACTAATGTACTCCAGATTATTTTTTTTTTTAAACAGGTTCATGATTTAGTAAAAAATCTTATTTTTAAACAGGTCTTACATAATTTTCTTTTCTATTTTTTTCAGCTTTTTCTCTTTTCTCACTGTTAAAGGAACATACCAATTGCTTTGGGGCAAATGATGTTTTCTTGCTTTTTTATTTCTAAATAAACAGCACATTTTTGGATATCATTGCAATATGCAGAATCATATAATCATTAAGGTTGGAAAAGACCTGTAGGATTATCATGTCCAACTATCCACCTACACCAACGTAGCCCATTAAACCATGTTCCTTAGTACCACATCTCCATGCTTCTTTAACTCCTCCAGGGTGACTCCACCACCTCCCTGGGCAGCCTGTGCCAATGCCTCATCACTCTTTCCAGGAAAAAATTTTTCCTAATATCCAACCTGAACCTCCTCTAGCACAACTTGAAAACATTCCCCCTTGTCCTACTGCTGTTAATGGGGAGAAGAGGCTGACTCCCACCTCACCACAACCTCCTTTCAGGCAGCTGTAGTGGGCAATAAGGTTTCTTGAGCCTCTTCTTTTCCGTAATGAACAACCCCAGTTTCCTCAGCCATTTCCCATCAGACCTGTGCTCCAGCCCCCTCACCAGCTATGTTGCCCTTTTCTGAACACATTCCAGGGCCTTGATGTTTTTCTTGTGGTAATATGTGATAATAATAATAAATTATAATAATTAATATATATATATAAATAATTAAATAATAATAATAAAATGATTCACAAGTAACAATCATTTAGTTCTTAGTAGGACAAACAGATAAAGAAAAAATTAGAACAGAATTAGCTCTCACCAAAGAGTCCAGTCATGGCCACAGTAAGGCTGAACGTTTCCCAGGTAGAATCCCAGAGACTGTGTGACCTCAACTAGGTTGGTGAAGTCCAGGCTAATGCTATTGAAAAGCACAGAGGTCATAACAATTTCATCGATTGCCCACACATCTTCACCCTGAGAAGAGTGATACGGTTGCCACCATCTGAACTGAATGCCAATCTGTCTTGCATCTTCTGGCAGCTCCACTGAAATTATTCTGAAAAATAAAACAAAATCATTGTTGAAAGTCTCGCTATTGGCAATAACTCCGTGGGGTTGTATTTTTTTGGTTATTTATTAATAACCCTAAATGTCATAGGTTAAATGAAGTCCATAAATACCTTACTTTCTACTGGTATAGTCACAGGGACAGGGGGATCATTAGTTCTCTTAGTAGGCAATGATGATAGTGAGCCATGTGAAAAAGCCACAGAAGAAAATTTATAAAAATGATGTAAATTTTGCTTCTACAGCAGAACTCTGTTCAATCTTTAAAGCTGATTTTCCTTGCTGGTAGAAACCCAGCTGCAGGTCAGGGGCTTAGACTGACAAAGGAATGATCATCTAACCAAGATTTATAAATTCTGCCTCTACTCTCTCAGACACAGTAGATTTTATCTTGATCTGAGGAAATGCATCTTTACATATGTGCTTGTTTCTGCACAGCACTGATGTCATGCCTGTGTTTTTCTTGCCTTAGAAGAACCCATCTCTATAAATTGTCACTTTTAAGTGGAAAAGTTTCATCTTGTTGGCAGTGTGATCTTGTGTAGCTTTTAAGGCACACGCATTTCATGTGTGGTTAAGATATTGGATGTGAGGGACAGGCTCTCCTGGTATGCAAGGCCACCCAATTTGTCATGGCACCTATGTCAACAAACCTATAATTGACAAACTGCAAAGAAAACTAAGAATAGTATCTGATTTCCAGGAGCAATTATCATACACAGCAGCAGGGAGCATACATTAATTGCTACAGCAATGACACTTTCTTGAAAGCTCCATAAATCACCAGGGCCAGACTGCCCCATGCAATGCACGTGAGCTGTAAAACACAAGAGCAAGAGGGACATTTGTCTCCATCACTGTACAATTACATGCTAGCAAAAGGAGTATTGGCAAACTCATCATGTAGCTGATATTTTTCCTTCTCTTTTAGAGGAAATGTGAGTAAAATGACTGATCAGGTAAGCTGGAAAAATCATTTTATTCTTTAAAACCAAGGGTTTTTTTTTCCAGATTTAGGGCATCCTAAGCTGCTTGTTGTAATGCAATGTTCTGTACCTATGAAAGTCTTGTCTCTTCAGCACTCTTAGTGCAAAATCACACTCTTAAAATGGCTTCCTAAAATGGCCTTCTAAAGAGTAAAAGTATGGTACTCCTGTGTAACGTCACATTGATTTTAAATAGAAATATGTTAAGCAATTAGTAAGAAAAATTAAATGGCTTGGTTAATCAAGTGGGAAGGGCTCAAGAAGTCCTGACTGGCACTTCTAGGAGCTGCTTCCTGCTGTCCATAGGCTGAAGTGCCAAGGGACAACCAGAGAAGATGCTGCCATGCCTCCATGGCAATGAACCAGCAGGGCACAAGCTTAGTGAGTGGCAGATGAGTTTATTTTGCCACTCAAATAAACAGATGCTTGAACTATTTCATGCCATTCTAAGAGAAAGACTAAATCCTAATTCTCTCCAGTATGTGAACAATCCACAAGGCTAACCTTTTTTTCTGTCAAGAATTCCATAATAAGCAGCAACTCTACAACTTCGTGGCCAATTTTTAAAGGCACCATTGACTGTAAGTTGCTACCGATACTGAAAGGAGCTGGTGGTTTTGCCTTTCATTGGCCAGTAGGGCAAATCTGAGGAAACTGGCACCCTGGCAAGAACACTGCATCCAACATGTGCCAGGAGGCAGCTGGCACTCACATGAGCTAACGCTCTCTTATAACCTTGAACACATTTCTGTATCTGTGGCTGTCACTGATGCTTGCAACTTTCTTTTCACTCTTAAGCTCTCATAAACTCTCCCATGTGGACACTAATTCTTACTGACAGTAATTTACAGAAAATCCTAAATGGACATACACCACTGATATACCCATTGGACTTTAAAATATTTAACGCATGTTAAAACAATTTTCTCATCCCAGGGGATTAAAGGAACAATTTAAAAACACTGGTACAAACCACCATATTTGGTACATATGTTAGTATGCAGAACCTGACTGCATCTCCAGTTATAACAGCTTCTCCTGTCTGACTTTGATTTGTTGGAGACAGATGGAGAGGGAGGGGGATCCTTGCTAATGACTATTCTGCTGCAGAGAAGAAAAGTGTTCTTACTAACATTACCAGCTACCATTAGATTTCCTAAAAACCAGCTGGGAGACCTTTGCTCTGATCTTATTCTTTCAAGCTATGCGCATACCTAATATTGAAAAGCCACCGCTGTTCTACTGAGAAGAAAAATGCAGCTGTCAAATGTTAGCAGATTAAATGCACCTTTTCAGCAGAACATTAAATGTGTAATTATTTTTTGTGTGACTGAAGATTAATTAAATTTCTGGATACAGATTGATTGCCAAACTTCGTAGCAGTTCATTTATGTTACCAAAAATGCTGATATTTTTAGACAACATAATACAAAATGGTGAAGTGTTCTTCATATTCTTCATCATAATTATTGCCAGCGTTACCTTTGCATTTGTATGTCTGCCATTTTTCTGTATATCCCATAGCAAAACCTTTCTAATCTGCATATGTTGTGCTTAGCTCTCTGCCTTGTGAGAACAACATAAATTCTTTCACACTTAACAGCAAAGAGGAAAAGAAGTGCCTTGCACTAGTAGAATTTACTACACTGATATCTTAAACACCATTAAAATCAGTCACTAGAATGTGTATTTTCCTTTTTGTTATAAAAAATTAATAGCGCTATATATTAAAAACCTTTAGGGAAATAAAGGTCTTACAGTTATAATCTTCAAACTACAGATTAGAAACAGGGCCATATAAAATATATATGTGATGACAATAAAAGATGGGGAAAAGATATCTTGAAGGTTTATGAGTGTTTCATATGATCTTTCCTTCAGAAACACTTAAAACTTCAGAAAATAAAGCCTACACATACTACAGTTTTACCAAACACAGTCATTCTTCTCAGATTTTTGAGTACTTCTTATTGATCCTGAGAAATGTATGTAACATTAGAAGGTTGATTTTTTTGTTTGGTTTTTCCATTACAATATTCTTAAAAAATATTTTGTAATAGATTTATTAACAAAGCGAAGATAGCTCACGCATGGTACAAAGCTATCTTCGGGCAGAAGCAGAGTGGTGGGGAGAGCCCTGTGATGCCATTCTTGGTTCTGCCTTTTGTTTGCCCACTCACAGAGCATCTTCCTTCATTGATATGTATTGGCTTTACTGCTGAGGGTGGCTGCTTCCAGATTAGGGCAGGTTTGAGCAGAGCCAGTCTGGGCAGTTCTGGTCATGTAATACAGTTATGCTTATAGAAACTCCTAATTTTGCATGTGCTTTGTGAAACCTTTTGCAATGTCTCACAAATGTAACAGTAGAGAAAATATTCTTCTCTCTATTTTCCATACATTTCCCTCTAATCTGGTGCCATGTACGGGTGCTGCTAGATGAGCTGAACCCTTTGTTTGGCTTCTTTATGATTTGCACAATACCCAGGAACAGCCACCATCAGCTCCTCCCAGAGCCCTGTGCCCAACCCCCAGCACAGGCTCTGTCATACAATTTCTTTCCTAAACAGAGCAGGAGCAACTTCCCTGCTGACCCAGAGAGACCCTCATGACTGGATTTCATCTCAGCTGTCCTATGATGCCTGTAAACTCCTAATCCCAGAGGATGACATAGTGAAGGTATCTATGGCTTCAAAGCTACAAATAATTTATGTTAATTTTACTTTACAAGTGGATGCTTTCATGGGATGAGACACATCCCTATTTCCCACAAGTAAATTTCTTCCCCCTCATCCCTCACTGCTTGTTCTGCCACGTCACCTGAGACTTGGCTGCTGCCAAATCCATGCATTCAATTTTTGTAGAATCAGACAAAAATCAGTAGTGCTCAGAACAGTGGCACATACTTAGGCAAAATAGTAACTTCCAGTATGCAATAAAAGATTGTCACTCCACTCCTGCACCATGTGCCCACGTTGGGGCAGATGTCTTCACTCAGCACTGCAGCAACTACCTTGACCAGCATTAACTGCATGCAGATAACACCCTTCATCACATTCATACGTATACCTTGGCTCATGGTAGTTCAGATATGAGTAGTGTTCCAGGAGTTTCCATGTAATGCCATTGTCATAGGAGTAGTGCAGCAGCACTCCTTCCCCAGGCTGGTCAGGAGCTTTGCAGGTGCTCAGCACAGACTTGCTTCCCAGGCGTAATGTGAACTGCAGGAACCTGCAGCAGAATTACACATGTATTTGAGGATAACATTTACATGGTGCTTTTCTTTTTTGGTTGTTGTTCCTAACTAGCTCATTTATGATCGTTCTCAATTTAGACAAATTTTGATAAATATCATTTATGCGCCTTTGTGAGTGGATTTTGTTTTTACTATCAAGTAATGCAGTGTGGCACATACATTCTAAAAATGCCAATCAGTAAAGCGTTTAATTATTTATTAGGCACTGAAGAAGAAGGAGAGATAGTGAATGGATCTAATCAGCTGCCACAAGCTGTCAAATAAACACATCCTTATAAATAATTAATTAGCACTTGGCTTTGACACTCAAGTTTGATATTAACATTTAATATTTTCCAGCCTCACTGTACAATAACTTCCCTCCAGTCTATTTTGGGCTCTGTTTTTACAAAGCAGGGAATGAAGATAGGCTGTACAGCTATGAACTCAGAATTAAACTATGGCACTGCGAGTGTTTTAAAAAACTTTTCCTCCTGCTAAATGATCACCTTAATAATACACAAGGCTATTTCTGAAAGGGGGGGAGTTCCTGTCACAGCACAATTCCCCTATTTCCATACCTCACACTGCTGCCCTTTTGCTCTCACCTGGACTGGGAACTGTCAAGGAAGGCAGTGATGAGCTGCCGTCTTCCATCCTTGTTGAACACCAGGGCCTTGCCACTGGCCAGAACCCCACAGCCAAAGCTGACCTCGGCTCCACGGATGGAGTAGAAGTTGTGGTAGGAAGAGAGGCGGGAGCTGGCAAAGCTCTCTGAGATGAACATTGGGAAGGTCTGCGACGCTGTCTCACATGCAGGCCCTGAAAAGCCAGGGTCACATCTGGGGGTGAAGGAGATCCAATGGTGTAGTTAATGCCTTCTTCTTGGACCCATCTTCTCTTAGAGTTGGTTAGCGGCCCGGTACGTGCTTGAAATCTCTCAATAACAGATGATACCATACCTACAAAGTCCCTCTCAAATCTGAGGACCAAGAGCCTCTCTAGACCTTATTTTGTGAGCCAACACCATTCTTCTAACTAGCACTGATATTTTTATTTAAAAAAACAAAGCTTTGAACACCAACCACTCAAAATCTACATATAATTTGCAATATACAAATGTTTCTATTCATTTTTAGACCAAAAATACTCCAGGCATAATTTACAATTGTTCACATGTCAAATGATTTTATCTGTAGCATGTCAGATGTGATTACCAGCTGCTGTGCAACATAACAGAAGGCCCTGTGGGTCACACTCTCTGCAACACCTAAAAATAGTGACATCATAATTTGGAAAACATTTCTTGATTTTACTTTTCAGCTGAAACAGTTTTAAAAAAGCCATACTTCTGGGAAAAAACAACGGAGTGCTGACTTTCTGTCCTTGAGGTTTGTTTGGCTATACGATACTACATAGATTCTTCTCTGAAATTTAATATAGAAACGATACAGCCCCAAATCACCTCTACAAAACTGACATTTCAATGGGCTCTGTAGCACATTTTAAGGTGAAGTGGAACTTAGATTCTTTCCCAAAAGAAAATTATAAAAAAAAATTATTAAATATGCTGCTGTTTAGAAAGATTGATCTGTAGCACTCAAGTGACTTTAATATGTTCTGTGAGGTATCTTATTTTATACTCAGTCATCTCAAAAAGTAAGAGCTTAGATGGAAAGCAACTTTCAGATCTTCAAGTGAACTATGTGACAAAAATTGAACACAAGTATTGAATTATAACTCTTACTTGCAGCCATTTCTAGTGCACTGTCCTCGGCCTGAGCAGAATTTGAGGCAAGATGGACCAATATAAACTGCAGAGAAAAGAAATAAGTCAAATGAAGGGTTATGTTATGTGATAAATTGAATGTAATGAATACAACAAAGTATTGTCATATAGGTATTGCATTTATCTGAATCTCACTAACTGAAAGAGGTCTACAAAAGAACAAAGTGCATTTAATTGTACCTTTCTGTAGAACCAAGTAATGGGTAAAGTCTGCCTGTGGCTTGAGGCCCTAGTGATCTAAATCAAGTACCTGATTTTTCTAGGATTGTTGAAACATATGATGAGCTGCTATGCATTGACCATTTTCTTCCTTCCTTTGTCTTTATTTTAGACACATAGTCCAGCGTATGTATTAGTATATTCCACTAGTATGCTCATCAATTTTTTTAAATGTGCTACTGCTTCTTTCAGTGAAACTAACTCATTTAACTCATTGCATTTATTGGAATTAGAATCTGCCCTGATGTGTCTTAAGTAACAAGGAAATATCATGCACAAATGCAATACAATTCCAAATAATATGCACTCAGAAATATTTCAGATTTGTTTTTTATTTCATCTTCCCCCAGTGACTCCTAATCAACAGTATTGATATCTTCTGGATCACATGAGGGATGGAAAGATTTGCAAATCTCAGTATAATCTGCATCTCATTACAAAGAAATGCATTAATCTGAGTATAGCCCAAAACAAGAACTTAGCATAAATGTTCTTTCAACAGAACGTGATAAACAAGCCTTAGACTAGTGTTACCCTTCCTGCTGAATAATGAGCACTGGAGTTACCTACTTGCACTGTGACTTTTGGAACATCACCCAAATAACGACCAATTTGAAATAATCTTTAACAAATAATATTTATTCCACTGCCCAGAGATTTTGTGGATGCCCCATCCCTGGACGTTCAAGGCCAGGTTGGATGGGGCTCTGGGCAGCCTGGTCTAGTATTAAATATGGAGGTTGGTGGCCCTGCCTGCAGGTTGCAGCTTAATGATCCTTGAGGTCTCTTCCAATCCAAGCCATTCTATGATTCTATGATAGTAATGTGTCAGTACACCTTGGCAGACACTCTGTAAATCCCCTTTAGTCATTCCTTGTAACTCACTCCCTATCGGACTTCATTCAATTTCTAGATTTTCTCACTTTTCAGTGTGCAAAAATTCTGCTCTGTTTGATTTATTTGTCTCCTTTGAGGGGGTGGTAAAAGTAGAAGAGTTAAAGATGTAATTATGTCTTTTACTATAAAAAAACTTTACAAAAACTGGCAGTTTTCCAGAGTTTCTAAAAGATGGCCAGCTTCCAGATTGCATTTAAAACTTAATTCACAGAAGAAACAGTTGTGAAGCTAAAAGTCAGAGTGCAGAATCCTTGACATTTTTAGTCTCTCTTCAAGAATTTCAGTGGCTTGCCAATATTTATAAAGTCTTTTTCTACCATGCATTCTAAAGCTTCAGTTACACCAGTATCTACCAAAAGAGGAATGCAAAACCTCAGGAAGGCGTTCATCATTAACACTTCATTCCCTTAAAGTAGTTCTACGTCTCAATCAAAATCAGCAAGCACACTGTAGGCAGATGGTTAGTAAAAAGGCCTCTGTGATGCTGCACAGTTGAGCATGCAGCACTTTGCCAGAGCTCTTACTATTTGGTTTTATAAGCAGAGGTAGTGCAGATATATGAATTGTACACTAATATTCAAAATCTTGTTTGGTTCCGTTGCAAAGAATTGAAATTCTTGGATTTTATCTTGCTGTTGTTTCAGTAACTTTTGTAAATTTCTCCACCAGTTATATTCTACATTTTGTTAGGTAGCAACTCAACTCTGCAGATGGTCAGACACTTTCTTACATATACATATAAATACTTTCCCCTTCTTTTTTATTTTCGTCTTGATGCAAATCATCTTGTCTAAAGCATTAATACTTCAACCAAAATGGCAAGACAGTGCCACACGCCATCAATGTGATTAAGAGAGTCATTACTTTTGGTGAAAAATTTTCATTTGTGGCATTGCACTCTTCAGGCAGCTTCAAGCATTTTCTTATCAAAACTAGGCATTAATCTATTTTAAGAATTTTGCAAAATGTAATGATATTTACTATTGCCAGGCTCTGTATCAAATTAGGAATCACTACAAAATTTCACAAGCCTCCTGTGCATCACTGGAAATCTTTATTACATACTTAACTATGTAATACTTCATATATCTAACAAAATAAATTCTGAATGTTGTTTACATAGTCCCAAAACATTTGAGGCTAAGGAGCAAGCTAAAAACTTTGCACCTGCTCACACTTAGTCCTTTCCTTCTTACTTATTTCTATTTTTAATACAATTTATGTATTTTATCATGTGTTCCTATTTATCTGTGCTTTAATTTTTTCCTATATTATCCTCTACAGTAAGTTTTATAATTATATGAATAACTATAAGCTCCTCTCAGTTCTTTACACCCATTTAAAAAAGAGGTAGGGGAAAAATCATTTCCTAAAGAAGACATAATCCCTGTAACAGATGGCCCTTCCCCCTTAAGACATTGTAAGCAATGTAAGTTTTGTCAATACTCTGGTAGCAGCACTGCTTTATGAAGGTCTTCTATATCCAGAAGGAAAAAATATGTCTCTTATGCTGTAACTGCTACTTAGGCTAGCACAGTATGTGTCCTTAATAGTACAGTGTAGTACCTATGTATGTCATTTGGACTAAATATTAAGTGCTTGCCACCAAAACATTTTCCTGGAAAGCATTCAATTAAAATAATAATAATAATAAAGAATAATAAAGAATAATAAAGAATAATCTACTGGTCTATTGTCTTTTCAAAAGACAGAATTTCCCTCTGGCTTTAAATGCACTTGTTACTGAGTGAACATGAGAAGAAAACAAATTTAACAAACTGAGAATCGTGACCTCTGATTCTGGAAAATATTTTCTTGGAGCAGCATATAAAAATGCATTCTTCTGTTGTAGAATTATTGTGGATAAGAATACTGACTGTTATCGATTGCCCACATATTTCCGTGGATCGGCCCTGTTTGCCTCCAGCGAATCCTGGTGTCACTTGTTAGTGCTGCATTGGGAAGAGGAGTAGTTATTCGGTTCCACCTGAAATACACAGGACACAAATTCTGATGTTTTACGCCGCTAGTTATTAAGTGATTGAATGTGTTTGCTTGCACTGCAAAAGCTTGGTGAGAATTTTTAATTCTAAAATCTGCTCAATGAATCAAGTAAGTTACTGCAGCTTTAGAAAGTATAAATGAAAATACAACAGAGCATGGCCTGCAATATTTTCACACAATATATGAATGTTAATTACTAGATTATAAAGCCCAGCAGTTTTCTTCCCCCTTTATGAATATCTGAAGTCAGTAAGGATCTTCACCTATATCACTATAGCAACTTCTCCATCCCAGTGAGTATCAACTAAATTGCATACTGAATTCAACCTTTCAGTGCAGCTGAATTCTGTTGGGTGGAAACCCCTGGGAATGGAAAGCGGGGCACGGAGGATGTGGCCGACTGTCCAGCTGGGCCTTGTTTCTCATGCCATCCACAGGGTCTGCACCTATTGCGCACACCATGGCTAACAGTTGCTATGAAGGTGATACAGAAATGAGGTCACCACATCATGCTGTACTTCAGCTACATTTTCTTCTTACAGTCACGCCCATGGCTCTGAAGTTTTATGGAAGTTGGGAAGCCATAGGATGACAAGATGACACAGTTTCATTTCACAGTCAGAGCAGTACTGAAGATACTTCATCTGCTGAAGCACAGAGGATGCACTTCATTGTAACCCAACATCAGCATTCCAGGTGAGAAAATGTGTCTGAGGATGTAAATATGGTTTTGACTGATGGTTCCTCTGACCAAAAAGAAAACTTCTGCAGCTTTGACGGAGTATAACTTTTCTTTTAATTACCAGCATGCAGTCTTCCTCCCCCCCTTCCCCTTTTCTTTTTGTAATTTATCCATAGCATCAGGAAAAAAATATATTATTCAACAGAAGCAGTCTCATATTTTTCAAATTTCATTACTGGGCAGCCAGGAAGACCAGAACACTCCTCCCTTGCTGTGCTCAGCTGGTCAAAAATGAAAGATGATACAGGGTTGTGCGCTCTCCTTCTCCCTCCTGTCACCCATAATTCACTTCCTTCTCTAATCCTGCATCTCAGTTAGGATTGCAGAGAACACTCTCACCCGCTGTAGTTTTCAGAGGCGTAGACGGTGCTGTGGGGCAGATGGGGCCCAGCACATATCTCAGGCAGACACTCGGTGTGGAGCAGGGACCAGGAGCGGCCATGGTTGGTTGAAAATTCCAAGCTGACGCTGGTAACACAGTGAAGGAAAGAAAGAAGAAAGGCACTATGAGCATACTTGGCAAAGGCTGGCAAGCAGAAATACCACTACAGAGAAACCCCTCAATCTGAAATAATATTGAGTAGATCTTCACTATGAAAAATCCTGAAAATACGAACACAAAACAAATCTGACTTTAAAAAACAGACAACGGAGGACTCTCCTAGCCCTTACTCCTTGATTGGACACCATCTAGACAGTGTTTTTATGCATTTTTTAAGGTTGTTCTTATATCTCATCTAGAATCATACTGAGTGTGGTTTCAAAAATAATGAGAAAACTTGGATAGAAATATGTGAGCACAGAAGTCTGATAATTGCCAGCTACTAATGGTGTTAAAATCAGTAGTAACTCATACTTTGGTTGTCTCTTCCCCTAGCTCCATTGGATTCCTCCATGGATAAATGGATATCAGAATATCCAGATAAATGGATATCATGGATTTCCATGGATAAATGGAGATCAGAAGAGAACTATGGAACAGTGAGAACGGTCAGGTTTGGCACAGAACTGCAAGGGTGGAGGGAACCTGGGAAAGACCTCCTCCAAAAAAGCCCCAAGGGAGGCAGAGGCCCAGGAGATGCAGGAGCCTGCACACTGCTCAGCCACAATGGTCTTTGGAGGCTTTCTCTACATCACAGAGCCTGGAGCATTCAGCGGTAAGTTTTATGAGTCATAGGGTCGTAATTGTATGAGAAAACTCCATATCTTCCAGAAAAACCTGCTCTTCTCTGCTCTCCTAGACTAGCAGTAAACCCAAACATCTCGGTGCAGATAATGACACTAGAGAAGCAGAAAATCCATAAGAGCATCCACTGAGTCTATGACAAAAGGTTATAAAATCCACACTTCTAGAAGTTCAGAAAATCATTTTTTAGAAAGCCATTACTAAAATTCTCCGTTCCCTTTTCCCTGCATATTTAGCAAAATAGTGTTTAGAACCTGGAGTATTAGCAAATGTTTAAATATCTTACATTCTGAAGCTCTTGAAAAAGTAATGTAAGAAATGCTGGTTTTATTAAGGACTTAGTATTCTACTAAGATACTCTTGCAATTTCAACCACATAATTAGCTTGTAATATTCTGTTTTATTTTAAGTAATATCAATGGAACATTATAAAAGTCATAATTCATAAATTCAGTACTAAATTATAACTTGTCCTTTTCATTACAATTTGCTGATAATATTACTTCATTAAAGTACACCATCACTGTGATATTTTAAGTGTGTATTGAAATATTTTACGGAGTTTTTGATTAATTCATTTAAGATTTAACCATACTGATACCTTGGAGGGTTATATTTACTGAATATCTACAGAACAATTCTCTCACCTTTGCAGTAATGAAGGCATTACAAATGCTTTAGACCAGAAGGTAGGAAACGCTGCTGTATTTGGGAAATACAAATAGTGGTTACGGAAACCTAGTGGTTCTTTTGTTACGAAGAAACTAATATTTCTTAATATATACTAATCCACATTTGATAACAGAATATTTAAGATGGAGACATTGTATACAGTATGCTTAAAGCTAGGAGCGTTTGCAGTCAAAGTTTTCGCATTCTATGTTCCTGTCTTCCCTTCCTATCACAAATAAGTGTGATGCCTTCAGTTTTGCTGCCTCTTGAATTCTGCTGCCCTGCATGGCTGCTAGGACTGAAAATAAATAATGCAGCTCTTTCCAGATGGAAGAAGATGCCATGGGGCATGGATGTGGAAGCATATGTAGACATCTACTTTAAATTCTTGGCTCTTACTCTGAAAAATATATGAAGCAACTTAAACCTCATAAAATATCAGGATAAAGAGTCTCATATGTATATAGGGCTAAGGTGATGGTGACTGTGAAGGAAATTCTATTAATTGAGATCCCAACACAGAATTATAGAATCCTAGAATGGCTTGGGGTGCAAAGGGACCTTAAAGATCATTCAGTTCCGATTCACCTTGCCAGAATTGCCTCCCACCAACTCAGGCTGCCCAGGGCCCCATTCAGTCTCCAGTAATAGAGCATCCACAGTTTCTCTGCACAGAGAATCAATAATGATGGCAGGCAAAATAGCAAGAACATCATCCATAAAGATATGGCTCCAGAGTATTGGACTGGACATTAGGGAAAGCTTTTTGTTCATACATGTCTCCCAGAGAAGTTAGGTGATGTCCATCCATGGAAGTTTTCAAGTCATGGATAGGCAATGCCTTGTCTTACCTGACCTATACTATCAGTAATCTCATTAGGTTTCACTAAATCATCTGAGAAAGTCACTTTCCACAAACATTTCTATGATTTTATAAAACAAAAAGAAGCAAATGACTTCATTCTTTCTCTTTCACTTCCCCTTAACTTCATTGAATGTCTCAAGGAAGTGAAGCTAACAAAAGAATTTTGTGGTCAGGCTGCAAGCAGTGAGGTTCTCACACTGGTGGCATTCAAAGACGAGTGCTATTTATCACCACTCTTACAAGAATTATTTATGCTTGTGGCATGAATAATATTTTGGAGGTCGGTAGGCTGCTGTCTTTAACACCTTCCACTTTAGTTAAGAAATGAATCCAATAGCCATTAGAAACTGGAGTAAACATCATTTTGAAATCATAGGCATATTTCAGAATAATGGACTACAGAAAGTATACTTTGACCTGGGGGGCTATTTAATAGACTCTTTATTGCATGGGAGATATATCAGCCTGGGCCTGTGGAAATCAGGAGAAACATTCACTTTTGAGCAGCCTATACTTGTCATTAGTTGGCTTCATTCTTTCTGAGAAAAAAAAAGCAAATCCCCACAAATACACAAGTGGATTCTGTAAAAAAAAAAAAAAGCACCAGAATACTGATAATTGAAAGAGAAATCTTGCTTGTTGTACCTGTTACCGGGTTGAAATGTTCCACAACCCAAATTGATGGAAAACTGGATCATGTGAGTCACTGTGGAAGGGAGCACTGGAAGGACATGGAAGTAATCCACAGCCCAGACATTCCTGTTGTGGCCTTGGTGACTCTTCTGTTTCAAGCAAAACTTGGTTGCAGGAGTCTGCAGGTCCGGACTAATGACAACAGAAACCAAAGATGGAACCTTTAAAAGAAATTAAATCAGGCTTAAATAAAAGAAGTAATATGAAAAAGGCTTACATGGAAAAGTCCTTTTTAAATAGAGAAGTGGATTCAAATACGCTGAATGAAACATGCCCATTTCTCTCCTTGTTTGTTAACTTTTCTTCATCTTGCAGTCTCTCAGCTCACAGAACAAATGCAGTGTAACGTGAGAAAAAAGTAACCGTGTGAGTTCACGACATGTGTGGGGAGGATGTAATGCTAAAATAAATGAAAGCACTGCTTTATGAAGCCCAGCCTTTGTCTGAAAGGAATGCAATTAGACCTTTATTATGTTAAAGGAGGATGTCAGCTTTAAGACTGCTTGCTTTAAAAAAAGGTTCACAATGAATTCAGCGTAATTTCAGATCCTGTCTCTCCCTGAATTCTCCAATTAATGTTTTATTATTTTAAAATTATGGTTTCCTTAGTTTTGAAAAAGTCCTACCCTGTGTTTCACACAGAGCCAGGAGAGGAGGGAAACTATGTACAATGAAACAATGCAAATGACTCAACCAAACAAAGGTCAAACCCTGCTGTAACTATAAACATCACTTTTCTAAATGATACAGTTACAGTGAAAATGCACATGGATCTGTGGCTAAAATCAGCTGCATATGTACCACCAAATTTCCTCCACAATATATAAAGACATTGCATTTGAAACTGTAATACATCCACATGAGTATGCATTACATGTGCATTTGTACACTGATTTTTGCTCTGTCTCAAAAGGGCACACTACTGTATTTAAAGTGGAAAGAAAATGTATAAAACATGTCATTTTCTGTGCCAGGTGCAGGAAAGGCAAGCAGGCATTCCTGAATAACTTTCCTCCCAGCCACTGAGCCCACCAGGACTGACCCACTCAGGACAAAGCTCCTGCACATCGGACTGTGGCTGGCAGGACCTTGAACAGAGAGAAGAGAAATTATTGGCGAGGGGAAGTAATCAGCACAGTTCTCAGCTGATGACTGAGTGTTGTTGCCTGTTGCCCATTTGCTTGTTATCCTAGCTCTAGCCAACATGCAGCACTGCTCAGCAACAACCAAAGATCTGTGTTGCAAAGGCATCCTTTCACCGCAAGAGCTGTGTATGAATAATATGATGGGGAAAGTCATATTTGCCCATGTGGAATTCAACATACAACACCAGTGATATGGCTTAAAAACAGATCACAGAATCACAGGCTTTGGAAGGGATCTCAAGAGATCACTGTGTTCAACCTCCCTGCTAATGCAGGTTCCCTACAATAGATCGCACAGGTAGGCATCCAGATGGGTGTTGATTATCTCCATAGAAGGAGGCTCCACAACCTCTTTGGACAACCTGTTCCAGTGCTCCATCACCTTTATCGTAAAGAATTTCTTCTGTATGTTTCTACAGAACCTCCTATGTTCAAGTTTTAGGCCATTACTCCTCATCCCATCACTGCACACCTCTGAGATTGATTTATCCATCCTATCCATCTACTTTGTTTAAGGTGATTTACCTTGTAAGCAGCGTAGGTCAGAGCATCAAGAACTATGTGTTCCCTCCTGCCTTCAATCTTGGCATAAAAGATGACATCATTTTCATGGGATTCTCCAGAATCACAGGTGCCCCCTATACAAACACACATTTAAGGGAGAAAAAAATTAACCTAGGTCCTTGTTATTGGAAAGTGGGATTGTATTACACAGACAAACTTACTAAAATAACTACTATCAGATGTTGTTTAACTCAAGAAACAGAACAAGACAAGGCCTAAGGACATATTGTATAAGAGCTACTTGATCTGATACACCATGTCAGAGATCAAGGGAGTTGACAATTATGAAAACCTCAAGCAGCTCTCCTAATCTGCTTATCAAAGCAATTTAAATAGAAAATGCTATGGCTAGAACAATATTTTTATCAGTATTTTTCAAATCCTGTTTATGTAGAATATGTTCTGCTTTCTGAGTTCTTGCCTGTTTGAAGGAGATCAGCAAACTGCTACTTAGTACTCACACCATGCATCCACACACAATATATGAGGGCCTCAAACAATTCTCATCTGATAGTTTGGCAGCTGAGAATTTGCTCTCAGTAGGAAAGGGGAGAGACTGCTGCAAATCTTACTCATTGTGCTGCTTCTTCTATTGTCTATACCATATCCTAAATAGAATGAATTGAATCTATTATGTGTGATACAAAGAATGTGCGTGATATGGTAATCTCACTGGAATGAGGCAGGATTTCATGTAGTTTCATTTGGTAGAATCTAAAAACACTTAATAACCTTCTCTGGAAGAGCAGATACACTGGCAAGTTTGTGCAATGAGTATGACATAATAGTTACAAAATGGACATCACCAAACTAGTCAGGTGTTCTGGAAAATATTTTTAAAAGAGAATATCTGTAACTGAAACAGGAAGCCTGTCATTTTCCTGTGCACCATGGGTATCACAGGTATTGAAAAAAAAAAGCAGCAAAAAACAGGATGAGGAAGTTTCCTTGAACTATCCATAAAGTAGGAAGGTTGTATAAACAAACTACTTTCTCTACGTCTTTTCACTAAAGATGCCCAGTTCCTGGAATGGGATAGGCAAAGCAATCTAGAATCTAGATAATCTAGATAAGATGTGCATTCTTTTATGCTTATTATACTGCAGTAAGAAATATCCACGTGTTCATTCAAATTCTCTGCTTGCTGGAGTGTTTAAACTGTGATCTACTTAACGTACGAATACAACAAAATTTCATTTTCTAATGAAAACACACTATTCTCTGTGCCTGTACGTGCTGACAACTTCTCTAGGTTCAGAAGGTTGAGCAAATTTCTTTCCTGTTTCTCTTGCAGGTGTTGTAATGCTTGGGAGAACTGGCAAATAGTATTCTTTTCTTCCTGTGTGTTATTGGTAATTCACGTAACACAGAGGAGATGTGGAACCATTCAGAGCCATAACATGAGGCCTTCCACTCATTAAATACAGGTTGTTATTTCTTGTTGTTTCAGAAGGTAGCTTCTGGAGGTCATAAGTTTAGTATCTGCTTCCTCCTTTATTATTTTATTATTCTCTACCTTTAAACAAAAATCCTCACCTACTCTAAACATGGTGTTGAGAGAATAACATAATGCAATTTCCTTTATGTGCAAAATAAACGTTGTGGAAAAACACTGTAAGGTACTGAACGATAGCCACAATGTCCATAGTAATTCTGGTCAGTTACAACACCAAACTAATGCAGTTGTACTGATGACAGCAGTGGGAAGAAGGAATGATAGCACAAGTTTGCTCCTAGATGCTTTTTTAGCCCAAGTAAATCACTGAAGTTGCACTTCATTCTAAAAGGAAGGTCCAGAGAAGATGCTAGCACCACATCAGTTCTTTCCACAAGGGATGACGCCTTTTCCAAGGCTATAATGGTCAGTGGTGTGTTTTGTGCACAAGAGATGAATCTCAGCCTGGGTAAATAAATCAGAACAAAATGCTTTTGAATACAGTAATAAACTAAGGGCTTTTGAGTGGAAGGTGCTCTAGCAGGTTGTGGCTGTCCAAGTCTCCAGTTAAATCTGCCAGCACTACGTTGACTTCTCAGGTTCTCTTGGACACCTCCAGTAGCAACAACAATCTGTGTTTGCATTGTGAGCCCTACTTGAGGACTGAAAAAGCGTAAGCCCACAACTATGTGTGCAGCAAGTGTGTAAGCTTCCTTTTATATAAAGGGATATCCAACCCATGCAGTCAGTGGAGTCCAGAGAATAGCTCAGCTCGTCTAGCACAAGTGTCTCACGTTGAACCAAATGCATTTTTTCAGTAACTTTACTGATTACATTTCTAATTACAGAGGAAAACTAGACACTCACCTCACATGGAGACACCTCCATGTAGCTGTTTTAATCTGGAACTAAATGTCTATACCAGTCAAATTGGCTACATATATCCATGGAAAAAGAAGTCTATTAAGGACTACTAAACCCAGAATGCTCCATCTTGCTAAGAAAGGTCTGCAAGTCAGTGATGTCTGGAAGAATATTTTTAGGAGGGCTATTTGTGTGCTCACCATGTTTTCACATTTCTGTGAATGTCAGAAGAGCAGACCCTCAGTCCAAGATTTGTCTGTCTTACATCCTTGTAGGCACATAACTGTGATGAATCTGAGCCACCCTTTTCCAAGGAGCGTTTAAAATATTTCTTACGTGCATTGTGAAATCTAAATCTCACATATCCCACTTCTATTTTATCAAGAAAACACACTTACCCATACTGAAATAAAATCGTAAGTTCCCATATCCAGTAGTGTCCATGTACGGAGTGCATATTTTTCTTTCTCCATCTCTGAGAAATACCATAGACGAGCCAGACTCCAACGTCCCACACTCAGTACCAATGACAGCACCTAGTATGTCCCACCTGGAGAGGTCAACGGTGGGCAGAGAATGTGCAGTGTTACTGATAAACTCAAACAAAACAAAAGGAGTTCATTTGTATAGAAAGCAGTACCTGCTGCTACTGTTAGAAAGTAGAATAAAATCACAACACAGTGCACTTTTCAAAATCAGGTACTGAGAATTGTACTTGCTTATTCAATATTAGTTTTTAAATTCAGTCTAAAACAAAACTAATATAAATAATAAACAAGTTGGTAGAAAAGTTAAAATTACTAAAAAAATTAAGCTTTTAATGCTGTTACCAAATATTTAGTGTTGTTCCATTACTTCATTATTTTTCTGGCATGAAAATGTTTAAAACACATTCTGTTTTAAAGACATACGTACACTATATATTGTGTAATAGAATGTTTACAGACGAATGAAACATAAAAAAGCACGTCTTCCATATCTACTATGCCAGCCATTAAATATGTAGGCAATAACAAAAAATGCTCTTTTCATCTTCTTGAGTGTTTAGGGTTACACTTTCAACAAATACATGAGCAGAGAATGAAACAAAAAAATTGCTGGGTTTCTTCTAATGTGCGATGAGATGATCACAGTCAGTTTTCTTCTTATTTTTTATTCAGTGATAATTAAAAGAGCTGCTGCAGAATTTTTCAATTGAATATTTCTATTGAAACTATGTTTTCATCATGAAAACTCTGGTTTCTTTAAAGCTTGATTAAAACATTTTGATAGAAACTTGAAAAATTGTACATTATTTTGGTCTAATACATCATTATTCATATTGAAGTTTTACTTAATAATGAAGTATTTCAAAGATATAAGGCAGTAAAGCAATGCAACATTTAGAATCATTAATATCTGATAATCCAATCATTTAGAGTGATTCAGAGAATGAGAAAACGTTTAAGATTTGAAGTCTTTGAGGGATGACAAAGCCATTTCCTGTCCACTTCTAGCAGAAACAATCTCTACCACCAGTGCGGTGTAGAAAGATTTCAAAAACTGCCATTTCAACAGTTTAGCAGTCAGCTTATCAATTTAACCATTCACACTATTTCAAGATGTATTTTGAGATCTTCTTAAGAGCTGCCAGTTTTCTTATTGACCTAAGCTGTGACAGACTAACAATGTGCCTGCTTGAAAATCCTCCTTTAAAACTGCCAGTCATTTACAAAGGAATTAGCAAGATTAGCGTCACTGTAAAGCTTTTATGACACAAATATATATATGTTAATGGCAGCAGAGTTTAACCTAACCCTATTTTATTTGTGCAGACATTTTAAAGGTAATGTGCAATATAATCAAAATACAATTTTGAAAATGGGTCTCTTGGGCCAAAGACAAGCACAGAATAACATGGTTGTGCTTACTTTAACTTACATGACAAAATCTCACAATGCTCCATTGATCTTTTGTATGCTCTATTTAGCTCAATTAAAACAGCCTCTTTGATGACCCACGAAACAACTTGAGGTCATGAATGATGCAGATCATGGAGGTTTCCAGGGATCCTTTCCTTTTAGGCAGCATTATAATGGAAACTAGAAAGTTCTACAACATAAAATAACTGCCTCTTACAGAAAAATAAATGAAAACAATGTCTGTAAAGATAAATAGAGATCTTTTGGTGATGACATGACAGAGATGCAGATCTTCTTGATTGAACAGTGCATTTGGATACATTTATCCCTTACATGACTGTTGAAATTCTTCTCTACATAGATAAATCAAAATTACATTTAATGAGCATGGACATTCGAAATAGCAGTACGTGTGCTAGAGGCACCAGAGATATCTCTGTCCTCAGATACTGCATCCAAGCCTGGAGTACCCAGCACAACAAGGATGCAGAGCTGTTAAAGAGGGTCCAGAGGAGGGCTATGAAGATATGCAGAGGGCTGCAACACCTCTCCTGTGAAGAAAGATCGAGGGAACTGGTCTTGTTCAGCCTGAAGAAGAGAAGGCTCCAGGGAGATCTGGAGCCTGCAGCCTTTCAGTACTCGAAGAGGGCTTACAAACAGTAGGGAAACTGACTTTTTACATGGGCAAACAGTGATGGGATAAGGGGGAATGGCTTTAAACAAAAAAGGGGAGATTTAGGTTAGATGTTAGGAAGAAATTCCATACTCAGAGGGTGGTGAGGCACTAGCACAGCTGACCAGAGAAGATGTGGATGTCCCATTCCTGGCAGTGCTCAAGGTCAGGTTAGATGGGGCCCTGGGCAGCCTGATCTGCTGGGTGGTAGCCCTGCCCATGCAGGGGGCAGAGACTGAATGAGCTCTAAGGTCCCTTCCAACCTAAGCCTTCCTATTCTATTATTCTATGTTGGGAATGTAAAAAGTACCAATCACTCTGAATAATAATAAGCTTCTCTGCCCTCAGTGTTGGGCTTTCAGATGTTTCACCTCAGAGTGCTTTTGGCACAGAGCAAAATGGGGATAATCCACACATGAGCTTCCCTTTGCTCTCTCATATGAGGGGTGCTTTTGCTTTTTTCTTTGAGAGGAAGGTGAGGCAGGCAAAGCTACCTGCAGCTGTCCCTGTTCATACACAATGTCCTCAATGACATATTTTTCTCTTGATACAGATATTTCCTACATTGCAAAATGAAAGAAGGGAAGAGAGGCACAATCCACCAAGCCACCATGTTATTTATACCAAAGAAGAAAAGAACCCTTATTTACTAATGAACTCTGTAAATAGAAAAGTCAATAGTGGAATACACTGTATTAGGTTGATCTGGAGTCTTACACTGCAGGGCAGTAAGGCTCCTTCCACTTTATATTATGATTACTAAATATACTTAGGTTGCTCCAAAAAGAACACTTCCTATTTATTTCCATGGAAACCACAATAGATACAGAAAGCACAATAACACTGTTTGATAGAGCAAATTTTCACCAACAGAACACTATTTTTCAACATAGTCACCATCATTATCTGTGCATTTTTGCCAGTGATGAACAAGAGCCTATATGCTATGCTTGTAAAAATCTGCACCAGAGTTTACCCATTATGATGCTATGATGGTGTTGTAGCTAGGAAAATGTTGCCCACTCAGTGCATTTCTGATCAGCCTGGACAGATGGAAGTTGAAAGGCATTGAATCCAGACTACATGGTGGTCCAGCCAAGATTGGCAATGTGCTCCACAGTCTTCAAACTAGCATGGAGCCTGGCATTATCATGTTGCAAGGTTGTCTTTTTCTCTGGCCTGACTCTGGAAGTTAGGTCCTTCAGCTTAGACAGTGTTGTGGTGTAGCAGACAGAGTTGATGGTTTGTCCATGTTCCAGGAAAGTCAGGATCACTCCTTTCCTCTCACTTTTTGCAGGTTGTGTCCTGATTTTTTTTTTTTTTTTAAATGGGGATTTCACACTCCAAGGACTGCTGTTTTGACTCTGACTCACAGTGGCGGCACCACAGCTCATCACTGGTAATGATGAGATCCAGGGAACTTTCACCTTCAGCCTGGTATTTGCTCAGTAGGTCCTGACAAACTGCATGTGGTGTTCCTTCTGTTCCTGTACGAACATTTGTAGGAACAATTTGGCACAAACACTGCAGTATTCCAATGTTGCCACCATCATTTCTAGTGCACTGATGTTGACATTCAGTTCTGTACACAGTTCCATGATTATAATTCTCTGATTCTTGTGGATGAGCTGATCAAAATAATCTTCATATTGTGCTGTGACAGCTGTGCATGGCAATCCAGAATGTGGTTTGTTTTTCACATTACTGTCACCACTGCTGAAATATACCTCTCACTATGCTCACATCCTCTGGTTGGTCTCTGTAAATGTTCAGCAAGCACTCCTGAATGTCAATGAGTGCAATTTTTACATCATGGAGGAATTCAATAAAACACCTTTGCTTCACCTGCACTTCCATGTCAGACACCATTTTGCCAGACTGCCCTTCTGCTGCCATCTATCGCACAGCAACAACGTGTAATGGAATATTGGTGGGAAGGTTCAACCTATACTGCTATGTCATCAACATTCACTTCTGATTAAGATTAGGGTTAGGGTTAGGATCAAGATTATTATGGGCTAACATAATAAAATGGGGGGGCATTATTTTCAGAGCAGCCCTCAAACACTCTGCAACTCTTGAGTATCAGAAATGACATAGGAACAGGGAATTTGGGTCGGAAAATGTTGACTACCTTTAATAAAAGTTTTTGCAAAGACACAGTTCTTGAGGAAAGATCTTCTGATCCCATGAAGAGTTTGTGAGCAGAGATGCAGGAGGCTGAATATCCAGTTTGGATGTCAGAGAGAGATGCTTTACTTCTGCTCCACCCTGTTGCCAGCAGAGGTGGAAATGGAATATTTTATACCCCAGGAATCTGTTGTCTTTGCTAAACTATTTCCCTTTTATTTTGAACAACATCCTGAAAAGCCTATTTTCTTTCCAGTACAGAAAACAAACCACCAGTCTTCTAAATCTTACACTTCTTCACAAAGCAGAATTTTTATTTTCTGCTCAGGCCTGCTGTGGATAATTGCACCTTGTAATCTGTTCTTCATGTGACAGTTTCAATACAGTGAACAATATTTAAAATACAGTTCAAAGAGCATTCAGAAATTTTTCTCTAGGAAGAAATCAAGGAAGCACTTGTATTTGCAGTTCTGTACAATTCCCAAAACAAAGCCCCACAGAAATGGTGCAAGAGGGACAATGTTAATTAGTTTTATATGATGAAGTTGCTTTCTGTAACCTCAACAGAATTCAGTGTTTGCTTATTCATGGCTGCATGTGATATAAGCCTCTGTTCCTATAGCAACAGTAGAAAAAAAGAAGTTTCACATACAGAATAAAATTTGAAAATAAAAAAGTGTTGTTTTTTTTTTTTTTTAAATTTGAAAATTAAAAAACAAAATCAGGATCAAGTTCCTGTGAATGGGATGCAAGAATTATCTGCCCTGCTCCTGGCTGAGAGCAGTGGTAGCTGCAGCTGGAGTCTGATGCTGCATGAAACCCAAAATGTATTATTTGCAGAAACTGTGCACTTTGTCACTTTGGTACAAATAACTGTCTTCAAGATTTGTACTCAAGTGCAGAACTACTGTAATTTTTTTTATAGTTTACTAATTATCAAGGAAGGAGGAGCCCTGATTAGGAACCACTGAAAAGGAGGAGCCTGGCTTGAATTAACTGCTACCTGGCCCAGCAGAGCAAGGAGCTATAGGCAGGGCAGATGTCCTGACGTCACATACACATCCTGCTTTTTCAAGATGGAAACAGACTGAGACAACATCTCAGATATATCCCACATGGTCACCTAACACATAGCACATACATATGCATTTTATTTGCTTGAAATTGCTGAAAGGACATAGCAACAATAGTTCAGCATCCAGCATGTCCTGGGCTGGTTCACCAAACTGTGAAGGAGTCCACGAGAAATACTGTTTCTGTAAGTCCCAAATAATCCAAGTGTTTACAGCTTGCATTAGAACGTATTTCTCAAACAGTGCTCTTTGCTTTCAGCACAGCACAAACAGCATTTGAATCAGCTGTTAATGATCTGAAGTACTTTGTAGGTTAAAACCAACATTCAGCAGAGACCGCTAAACCAGTAGTGTGTGTTTCTCATATCTCAGGGATTACAGCCACTACTGGAATTCCTTTTCTTAAAAATAAAAAAGAATTAAAACCACATTGAAGTTTTATTTTCTTTTTATTTGGTCAGAATTTATGCAGAATTTTGAGTATACAAAATGACAGAAAATAAAGTTGTAGCTCTTTACCAGGCCACTTTTATTTTTGAAAAGCTCACTTATGTTTCAGTAAAAGTGGCATGACTTCCTATGGTGCTGTCCTGGATGGGCTGCCCAAGTGTGGCCCACAGCAGCTTCGGGGAGAGGCTGAGTTTGGGAGGAATCTGATTTGATACAGATTGTTAGCAGCTCTCATGTGCAACAAAAGACATTTCAAAAAATGTCATGCAAGCACAATTTTTTTCATTGAAACACTGAAAATTTTGGTGACAGAATGGTCAGGAGGCTGTTCCGTCTGGGCTTTCCTGACTTGCTTGTCCCAACATCTCCAATTATCTGTTACGGTGTTGCTATTTCTCCTAGTAACATTTACCCAGCTTCCCAGTCCCTGGCACAAAGCTCCCAGCCCTTCCCAGGCACTCACCCTTTGGGCTGGCTCTCAAATTCTTCTGCCCACTGCTCCTGGGCATCCTCTGTAGAAAGGTCCACATCCCGAGTTGTGGCAAAATTGAACTCACTGCCTTCTGTCCCATGGAAATAGATGGAGTTTCCATCTGATTGGCAGCTGTGCTGTAGACAAAAGGAGCACAGAGTAGGGGATGTTACAGTGGTTGGCAAGGGCAGCTATCCTGCTCACACACCGCCTGAGCTCAGAGCAAGCTGCAAATTAAAAAATGACTCACCAATGTCTCAAATGAAATACAGACAACGAATGGACCATCACCTTTCCTCTTTCTTGGCCTACCACAATGTGATTGTTTCCCAACCTCATATCTACTTCCCTACAAATGCACTTCAAACCATTGTGAAATTGTGTTTGCTTAGAAAAGATATGTACCAAACCTTTGTGTGTTTATTTCTATTTTAAAGCCAAGCTATTATGTCTGCCTTGGACCAGTAATCACAGCTGTGTGTACAAATAACCTTAATATCACTATTGATATGGATATTTTGTTGGTTGAAGAGTTTCATGCTGTGAAACATGTCAGATCTTCATGCTTGAATTTTTTCAAGCAGAGGTATTTGAAGGTAAAATTGCTCTGCAATGCCATATAGCAAACTTCAGGGCTGACATGTATGAGTGAAAAGACTGTTTGCTGTAATTTTATGCAAATAGCACAGCAAATAGCTATGTAGGCAAATAGCTCTTGTAACATGTTGATCACAGGGTGCTGAGTCTGCCCACGTGAACATGTCTGCTTTTCATATTGCATTTCTGCATAGATGACTTCAGCAGCATGAAACGAAGCCCCACATCTGCTCAAACTGCCCTGACCACCACAGCACTCCGTATAGAGCCTTTGAATAGGTCATATTGCATGTAGACTACAAAATGGCATGTAGGTTACAGTATGGATTGTCTTCTTTTGCCAGTACTACTCTCACCCTCATGTCTATCTGATAAATTGGTAAGTCTCTGGAATTTGCATGGCTGAAAGGGGTACTAAAGAAGCTCTACCTGTCCTTAACACAGACAGCTTGGTATTATACTGAATTGTTCATATTAAAACAAATTCTGACAGAAGTGATCATTATCTCAAACACTTCTTTAGAAAATCTGGTCACATTAGAATTATGAGCTGAAATAAGAAATGACTAATTAGACTAATTCTCCTTTCTTGCCACAGTTCAATATCTGAAAAAGAAATACAATAATGCCAAATTGCTTTGACCTTTTCAGCACCATCTATACAGTCTGCTCTTGTCTCTGAACTCCTTCAGAAGTCACCAAGGGAAAGTGTGATGATCACCTCATCTGTGTTTAAAAAGGTCATGGCAGTGCCACATAAGTTAATAATTAAATTTTCGGTAAAAAAGGAATGCAGCAAGAAGCAAAAAACTGCCCAGTACACCTTTATCTATGTGATTTTAAGAGAAAAGTACAAAATGCTGCATTATGTCTATTCCTCTTTTCACTTATCATTGCAAAAAACATAACTGAAATTCGTCTGTTGATAATTTTTAAATGCTTGCTTGTAACTTAGCAATTAAACTTATACTTAGGAATGAAATGTGAATTCTTCTAGAGGTGTCTACTCTTTATTAGAAAAAAAAAAGTTATGTACTTCAAATCTGATCTGAATGTAAAGACTTTCTGGCCTTCATCTGCATGACAACAGCTCTGCACTTAATAGCTCTGACAAAATATCACTTGAAGACACCCACTATCCAAGCGTAAGGACCGTTTCAAGTGATAAACAAATCCATCCTAAAGCATTTGTCTTCTACATGAAAGTCAAAACAATAGCAAGATGCTGCAGTGCTGAGAAATTATCAGAAATTACATAGATTTTGTCACAATTATACTTACTCTATGGTTATAAAAATATTTTATAACTAGAAAAAAATAGTGAAACAGTTTTATATTTTATCTCCGTTTGAAAAACAGTGTGTACCGTGCAGTTACTTGTAACTAAGAAATGGCTTTTGTTCACTATTTTGCATTAATGCTCATAGGTATTGCTAATATCAGAATTCTAAAAATAATTTTGCTCCTTGGTTTTCAGAATACTCTGTTTGCTGAACAGGAATGAAATAGCCTTCATCTGTCAATTAATCTACCACAGAACCCCTATTATCTTCAAGCAGCCAAGTGAATACAAGAGAAATAAATATTTGGGCTAAAACTTCTGATAATTCAAATTTATAAGTAACCTTTCATCTCTTAATAAACAAATAGACCCTATGGAACTAGCAACGTACAATTGCAATGTACAATTGCACAAAAGCTTTGGAAAATCCTTTGTAGGCTGTACTTATTTCTCAGCTACTCATTTATATGTAAGTGTATACTTGATATTGGGACATGTCGTTAGTAATCTTTTGCTGATTAAAGCCACCTATTAAAATACACAAAACAGATATAGGTCTGTTATCATTTCACTTGGTATGTCCTTCTGCTGTCTAACAGTATTTACCAAAGTGTCTGGTAGTTTCCACTTAGTTTGTCAACATAAATCAATGGGCAGCTTGGCAAAAGGGCAAATATGTAATTATGTATAGTTGTGTACAATCAGCATTTTATGAATGCTCAAAAGGATACAGAAGCATCACTTATTTCATTAGTTCTATAAAATTACCTTTATGCTTTGTAAAAAGCTACACAAAATCAATGAATATGTATTTTTATGCTGATTTTATGTGTTAATTAACCACGTAACATATGGCTCAAATCAACCTCTGACCAAGTTAGCTTTGAACCTCACGTGAAACAGCTCTGCAGAGGAAAAGTTCAAACTGGAATTTAACTGCTTTTGTTATTCTACACGACAACAAAAACAGTCATAGAAGCTCATTATCTTTAAAGGAGGTAAGAAAGACGCTCAGAATACATGCAAAGCTTCTATCAAAGTTCTGAGAGAAGGCCATTGTTTTCTTTTTGCTCAGTACCACCATTTGGAACCTTAAGGGCATGCCGATGGGAGAGAAGCACCCACCTGCACGAGCTGTACCTGCATCCTCTCCCAGCTGCCAGCCACATCTCCCTGTCTTTATAATCATCACCCTCCGGGTCACCCTTAGCTCCCTGCTTCCATATTTTCCTTTTCATTTTCCAAGCAGTTTCTGTCTGTTGCTGCTTTTACTGCTCTTTTTCACCCAACGGGCTGCAGGGGGGGCAAACAACATCAAAATCTTCCAGAGGCAAAGGAAGCTCCAAAAGAGTTGATTCCTTGTTGGCATCACTCCCAACTACCTCGTCAGTCCTGTTCAGCATCCAAGAGGCTGCTGATTGCTGGATTATTTTGTGGTTTTGCAATAGAGTTTGAACAGATCAGAGTCTGAACTGAAACCATGAGACTCATTTTCTCTTGGGTTCAACCCACGGTTTGAATCCAAGACTTTAGTAATGAAGAACTCAAGTACTGTGCTTTTTCCTGAATTAATGACTTTACACTTCCAGTGGTAATCTGTTCAGTTTTGAAGGACTAAATTTCACAGGTTTCTCTTTTTTTTTTTAATTTAAAAAAAAAGGTGATTAAAAAAAAAGATTTTTTATCTGAAATCAACATGTACTCTTTTTTGAAACTAATGCAATTAAGTTCTTTCCTAAATTGGAGATACTCCAGATCTCTCTTACGCAGACGTAGCGTTCTCTCTTATGAATATCAGATGCAATTTGCTCTCTGTTTTATTTTTATTTACATGTAAATGATTTTAAAGATCTGAACAAATTAAGTTATTTAGTAAAATATGGTAACTAAAAAGGCAAAATGGCAGCAACTTGTAGGAAATCTCTCTTCTTGTTACCATGGAAGCATCAGCAGAAGGTCCAGTACTACAGCAGAGTTCAATTTTGTATTTAATGAGGGATTATAAGCATAAGGAATATTTAACGTGTCCTTGCACAAATTACAACACTGAAAGGTTAACTAATTTGTGAGGAAAAATTAATTTAGAGAAAAAATCCTTTGACAAATCTGATAACCTTCATTAAACAAAGCTTTCTCCCAAATCACCTACAAAACAGAGCATATGATCCTTGAGACTCTTCAGCGTTGACACTTCACAAGAGTAGCTGTTTCCTATTGTTTGCAACAGGAGTGGGACTGTACGCCTGCCATAAGTACACTGGTGTACTCCTAAACAAACAACACTCACTGCTGCCAAATGGAAAGAAGCCAAGAACTGTTCAGGGACTGTGGTCATCCCAAGGGAAAAAAAATCAGTCTAATTTAGTCTGGCACTACCAGTACTATTATTCACTAGCTGCAATTGTTAAACTATTACTTATCATGAATAGAGCAAAATGAAAATTGTCCGGATACATTCCCATAGCTCAGCGTGCTTGTATTTGCTTTCAATCTAATATTCACTCTGAATTTTCCATTTCTAAAGTTTGTCTGCTGTATAGCTACAGTATTACTGCTTTTCACCTACTGTGGAGGCACTGTGATATCTTACCTTCATCTACCTCCACCACCTCTTGGCTCACTTTTCCCTGACTGCTGCTATCTGCCCCTTCATTTGCAGGTGAGATGACCAAACTTGTATTCCTTTGCCCATTCTGCCCATTCTACCTGGAAAATTCCTCACCTGATGATGTCCTTCAGGCATCTCCTTAGCACTTTCCTCAACAAAACTTAACACTGATCACACTGAAAAATACACTGCTTACCAGCATGGGCACTGTTCCCTCTTGCATGCTTCCTTTCATTCCCTCATCTTCCCAGCCTCAGCTGATCTCTTGCTTTACAAATGGATGGTGGTTTTTCTGGGACACACTTTCATTTTGTTTTGTGTCTAGTATACCCACTGCTCAGGGCTCCTCGTTGCTACAATGGTACAAAAATTACTTTTGTTTTTGGTGATGAAATTGCTGATTTATTTATTCCCTTCTAGTTTAACAGATCTCATTCTGAAATTCTACTAAAGATAAATTGATGTATCAAGTCAATTCCTTATATTGCAGCAGTTTTATAATACAGTACCAGACTGTACCCCATGAAAAAGCAGTGTGCAGCAGCTATGCCTTAAACAAGCCAAACACTTAGTTGGTGAATGGCTTTCACTATTAGCTTGACTAGCAAATATTAGATCAGATAGAGAAAGCATTCCTCTAAAATGAAATA